ATATAGGATGAATTCTGTTGGGGTTGTGTAATAACTTTGCTTGCGGCGCTCACTACGATAACTTTGAATCAGAGTGCTCCCTATAGAATTGTGTGTTTAGGGTGAAGTCTCCTGCCCGAGGTCACATTGATCAACTCCAAAGATGGCATTGGAGCAACAACCTTCTGGTAAAAGGGTGAGACTTCTCTACAAACTAAACTACACATCCATCCGGCGAATTGAAAAAGCTCATCTGAAGCGGTGGTTATGTAAGGCTGTCTAGAGGTGCGTCAAACATCACCGCAGGAGAAAGTAAACGCTGATAAGTGGACAGTTCAAGGCAGAGAGGAGAATGGAGCTTTGCCTGAGGGGAGAGGGAGCCCACATCACAGTCATAAGTGACACATTAGCGATCGCAGAGAAGCCGCCCACAGTAAATAGACTCGCTCGCCCACGCTCACCCTCCAATCGGCCCGGGACAAAACACCGGCTGAGTCACCGCCGAAACAGACTGGAAGTTCAGGCTTTGTGCTTGACTTTGTGTAACTTAGAATACACAAACACAACACAAGGCCGAGACAGACTGGAAGTTATACATAATATCCATTATTATGAGCTGCAATGTTGACGTGCTGTACAGAAAACATAGACTGTAACTGAATCCATCCAGTGGTTTATTGTACAGATCCATCCATTCTTCCCCTTAATCCATTTCTGGGGCGGGAGGGTGACAGTCAGAGGTGCTCCAGCCCCTCACTGATGCTCCTGCAGGTGGGGAGTCCTGTCTGGGAGAGCACAGCCATGATCTTTCAGCAGGGTGGAGTTAAGTGTCTTGCCCAAGGACACTGTGTGCTGGTGTGTTTATTTTACAGGTGCACTTACTAGTCAAGTAAGTATTGTAATATTCCCAAGGAAAAAATAAGGCAAATAATGAGAGGAATAACAAGCCTGACTTACTTTTTTTATTTACAGTTTTGTTTCAGTTCAAGTTTGTTCAGAAAAAATAAGAAATCAAGTTGAATATAACTAATATATGGTATATCCATCCATCCATCCATTTTCTACCCCTCGATCCATTTCTGGGTGGGGGGGGGGCCAGAGATGCCAGCCCCTCACTGATCCTCCTGCAGGTGGTGAGTCCACAGAAGGATGGCCGCTCTGTGGCACAGCCTTGATCTTTCAGCGGGGGCTTCAGGCAAAGTGGGGTTAAGTGTCTTGCCCAAGGACAAAACGACAGCAGTCATCAGTGGGAGTTGGTGGACTCGAACCCACAACCTTCAGGCTCAAAGGCTAAGGCAAAAATCTGAATTTAAATAGAATAATCAGACGCTAAAAATGAAAACACTTTCCACAAAGAAAGGAGATGTTGGTATAACAGTTAAGCCTAAAAACAGTTGTGACCTCAGTTGTGTTTGAGCCCTGGGGCACGGGAATATTTGTGTTTGTGCCGTGTCTATTCCGGCGACGCTGGAACAAAAAGATTGAGAACCATAGCTGGAGAGGACCGATGAAAAACGCATAGGGAGACGTGTCTATTATGTTATTTCAAATTAAGAGCTCAGCAAAGGCCTATAACTTCAGACTGGATGAGATAATTATGGTAATTATGGTAATCCCAAACAAGTTATTCCAATTTGTAAACGAGATTCTTGTTGACGATCGTTTCAACACATTTATGAATGGCCCAATTATTGTAAACCTCTCCCTGGTTCCTTGCCTTGCTTTTTGCAGGAGGACCCTCACTGCCGTCTCCTAATCTGCAGAGAGCTTTATGAGGAAAGGCAGGGAAAAAAAAAAACAATCTCTTTCCTAATTAAGCTCCACCTAAATCCTGTGTGACAGCTGCTCCTCACTTTAAAGTACACCCAGGCTGCAGTTTGATCTCACCGCGGTCCGGAGATCGGGGTCCTCGACAGCCAATTTCTAATCTGCTGAAATCAAAATGCAGTTTTTTGCCTTCACGAGACAATGTGTTTGCAGCCACCTTCACTTTTATTATAATCACAATAAAAAGGCCATCTGGTTTGAACAGGTCAAACAATAGCTACTTCAGGGTGACATGAATTAAACATTTCTGACTCCAGAGATGACAAATTTGGAGGCTTGATCAGCTCCTTACGCAGACTATTTTCTCCCCCCCCTTATTTGGTAAAATCTATTTGCATTTGTAGTGTGTTCATAATGTAGGGCTGTGGTGACGTGTGAGAAGTTTTAGCACATAATGTTTCCAGGTCTGTTTTCTTTCCACGCGTCATTTTAGCTCCAAGGACAGGGACGGTTCTGTTCATACCAATGTGGCCATTTCTAAAAGCTTGGTGAGAAAAATCAAATCATAGAAAGTTTTCAGGTTTCAAGCCAGATGTTGTCTATATACTACAAAAACAGTATTGATTTGAGTGCATTTGGCCGTCCTAAAAATGGAACAGGCTGCCATTTCAAGTAGCTTTTGTCTCATGCCAAGTGAGAAATTGCTTATACCCTTTCCTAACTAAAAAACAAGGAGTTTAAATCTGGTTTCATGTTGTGAATCATAAATATATATAGTAATAAATACTATCGTCAACGACAAGACCTTGCCTTCAGAAAGCTGACCTCGTTCTTCATGTTTTATTGGTGGATTTAGAATCCATTTAAACCTTTTTTCATGGTGCATTTTGATAATCATTCATTTTCTATTGCTTTGTTTTGGAAAAAAATAATCATAATCCAGACATTTTCTTGACTATGCATGTGCCCACAGACGAATATAGTCAATGAGAGTGGAAGAGAGAGGAAGAGAGAGGAGAGGGAGAGGAGAGAGATGGACCAGAGCCTCACGCTGCTTAATGAAACCCTCAGAGAGCAGCGGCTGCATGGGAACAAGGGCCAAATGAGTTGCTGGGTCATGTGCTGAGTTCTGTATGAATAAAACAACAGACTGCAGCCTCATTGAAAAGAATCTCTAAACGCCACGACTTCAGGTCCAGTCCGCGACAATCCAGGCCACTTCCATCAGTACACAGTTTACATACAGCAGATGTGGGGGCAGGTGTGGGGCAGGTGTGGGGCAGGTTGTGCTAGGTGTGGCAGGTGCATAGGCAACGGAAGGAGGGGCCTAACAGAGGGCAGTGTTTGCTCTAATTGCGGAAAAGCCACAATAGAACTCGAGCCGGATTTACTATTGGGAATCTGAAGTCAAATTTGTCGGTAGCAACGGCCTAGCAACCAATGAGCCAATCAGGATTTAAAAACCGAATTTGAGGAGAGAAGGCACCTGATTGGTTAGTTATTAGGGCTCTAATGGATACAATCACATTTTCAAACACCAGGAACGTAAAAATGATTAAACCACACATATTTAGGCCTAAAATAGTGACGGTTACTGAGCGAGAGTTTATTTTTCAATGTAAGTGAATGGAAGCCAAAGCCACTTCCTTCTTAAAGAGCGACTAAACACCTGTGCCCAGCCTTACTCCGCCCACATGAAGATTTGAAAATGTTCTCTAAAAAGGGCGTTGCCTGGAGGACCAAGGGACAAGAAGGGGGGCTTAGAGTTGGGCGTGGTCTGGGCTGTGATTGACAGCTCACTTGTCACACAAAAAAAAACAGACAGTTGTCATTGCTGCTTAAAGCAATAGTTTACAGACCAGAAAGTCTCATTCCACCCTTGTTTACACACTAAGATAATTGTAAAGCTACACACCTGAACCTAATCACACTCAATAATCTCAGAATGACTCATGTAATTTAATTTTAATCCACTAGATGGCGCCAGAATACTCCAAACTGCAGCTGGGGCGTGTGTGAGAGTTGAATGGGTTCACATCACTGGCTCTGACAGACTGACGTCACACAAAACAACTGATGTCATAGAGAACTTCAGAGTCAATGGAGAGGCCAGGACCAAATTCAAATGTAGTACCACCAAAAAGGTTGAGAGGGCGCCACACAGCGTTTTTTGGCTCAAAAGTGATATTTTATCTAATTTAAAATAAAATGTCAAAAAATTACCAGGATATGTAGACAGCACTACAATAAACATACTTATGCAGTTTATGGGTTAAAAAAAGTTGATTTGGTGTTTAGTCGCTCTTTAAGCTTCACTGAGCTAGCGGGTTGGCTTTGTCCATCTATATACAGTCTTTGGGCTGGAGTGTGTTCCAACGTGGGAGACTAAACTGTGAGGCTGTAAAAAGATTCATATTTATATTGAGTCATTTAATTTGTTATATTTAATGTCACTGGATGTTTAACCATAAATGCTTCCGCTTATATTTTGTGACCTCGGAACAGTGGCGTTAGTGAAAGAGAAAATGATAACGCTGTTTATTATGATATTTTTATTACTTAAGAGAAAAGGTGAATTGAATCATATCAATGCATCCTCCCACATCGGAAACTGAAAGTCAAATGCGACATAGCTGTTTAAAAAATGTATTCAATCTAAGTTTAAGTGCTATTTTGAAGTACTAGTCTTTGTGCAATCTCCGAGCACATATGCATTTTTCACTAGTTTTAAATGAAAGGCCTTGACCACAAAGGTTTTGCACGTTTATTCATAGAAGTCCATACAAAATGTGTCCACAACAATCAGCACGTGCAACAAGAGGGACACTGCATACCCTTGACTCTACTTTTCAATGGAACTTAATGCAAAAATATATCCTTGATTCCTACTATAGAGTATGATTGTACAGTTACTGAATGGTGCCAGCACAGATCCGCCTGCTGCTCTGACCTTTACTTGACTCTATATACGTTTATACGCTACACACATACAAGTTAGACGCATGTTTGCTGCATTGAACAAAAAAAATACATTTCTTAGTTTGACCTTGAATCCCTTTTCACATAAGCACAGCAGCGGTGCATTCATAGCCCCTCTGCTAACGTAAATCCATCTCATTCAAACAGATAAAAACATAGCTTTAATGTGCTGTTAAATGTCCGTCCTATACGATGAAGGCAATACTGGATGAGTTTGACTTGTGACTGGACAGAGATAATGGTGGGATGGGCAAAGGGCAACATTACGGCAGGTTTTAAAAGTATGATCCAAATGAGCCAAATCCACCAAATCTATGGAAAAGCCAAGGGGAGCGCTTCTTCCTGGAGTCGGCCTCTTTCAGCCACATTTTCTTCCTCTTTGAGTCGTGTCCTGTAAAACACAAGAAAGCACATGGACATTAGCAAACTAGTTTTTGTTTGTGTCTTCCTCTTGTTTTGCAGGATATGTGTGTCCATGTGTGGGTTTGTGTGTGTATGTGTGTGAGGCAGGGGGGCGTGGCCAGCTTCACCTGAGCAGCATACAAGACGGATTCAGGTTCATTTTATTTGTAATTTGCAGTAAAAACCACATTGGAATACATTTGCAAAAGTCCCAGAGTGTGCATAAAAAGTGCTTTTTTCATATCATCTGCCAGAGGGAAGAAGCTGGAACATGGCTTTTCCAGGGTGGTCAGAAAAGTAGTAGATACACCCACACCTCATCATCCACTCTGTCTCTGTATATTGAGGCCGGTCTGTTCACTACTTCTCCGTCTCAGTCTTTTGTGCGTCCAGCTCTTGTGTGTTTTTGTAGATCTTGTGTTTTGTAGATTTCTTCGCCTGCTGCTCCTCATCTTTTCAGATCCAGTTGTGCTTCGTCCCTACTGTGCATCCCCTGTCAGGTCCTCGGCCTCTTGTCTACGCTCCAGTTTAAGTCTCCCTGCTCCCTGCCCCCTCTGCCCCCACTGCCCCCTCAACTCTCGTGTTGGAAATATACTTGTTAAACTTCTTCCGTCTCCTGCCTCTGCTTTGAGATTCTGTCTGCAAACCTTGACAAAGTTTAGGTTGATTTGGCTAAAGGATCGATTTCGTTCAATCTTTCCTCTCTTTTTTATTTGATTATATGTGTATCATAGATAGATAGATAGATAGATGGTAGATTACAGTACTTTTTTATTATTTAACCAGTAAAAATCCCATTATTCATTAATTTAGACTTTATTAAGGACTCACATGGAAGCACAGGATCCATAGCTAAGATCCTAACTTCTTTTTTAACAGAGTTCTGGCGAAGAGGCAGCAAAGTTACACATAAACATAACAGACAGATAAAATTACATTAAAATGACAGGTACACAGACACACACACACATCAAGTCAAACAATTACAGGTAATTGAGGCCGTCTCAAAGGTGAGTTTTGATTTAAAAGCATTCATTACAAGGTCATATCTTTTTTTTACTGCATGGCATCCATAAGAACCACATGCTCCAGCCCCTCTCAGCAGCATCAGCAGCAGCAGCAGCAGCAGCAGCTAAGCCCGTCCTGTCAGGCCTCACATTACAACGCCCCATGTCATCACCTCACAAAGAGAATTAAAGCCTTTGTTTGTGTCACAGCAGGGACCAGGCACGGCCAAATCAAAAATATTTTACCAAACTAACGAAGGCGCCATTATGGACCATTCACCGCACTTGTTCTGGAGATAATTGCTGGCCTTTTCTGCGGGTGACGCGGTGACCGGGGGAAGAGAAACAGCCGCCACCTCTGACCTGGGCTCGTTAATGCGCAGTAGAACAGAGGAGCTAATGGACACCTTTGTTATGTGTGGACACGTGCCGATCCACGCTCTCACAATGATGGGGGACTGTGTTGCTGGAATCACAAATGAGGCCGTCCATGCACGTGAAACAACACTGTATGTGGTGGATTTGTCATGGCCGGTGTCAGCTGATTGTTAAAGGAGAAAGATAAAGGCCCTGCTGATAACTATAGGCAAAAGAAATATCTGAAATGCATCTATGTGCGGTTGTGTTGTCGTTCGTTATCTGAGAAAGAATGGGCAAAACGATAAAATCTGTGGCTGGGAGTGTGATAGTAGAATATGGTTCGATCAAGCTCTATAACAAAAACATCCTCTGATCGCTGGCTTGGTCACGGTGCCTTCAGGGCGTGGTTTTAATGCTCCAGCTCGGAAAACAAACCCTTTCTCTGATTCTTTTGTGCCCCCTGCGATAAAACTGTTGAACCCTGGACGAGGTGTTTGACTGTTGGGAATTGTTGTGTGTTTTATTGTGTTTTTTTTTTTTTACTTATATGTGTAACCGGCCGCTGTGTGAACTGTGAGGCCTGACTCACTGTGTGTGTTTGTGTAGAGTGCGTTCTGCTCTGAGATTCTGCAGCAAATGAATTTCTCTCTTTGTGATCAATAAAGTTTTTAGAATCGGTATCTGAATTCATTTCTGTATTTCAACTTAAAAATGTGAAATCAAAATATGAGAAAGATTCATCACCTGCAAAGTGACATATGACAAGTAGTTGTGTGTTATCCTTGGATATTTATATTGTAAAAACAGATAAGTGCCGTTGAAAGTATATTTGTAAGGCGTACAATATGCCGTTTACCAAGCCAGTTCTATTTTAGTGCCAGAAAAATAGAGTTTCACCCTTTCTTAAGCAAATGTTTTAGAATTTATTAGGATTATAGCTTGAGGAACACAACTTTTTGTAGAACTTTTGAGATGTCTGTTTATTATGAACCTGTTAAAAAATGACACTTTGGGTTAAACGCTGATGGGCTTCTCTTTTTCACTTTTCGGTCTGAAAAATCTGGTGTAAAGATGTGAGAGAGGCTGCAGGATGAACAGATCTCTTCCTGACTTGATATTTTGAATGTAGTCTGTGCATTGCTATTCACCCCTTGTCCTTCTGTCTGCTCCATGAAGGCACTGATGGGACTCAAAACCCTGGACTTCCTGGACCTGAGGACTAGTCTCCTGCCTGCATTGGGGAGTTGATTTGATTTGAATTGTGGTTTGAAATTTAGGTCCCTCAGCTATAAGTACAGTGCCAAAAAAAAAACATTATTTCTTTTCGTCAAGTTGCAAAATTAATGTTCCTGTTCTCTCACTACTGTTATCAGCCCAAGAAGATATAGACACAAGGGAATGCATAGACTGAATAATGAATCATTTATGGAGAAAAACAAGTCTCTAAACATATCTATGAAATCCAAACTATGTGTGAATGGTGAGCAGATGGGGGTTTGTGGCTAGAACGTCCAAAAAGGGCACATGAAAGCTGCCATATCATTGCGATTACGCCCTAAGGCAGATGTGGCTACAGTGGGAACATGCGTGTTTTAAATTTTCATTTTAATGGAGCTCTTGTGCCATCAAAGCCGCCCTCTCTTAAAGCGACAGTGCGCTACTTTCTGGCTTCCACCCTGATTGGCTGCGGGCTCACCTCGAGTTGTGGCCAGCTCCTCCTCCTCCTCTGACGGGCTGTGGGCGGAGCTTCGCAGGTGCCTCTGATGGTGCGCGCCGCTGCTGGGGAGAGCGCTCTGTCTGCGCCGGCGAAACTCTTCCTCCGGGGGGTCTTCTGTTCCAATCTCTGTGGGTGTGAACAGAACAACATGAGAAAAGCCTGGCTGAGAATGAATCACACAGAAGCCTATATCTGCGGCTGCATGTGGCCTTGGGGTGCAGCATCCTCACATGGATTTTCAGTTTTTTTTATTTATTTTTTTTATATGTGTGTGCGCAATTTCGACCGAGCTGACACAAAATGTGCGATGCAAGAAATGGAAACGCATTACCTGCTTGTGACCCCTTGGGCGGTTTTGACACAATGCGTTCAGACAGGGAGGGGGAAACGCATAAACACATCTATTACCTCCCGCGCAAATAGCTATATTGATGTAAACAACAAAAGGAGAAGTGGAAAGCATTACTACAAACAAACGAAAAAACGCAAAAATGCACTGCACAACATTGACCCATCCGTCCGTCATTCCTATTCCTATTTCTGACTATATTGTGATTAGTCATGTAAATAAAATGAGATTTGGTTATTCTTTTCTCTAATTTACATTTATATTGAATTAGTGGAAGGCAGGGTGCTGGCTGGCTGGAAGGGGTGGGAGGGTGGGTGAAAGGGGGGCATAGACAGGAGTGTGGGGGGGGGGATTTATTATACTGTGAGATTACAGGCAGATCTCATAGCCATTGTGTTGTGTAATTAAGGCAGCGGAGGGGAGAAGAAAGGGGGCCAGATGCTAGCCGGGGCCAAAACCTGCCCCAACAGAGGCTCGCTGATGGTGGACGCTGAGGTCTGTGTGCGTTCTGGACTTAAACAAACGGTCAAAAACGCTGCTGCTTTTCTTTGACGTGATTAAATGGATTTGTAACAACCACAAAAATACAGCTTGGATTCTTTTTATGTTAGTTATATAAAATGAAAAGAGGAGATATATTTTTCCGGAACATACAGTATGATGCATGTACAAGATGAAATTGTACATGTTTTTAGTTCTGGGGTTGAAACTCTCTCCACTGAGCCACCAAAGAGAAGATTTCACAATTTTTTTCTTACTGACTAATGGCACAAATTATGTTTCTGTCTAGGATGATCCTGAGAAATAAAAGATTTTCCACTGGTCTCAGAAATGGAATAAAGTCTGCCATTATTAGCCAACACTATCAAAGCTGTTACAATGTTTTACAGAGAAGCGAGAAATGTTGGCTGATTACTTGGTCTTATCATGTGGTAATTTAGTTTCTGAAATTTGCTTTTTAAATGTTGGTTAAGAAAAAAAAATGAAAATCAGACCTGATACTTGCCTCAATTAATTCATATGCAAAATGTGAGTGCCCTTAAAAAAAAGCTACCTCACTAAATTATTATTCTCTCTGCACACCACTTTCATTAGGGGTCATCTTTTTGTGGTTGTAAGGTCAAACTCACTGAGCCTTTGCGGCTTGTTTACTCCAAATAAAAAGTGTGATTTATGCTATTGCAGGCTGCAGGCTCAAATTCCCCCTTTTCAACTTTGCAAATCAGGTTATTATAAATCCCTCACTCAATCAGGGCACACAGAGGTGACCCTGCCTAGAGACACCCTTTTGGATTGGCTTAAATGAACAATTGTAAGCTTTGGCCTCAAGACTCCTGCTACTCCCTGCTCTATCCTGCTTTAGAGAAAAAACAACTAATCCCAACCTGTATTTTCCCGTTCTCACACAGTCTGGAGATACTATCAGTGCTGCTGTGTGCCCACGGTAGATGGCTGGATTACAGAGAGAACATGTGAGTGCCAAGGTTGTGGGCTTGTGTTTGTGTCCCAGTCTTCTCAAGAGAGGATCAATATTCAGCCCACTTACCTGCGTGATAAGATTACAAGTCCCTTAATCCATTATCACTTAATTAATTTCAGCCAAAAACAATATCAAAGGGCGATGCTGTGATCTTTAAATGTGCTTGTAAGATTTCATAAAGTTCCTTTTGTTTGCAGCTATTCTCTCAAGGCCGCTACTTAATACAGAAAAACAAATGATGCTTTTCAGACAAATGTTCTGAAGCATCCAGAGGGAATTTGTACAAATGCTGAACCTGACAATAGACAAGGAACTTGAAATAATCATAGAACTATAAATCCATGGAAATACCAAGTTGTTCTGGTAAGATTGGCTATGTGTCAACAAAGGAGGGGGGGGGGGGGGGATGTGATCAAGGAAGTGGTTTTAATATGATTATTAAATGCCATACTGTTGCTATAACCTATACAACTGACCACCATGCACTATGCAGCTGGTGGAAGAAATGCATGTTGAGTCTACTGTGACATTTTCTGATAACAGCCTTTGCTAGTGCAGTACATTTGGAAGAGTAGATCTACTTTTGTAACAATTCTTAAGTGCAGTTTTTGTCCGTTGTTTTTAAGCTCCGTCTACCTACAGAAAAAAAACATTGTATTTTAAAATAGACCTATCCCTTATGTCATCCCTGCACTGGGCAGCTGTCGTGTTTTGTGAAGAAACACTGACCCCTAGTGGTTACGTATCCTAATAACACTTAACGTTTGCGGCGGTTTTTACCAAAATCTGACCACGAGAGGGCGCCCGCTACTATAAATAAGATGTGTCCCACTTTGTACACAATAAATGAAAATAATGTAAACATTTTGAAGTCAATGCAGCACAAAGGTTTGACAATACACCCCCCCCCCCCTGTTCTCCATCTTGAACGTTACTTGCAACAGAAAAAAAAAACAATTATTTGACGGTATGCTAGAACTTTCTGGTGACTATTACATCTACTATTGATGAGTAATGATCGTTAACAGGACTTTGTCCCAGGCAGTATAGTAAACTTGCTCAGGGTGGATTGAAAATAATGGCTTATATCAGGGCCAGGGCACGCTTGTCACTTGGCAACAGCACCGCGCAGGCGCAGTATTGTGGTGATTTAAAGTTGAGGTACTTAATTTTGGTTTTTGTTTAAATACATTCATACCCGACAGAAAGAGCCTTGCAAAAGAAAACAAATGAGTAAATCAGATGAAATGCAGTCTATTGTTTATCTTTAGCATAAGAAAGAGCCCAGTGAGTCACTATTAGACACTTTGGGCAGGGCATTCATAGTTGTACAAGATTAGTCCTCTCTTTCAAACTTCTCTGTTGAAAAAGCTGATCTAAAAACGTGACGGACACTGAAAATAAATGTAAAAACTAGAAACTTGAAGGCAAAAAAGTTAGATGTATGTCATTTTAAAGTTCCTATTTTGTAATTTGAAAATTACATACCCCAGCTTTAAAGGGGGAGTGTGACACAAAGTAAAAACTTTGCTTGACAAGTGAATAGGGCACGTTAGCAGTGTTTTATCTTTGCGCAAACACAAGCCTCGCCCCGTCCTTGTCTCTCTCAACATCTCTCACACGAGACAGTCTAAAATATGCAGCGTGTTGGATTGAGTAAATAAACCAGCCCTGAGCACATTCCACAAGATGAACAGACCATCTCCTCTGTACACACTGACCCCTGAGCAAACCTGACAAATAGACTCAATAAGTTAAACCCAGGCTATTAAGCATAATTTAGTTTGGCCTTTCAAACCAATTTTAAGATTATTAGTTTTAAGTCAATCACATTATTAGTAACGGAAAAGGGGGTTACCATTTTCCCATTCTATTCTAGGGTCAAAGTCAAAGCAAACTTTTTTTGTGCTTACCTGCCTAAAGCCCACTGAAAAGCAAAGGCATTAGTGAGTTAGGGAAGCATGGCGTGAGATTAAAAATGAGTTCGAAACGTGTGTGTGATTTTAATTCAGGCACAAGCAAACATTCAGGTTAAAAAAAAAAAAAGCCACAGGAGCAATAAATCAAACAAGCAAACGGCAGTCACATTTCCACACGAGGAATCTTTCAAGTTTATTGACTCACTTTTATTGTACAAAGAATGCAAAAAATCCCCGTCTGTTCTGTAACACTGTCGAGGTGCGGTTAATAATAAGTGAAATCACAAACCATGCAGAAAACACGCGGTGCTTTTCAGAACACACACACACACACACGCACGCTTAAAAGTAAGAAAATGGGAGCAGTCATTTTCATGTATTAATACTCTACGTCAGTCCAAGTACGCACGGATGGTGACGGCTCACAGGTTAGCAAAGTGCAGCTTCGAGTGAAAGCCTGGAGTGGTGAAGTAGTCATTCTTTTGTTAAACTGGTCAAATGAAAAGATGACATGCACCTTGCTTTATGCATATATGGCGAAAGATAATAGCATATTTTGTTATAAAACACAGAATACCCCTACACATATATCCCCCCGAACAACGCAATAAATACAAATGTACAATAACTGTCTCTGTCCTAAAAAAAAAAAAAAATGAGAAACCTTTTTTTCCAAGGTGAGATGAGGACAGAGAGAAACAATCCACAGTCACTGGGGGGAGTTTTTCCAGGTCTCGAAACCTACGCTTGGTTTTCTTTGAGTTATTTGTTATCCAATCTCAGCATCTGCTCCTTACCATTAACTGTTAAAGATTTTAACTGGCCGTCCTCCTCCACTTCCACTCGCTCCTGACCGTTCTCCACGATCCTGCGATAACAACACGGTGGTTATTGAATCTATAAAAAGCAAAGCGAATTTTCGACGTGAACTGGACTGATGGGTACCGCTTTGTTGTGATTTTTCTGCCGTTGATAAACTTTGTGGAGGTTGACACGGATTTGAAGTTGCCGCCGCCGCCTCCACCTCCTCCTCCGCCGCCGCCAAACGATGAAGACGAGAATGACGTGAAGCCGCCGCCCATGTTGCCGCCGAAGGAGCCAAAACCTGGATTCAAGATTGTACACGTCAAATTCTTGTTTTCCTTTTAATTGGTTAAAATACAGACATACAATGGGATATAACAACACAGCAGCAAAGATCAGACAACATTGTGGACATTTACTGTACGTGTGTGTGCAGTGATGTGTGTGTGTATGGGTAAAAGATCCCATCAGACCTCAGAAGCTAAGCAAAATGGAGGTTGGTTAGTACTGTGATGGGAGTCCTCTGGGAACACCAACTGTGGCTTTAAAGGTCTCTGCACTGGCTTCCTGTGGCTTAGAGAATAGACTGTCTGCTACATGTTAATGCCATATGTTCCACGTCAGAGTCTGAGGAGCACAGGGACTGGCCTCCTGCTGGAGCCCAGAGATCGGACTAAACATGGGGAGGCAGAATTTCGTATTTATGCAGCTAAAATCTAAAACAGTCTTCCGGAACATGTGAGACAAGCTTCAACTCTGACAATGTTAAAATGCAAGTTAGCTGTGCATACATCTGAAGGATTGCATCTTCACTTCCTATACAAATAAAAAGGGCCTAACTGTCATTGTGTTCTTGGGCAAGACAGCTCACCCGCAGAGCCTAGTATGAGTGGGGTGTGTGCGCAAACTATTATTATGTGGCAAATATTAGTGCCTAAAGAGTTCTCATTATCGATAGAGCAGACATGAGTTATGTTTTCTTCAATGATTTTGATAAAAATAGAAAAATGAGGAAGTATAACTGCACCTGAATCAAACGCTGAGAAGCCGTGATGACCAAATGCTGGGAGGCCTCCAAACCCGAAAACCGAGCCCCCCATTGGTTGCCGGCTGCCCCCTCTGTGCCGACTGTGAAAGCCCCCAAAGAAATCGTCGTCGTCCCCTGCACAAACACACAAGGATACGTTTGGTGAACTAAACCCAGCGCTAAAACCCAAATCGGTTTTAGCTCCTCTCTGTCAATGTGGGTCACCTCACTGTTGTCACCTTGAACACAGAGCTGCCTGTTCTGGGCTCATGTCAAACACTAACTGCAGGATTGAGTTACAGCTAAAGACAATCAGCTCAGTCAAATCAGGAATGAGTCTTTGGCTCTGAGGAGGAGACGGTGCCTGCCGAGGCTGATGTGGAGAGTGTTGTGGATGATTAGAAAGTTAGATGGGAAGAAGTGACGCTGGATTCTTTCCAACTAATTCTGAAATGTAGACATCCATCTCAGTGGTGACTGCATTTTGGTGTAATAATAATTCTCAATACCTACAGTACACTTGTAAAGGGACCTACATAGTGTAAAGGGACTTGTAAAGGGACCTACATAGTTTAAACATGAACGGCTATGTCTATAAAACTCCTATGTTCAGAAATAATTACATTTTTGAGATGCTAAATATCTAAAAGCCTTCTTTCAGAGTTCAGTTTGTGTAGTAACAATGTATGTATTTACAAGTCAATGCTCGTGTGGTCTTGAGTTCATAATAAAATGTTTTATAATCAGGCAGTTTTCCAATGAGTGCTTTATCTCCAACAGGCAGCGAAGGCCAACCCACACAGTTACAGAGATGAGTTTTGAACCCGTTGATATAACCAAAGGGCAGAATGCAAAAGGTAAACCCAAAGCATTTAGAGCAGAGGATGAAGCTGCACATAAATAGTATCCTTATATTCTATCAATATGTTTTCAGTTGCTTCAAAGGAACAGCAGATTACCTTCTCCGATAGAATGATAAGATGCCCAGAGATATACATTATAATCGCAGCTGTTGTGCCGGAAATGTCCCACAGTGTCATTAGTAATGAGTTAAACAAAACACCCAAAGCTTATTGATTTTTTCTGTTTTTTTACTCATTTAGTTCAATTGGTCAATTATTGTTTTGTTTTTTTAAACCTTACATACTCTAGTTTTATGACATCTAACAAGTAGTCTCCATGAAGTTGTTCTCCAGGGGCATCGCTTGAGTTTTGTTATGGTCAAATGTAGAAAAATGTACAAGTCTGGACAAAAACTATAACCTATTTCTGACTTTAATAGTCGGCGGTATAGTTGGCACCACCAACTATTATTGGTTCTCTGTCATTGAAGACGCTGCCTTATAAATAGGAAGTGTCTGTTTGGCTCTGGTGCCAGGTTCTTGTGGATGGCCAGGGCGTTAGCTGGGCCATGTTTGTGTTTTTCCTGCTAAGTCAATCTGGTCAAATACTGTTTTTATATCATCGTCATTCTTTTAGAATACTAATTCTCAATTTGGGGTGATGAGTTGCTCATCCGTCTCCCTCCTCTGCTTCAGTCCCTGCCTGATACCATTTCAAAGGTAATCGTGCATGTGGGGATCAACGACATGAAGCTGCAGCAGTCCGAGGTCACAAAGAAGCATTTTATGGATCTATTCCGCCTCCTCCAGTCCTTCGGGTTGTGTGTTTTTATCTCTGGTCCAGTCCCGACTGTAAACCGGGGAGACTGCTTGTACAGTCGCGTTGTGGCGCTGAATATGTGGCTCCAGTCTACATGCAGCACTTTTAACTTTGTTTTTGTGAACAACTTTGGCCTGTTCTGGAAGCGTCACGTGGCCTATCGTCCAGACGGTCTGCACCCGAACAGATACGGCACCAGTTTGTTGATGGACTTTTTACGCCATGTTGTTCAGTGCTCCCCGAGGGGGGCGTGACTGTTTACATCCGAGGCCTCTCGGCCCCCACTACCACCTTCCTCCTCCACTCCAGCACCGGGTGAGTACTGTGGTGCAAACACTGACCCCTGTCCGTCTGGCAGTGTAATACCAGTCCTGCCACTGAACGGCACTTACTCAGTCATGCATCTGGAACTTAACAAAGTAAAACAGAGTTCACTTTTTAAACCAATAGAGACAGTGTGTGTTCCTCGCACCGGCTCAGAAATGTGTTTTAATTTGAATAAACACAAATATAACAGAAGGACAGCAGTTAGACGGTCCAACTCAGGAAATCTAATTCCAATTCTTTGTAGTCAATCAACTAAACCCACTGACACTGACATTATTTTTAACCTTGCTCTGCTTAATGTCAGATCACTATGCAATAAATCCTTTTTAATTAATAATTTTATCTGTTCTTATGATCTTGACTTTATGTTTATGACTGAAACTTGGCTTGACCATAATACAGAAAATGCAGTTTTAATAGAAACAACACCACCAAATTTCAAATTTGAATCAGAAATTCGAGAAAATAAAAGAGGAGGAGGCACAGCAGCAGTTTTTAAAGATTGTATTGTCTCCCATAGAGTACCTCTTGGGAAATTTTCCTCATTTGAGTATGTCTCTTTTAAAATAGAACAAAAACAATCTTCTATTCTTATTATTGTTGTGTACAAGCCGCCACAGTCATGTCATAGTTTCACTGATCATTTCACCGAGTTGCTTTCAGTTGTGTGCACAGACTTTGATAGTTTAGTCGTCATAGGTGATTTTAATATACATGTAGATAACGTTAATGATAGATACGCGAAAGAGCTGAGCTCTGTGCTGGAAACCTTTGGTCTCACTCAGCATGTGAGTGGCCCCACCCATAGCAGAGGACACACTCTCGATCTGCTAATTACTAAAGGGGTTAATATCTCAAATGTAAATGTGGCCAATGTTGCTCTGTCAGATCATTTCTGTGTATTTTTTGATATGTGTCTCAATAGTAAAGCACGAGCTGAATCCTCAATTGTTAGAAGAAGAAGACACATAAACAAAAATACAGGTGAACTTTTCATGGGGATGATAAACTTTGATAACACGTTGTGTTCTACTGTGGATGAATTACTTAACTCTGTCACCTCTAGTGTTTTGGATGTTCTGGACACGATTGCTCCTGTAAAGGTCAAAATTGTTACAAATAAGCAAAAGGCGCCATGGACAAAAGCAGACTCTGTCAGGGCACAGAAGAGAGAGTGCCGGAGAGCCGAGCGGAAGTGGCGAAAGTCAAATCTCCAAGTTGACCATGAGATCTTCAAAGATGCATTGTGCAAGTTCAACAGTGTGCTACGTAGAACGAGGGAAACTTATTTTTCCGAAACAATCGAAGGTTGTAGTGGCAATCTACGCGTTCTGTTCTCAACGGTAAATAAATTGACAAATCCCCCTGTTAAGATGCCATCAGAGCTTACCTCCAAAACCAAATGTAATGAGTTTGCAGAGTTTTTTAATGACAAAGTCCAAGGCATCAAAAATGCCATCACCTCCACAGTAGAAATTACAATCCAACAGCCAGTGAAGCTTTTTGGGCTAACACACTTTACACCAGTACAAAATGAAACTGTCCAAATGATAATTACAAGTCTGAGTTCTTCTACATGTAGCCTGGATGTATTACCTCCTAGATTTCTTAAATCTGTTCTGAGCAGTCTATTACCTTCACTCACGCATATAGTAAATATGTCTCTTGAATCTGGAACATTCCCAATGGCCCTGAAAACGGCAGTCATCAGACCCCTCCTAAAAAAGAGGAGTCTGGATGCCTTGGCACTTAAAAGTTATCGGCCCATTTCAAATCTGCCTTTCATGGGTAAAATTCTAGAAAAAGTTGTCTATCACCAACTTACAGAATTTTTAATAATCAATCACTCTTTTGATATGTTCCAGTCTGGTTTTAGACCCCACCACAGCACAGAGACCGCTCTAGTGAAGGTAACAAATGACATCAGACTTAACACTGACGCAGGAAAAGTCTCAGTTCTTATCCTGTTAGATTTGAGTGCTGCTTTCGACACTGTCGATCATGGTATCCTCATTCAGAGACTTGAGGACTGGGTTGGTGTTTCTGGAACAGCCCTAAGCTGGTTTATATCCTACCTACAGGACAGAAAGTATTTTGTGGAGATCGGAAACTGTGTCTCAGACCATCTGGCCCTGACCTGCGGAGTGCCACAGGGCTCAATCCTGGGGCCTCTCCTGTTTAATATTTACATGCTGCCTCTGGGTAGGTTAATACACAGTAATAACGTGTCCTATCACAATTACGCTGACGATACTCAGGTCTATGTGTCCCTGACAGCAGGAGAACATGGACCAGTGGACTCGCTCCTTCACTGTATCCAACAGATCAGTGATTGGATGCAAAATAACTTTCTCCAGCTAAACACAGAAAAAACTGAAATTATTGTTTTCGGACCTCAGAAACAAAGAGAGAGCGTTATCTGCCACCTCCAGTCTCTCTCCCTGAAACCCTCAACTCAGGTCAGAAATCTAGGAGTAATAATGGACTCAGACTTGAATTTCAATAGCCACATATCATCTGTGACATCATCAGCTTACTTCCACCTAAGAAACATTGCTAAAATTAAAAACATTGTGTCTAAAGCAGACTTGGAGATTCTTATCCACGCATTTGTCTCCAGTCGATTGGACTACTGCAATGGCTTGTTCACAGGTCTCTCTAAACAAGCGGTAAAACAGCTGCAGTACATCCAAAATGCTGCAGCTCGAGTCCTGACTAGAACCAGGAAGTACGACCACATTAGTCCGGTCCTCAGGTCTCTGCACTGGCTTCCTGTGGCTCAGAGAATAGATTTTAAAGTAGCTTTACTTGTGTACAAGTCTCTCCATGGCCTCGCACCAGGGTACATCCGCGACATGTTGGTGCCATATGAACCAACTCGGGCTCTGAGGAGCACAGGGACTGGACTTCTGTTAGTGCCAAGAGTCGGAACTAGACATGGGGAGGCTGCGTTTCAGATTCATGCAGCTAGAGTCTGGAACCGTCTTCCCGAGAGTGTGTGAGACAGGCGTCTACTCTAGCAGTTTTTAAAACTGAACTGAAAACAGTTCTTTTTAGCTGTGCATACAAGTGAATGATTTTACATTTGTTTTTATCTTTAATCTTTTTAATGCGCTATGATTATTTATGATTATTTATGATTGTAATCCCTTGTGTGATTTTAATTTTTTACGGTTTTTAACTACTTGTGTGATTTTATATATCTTGTGCTCTTAATCTGTCTTTTTATGTTTACTTAAATTCTAATGTTTGATGATTTATGCATGATGTTATATGGGTTGTGAGGCGCTTTGCGTTGCCTTGTGTAGGAAAGGCGCTCTATAAATAAACGTTGATTGATTGATTGATTGATGAGTTTTAGGAGGATTGGAGTGGCGCACTGAATGAATGAATAAGCTCCAAGAGGTACACGTGTTTATTTAAATACTGATTAAAAGGTAACTTTTTTCTGTAAAAGAATACTGTTAATGCAACATTTGCATTAAGTTTAGTTTTGTAGTTAGTTGGGGTAGTTGGTTCAAAGACAACACATGTCTTTGAACCAACTACCCCAACCTTTTATGTTTTGTATGTCAGTCTTTTCCGTTTTGTCCAACACGTTGCACATGATTACAATTACCTTGTTTCAAAAAAAAAAAAAAATATTCTGATAACTTTATTTATAAATATGTCCAATGACCCGTTACTGTTTCACTTGGAACATGACCTTTCGGGATCTAAACAACTAATCAATTGTCAAAACAATAGGTCATCACAGCCCAAAGTTCTGTACAGACGTATTAGGTACAGACGTATACATTTCTTGCAACAGAATACATATATATTTTTTTATACTTGCTTCTTTATAATGCTAAAGTTAGAGATTTTATTTTATTATAGTATAGAGTTATTATTCATTTATCTTCCATCCATCCATCCATCCATCCTCTTCCCTTTAATCCATTTCTGGGTCAGGGGGGTGGCAGTCAGAGATGCCACCCAAGTCTCATAGCACCAGCCCCTCACTGACCCTCTGCAGGTGGTGAGTCCACAGGAGGACGGCTGCTCTCTGAGTGTGAGCATAGCCTTGATCTTTCAGTGGGGGCTTTGGGCAAAGTGGGGTTAAGTGTCTTGCCCAAGGACACAACGACAGCAGTCATCAGTGGGAGTCGGTGGAGAAGGTGCAGAGGTGGGAATTGAACCCACGACCTTCTGGGCTTAAGGCCAATGCTCTACCAACTGAGCTACTGTCGCCCAATTATCTTCATTTATCTTGTGCTCCTTATTCCTACTGTTCTATAACTGGTGATGCAAGACTGAAATTTCAAGGCAAAGGAGTAAGATGCCAGCGGAAAAAGTGGCTTGTGCACTTTAAGACAAAAGTGGGCCATGTGTGCCTAAAAACAAGCGTCCCTGTTCCTCGCTGGGGCCTGTGGATGTGGATTTTGGCTGAGGGCCCTGGTCGTGTGGAGCAGTGGACCACTGCAGCGCTCTGCTCTCAGACACTGACAGATCCACGCCACCAGCTGCCCACAACACACGCTGCTCACAACCGAGGCTGGAGGCTTTCTTTCCAAGTGGGAGAGAGAGAGAGGGAGAGAGAGAACGCGCAAGAAACAAGTAAAAATAAATGCCTCATATCCTGTTACGATCCAGGCACAATATAAGCGCCAACTTGACCTTTGGTAATCAGATGTTGTGGACAGCTTTAGGTCCTGCTTCTTCAGAATATACATATTTTTATGGTGGCTAACTGTTATGTTCACCCCCGGAGCGGAGCAGGTTTTCTGACACATGGGTCTGCTCCCACTTGCCGCTATTACATCTGCTTTGTTTTAATATGGAAGCTATTTTTGAAAACATTCCAGTAGAGTGATGTGGATGGTCAAATCTATCCTCCGCCTGCGTCTGAACTCCATATTTAGAGCTGCGCGGGGTGAAGTACACATGCCTTCCAATCAGCCATTAGCTGATCCCAACCGAACCAGAGCAGGGGCTAAAACCACTTTCAATACAATACAACGTCTGTCGCTGTATTGTATTGTGTCAGCGTCGCCACCTCCGATCCGCACACACAATCAGGCTGAGTTTTACGAATGATGGAATGTTAGCTGGAGTTGCCTCTCCTCAAGAGAAAATATGTTATGTTATTCTATGTTGGATTCTGTTGTTTTAGAAAGGTTTAGGACAAACTTGTTTTTCTACTCGGCAGTTTAAAAGCACTCGTCAGCAGGATATCCAATACAAAACTCAGCAATTTATAGTGAAAATATTTTTGTTTAAACATGTCTGAACAAAACAATTAGGTCAAGCTGTGCCTGGATCAAGTTGTTGCGGTCAAGGAGGAGGAAACAGTCAAAAATGCTGTGTCAATGTGAACGAGTTGGTGACCTGCCCTTCTCATCCCCTGTAACTGAACATGCCAAGTATTAAACTATTTATTTCCTGCCTTTTCATCAGTATTCAAATAAATATTATCGTGACACCGCCTGACATATAACTGCATTATCACAAACAATTTGTCACTATCAGAGAAGAGGGAAGAGAAGATTTTGTACTGCCGTGATTGAAATAAAACAAAAACTATGAAACACTGCTGAATCACTTCCTCCAATGTCTACAATATAAAATGAGCACAAACTGTTCATAAAAAAGGCATGACGTCAAATGCCTCTGAATAAATCTGTTGCCTCTACACATCCTGTGAATACCTAGATCCTGGTCCAGATATTGGGAAATATTCTCAATTCCAGGCGGCTAAAATAAACTCGTATATAACCGCAGTATAAATCTAGTCCCAATGTGGCGTCAACTCAGTGAGCGTTCTTCCCCATCCATTTTCAGCGACTGTTGAAATAGGTGTAAAAGATGTGCAAAAGCCATTGTCCAGTTAATAGTGAAATATTCTTCAAAGACAAAAACAAATCATGATCTTCACACAAAACAACACTGGGGAACGACAGTGGCTCAGTTGGTAGAGCATTGGCATTTGAGCCTGAAGGTTGTGGGTTCGAGCCCACCACAAGACCTACTTCATGACTCCCACTGATGACTGCTGTCGTTGTGTCCTTGGGCAAGACACTTAACCCCACTTTGCCTGAAGCCCCCACTGAAAGACCAAGGCTCCTGCGGACTCACCACCTGCAGGAGGATCAGGGAGGGGCTGGTGCTCTGTGTACTGGGTGAAGCACTGACTGCCACCCCCCGGATTAAGGGGAAGAAAATAGATGAATGGATGGGAAGAATTCCCCCCTATAAAACAAATTCACTGAACTCCAAATATCTTAAGAGGACACTAAAAGGGGGTGATAAGGTTTTGTTACTAAACCAAGCAGGAGAAGACCAGACTCCACCCATTTCCTCAAGTCTTTAGGTTCAGACTGGACTTACTTTGGGAAATGGGTCTGGTCTGGTCTGGTTTGGTTGGAATTACACTGGCCCTTTGAGGACCGGTTTGACACCACTGTTGTAAAGCCTACAGATAAGGGATAATTCCTAACACCAGGAGTGAGCCTAATGCTGCTTTTTCAAAGGTTTGTATTTAAACTATATTCATCCTTTGCTTTATTGTAGATTGGTACAACGCTTTAAACTGTGTGAACAAAGTGCATTTACAGTTTGGAGTGTGAATGTGACCTATAATCCATCATTCATAACCTCCTGAATGCATCAGTCTATACACAGTCTACAGTGTTTTGATGCAGATGACATTTTCCGGCAGAGGCCTCCTGTTGTGAACCCGCGTCACTGCACTCCGCAGGCTTTAAGAACGCACAGGTGAGGACTAATGAAACGTTGTAGCAGATTAAATTCTTACCAAAGAAATCTGCAAACGGATCTCTGCCGCCGAAGAATTCCCTGAAAACGTCTTCTGGGTTCCGGAATGTGAAGCCGCCGCCGCCAAAGTGATCGTAGTGACCTCCTGAGGGCAACATTAACAACACGGTTCATTTCACATTGTTGTTTGGGATTCCAAGCTTCACACATTGTTTACAGACTGGAGTCACGATGAGCCACTTACCTCCACCGCCGCCTCCGCCTCCTGAAAGGCCTTCTTTGCCGTATCGGTCATAAATATCCCTCTTGTTCTCTGCCAGAGGTAAAGATAAGATAAAGTTTAGAGTATACTGCGTGGAGATTACATTATCCGGTTATGGCTTCCTTCCAGTCATAGTTTTGATGGAAGGGAGTGATGATAATGAGCCTATAGTCAGACATCCCAGGGCTACAACTTGACAAACTTCTCGGCGTCACAAAAGGAAACTCTGACGGTAACAACATTGTGCAATCCTTGTGCCTACAGCCTCGTTTTTCTCAATGAGTGTGCGCGACATACCTTCGACCAATAAATATGTAACACACCGGTGCCCAAACCAATAGAATTTATCAAGCTTGTTTTAAAGTTGTGGCTGTCAAACGATTGGCCCATTTACAGTTGAATGACACTACAGCAGTGGAGTAACACCGGTCTCTGTTTACATATGAGAAAACATTAGATCGATGAGGATTTATCCGATTACTGAAATGTAGGTGGGTTTGAGCTGACGAGGCTGATGTCTTTGTGAATGATTAACTGAAACATTGATGATTAGATGATAGTAAAACAAATTGTGAAAGCCATATCCCATAAAACCTGAAGCTAAGCAGTACTGTGATGGGAGACTTCTGGGGCGGCTGCGGCTGTAACGTGCCAAACTGTTGCTGTGTCCTAGGCAAGACACTTCACCAGCATTGCCTAGAATGAGTCTGGTGTGTGTGTGTGTGAATGGTTGGTGGTGGTCGGAGGTCGGAGGGGTACATACTGGTTGCCTCACTTCTGCCAGTGTGCCCCAGGGCAGCTGTGGCTACAGTAGTAGTAGTTTATCACCACCGTGTTTGGAGTGAGAGAATAATGACATATGAAGAGTCTTTAAGTGTTGATGCATTATTATAACAATTATTATTATTATCAAATATTTCTGTTGGTTATTGTAGCTGATTCTGTTTAATGCTTGGACAAGGGACGGCTATGCCTTACCATCTGAGAGCACCTCATATGCCTCCGACAGCTCTTTGAACTTCCCCTCGGCTTCGTCCTTATTCTCCGGGTTCTTGTCGGGGTGCCATTTTAGGGCCAGTTTCCTGTAACTGAAACACACAATATTTCACATCAGTAACGAAAGTCCACAACATAAAATACAGTTGAGGGAGAGGAACTCTATGTCAAACAGAGCATTTATGCAGAAATAGGGCTGCTGCTGTAATACATAATAGTTGACCATTTACAGAGACTACACAGACTAATACTTTTATTATTCAAGATTGCTGTAATAGCTAAATAATTTATACAAGCTTTCACTCCTTATTTTGGTTAAAGGCTGTTTTTTAAATACAAATTTGCTACAGAATAACGGCTAAAAGACTAGTTCTCATCTGGCTCATCGTTTTGCATAATCGACCAAGACAAAGGCCCAGTGTCCGAGAGGCATCCGCTGCATCAGCTGTTTGTTCAGATGCAGCACAGACTCTGGGGCTGAAGGTCACAAACACTCACAATTCACCTAATCCAGGGTTCAGACTCGTAATCTGGATTTGTTCAACACCGATTCTCATTGGTTTTTGCGTTTTGAAATCACTACAAAACATTACATGAAAACCATGTGGTCAGGAACATAGAGTGAACATCCAGCTAAAACAGATACTACTTTAAAACAAAGTTAGTCTTTATTAAAAGGAGAAGAACAATTAGACACATCATTTTTTTGGGTGATAAAAAAAAAAATCAAATCAAATCTATATTTAGTCTTTTCAATAGCAAAGATTGATAAACTGGGTTGGTGCATCGCTAGGATTTGCAATGTTTGCCCAGAAGAACAGAAAAACGGGTTCAACCTGGTTGACTCCTTTTTAAATCACATTTGTCTTTTTTTTTTTTAATCTATGCTCAGTTGTAGTGACTTTAAACTCACCTAGTGTCGACATATCACAAGTTCTTTGATAGTTCACAAACATGAGAATGTCGTAACAAAACAATAGTTCTTCTGCTTCTATAGTTCAGCAGCTGGTTGTGATGTCACACTGCTCCCTGTGCAAAGCTTGTTACTGCCTCCTTAAAGACGCATGTTTACATAAGTGACATTTAACAGAGTGCAGTGAGCCTGTGCGATGGCGGTGTTCAACACAGTCTTATGAACGTGCAGCAGGTCACAGCAGAATGAAGCTCTCACAGCAGAACACTTACGCTTTCTTAATGTCGTCCTGCGTTGCATTCTTCTGAACTCCTAATATGTGGTAGTACTCCATCATATCTGTGTCTGGCTCTTAGCTGCTGCTCTCCACGTGGATCTGCAGAGACACAGAAGTTTTGTTCTGTTAAGACATGTTTGCTGTCAGAGATAAATCCAAACGCAGAGCGCATGTGAAGGGAGGAGGGGCAGGGACATTAAAACAGGGTGGCAATTCACAACAATGTAATCAACTCCCCCAAAATAGAGAGCATGGCTAAATACAAGCCTGGGGTTATTGCATAATAACTGGGAGATCATCACTCAGCCTAAAGGCATAAGAAAAGAACCATGTTCCACTTCTGAATTTGAAGACAAATATAAAGCAGTTTCATAACATCCTGACCTCATGTTGAAGATATGCAATTTTTTACTTAGAAACGAGTCAGAACGTGTCCACATTAAAGTCATTCTGCTGAATGTTTATGTGCCCCCGAGTGCTCAGACATTTTGGGAGTTTTAAAACCAACTCATACACTAGGACTGTAATAACAAGGGACATTTATAACAAGCAATCTGCAAACAAAAAAGTGTAAACAAGGTCAGCATTAACTATGTTCATGCCAGGAATTATTGTAGAGATACTTACATATTTAAGGATTAAAATAATTCCCATTATTAAAGAAAATAAATTATTAGCCTAAAAATGAAAGTAGTAACTATAGATAGTCCTTTGAGAGTAATACAGCTTGTGTTTTAAAGCGCTTCCTCAAAAGCCAAAACAGATAACACATTCTCATATATAAACCGCGAGCATTTTGAAACTGAAAAAGTCCCCATGTCGTTAGCTGACCTTTATCACATTTGTTCGGTTACTATATAAAATACATAATCCTGCAGGAGATGTGGAAATGTCTACACAGAGCAGCAAAGCACAATTTCCCCCATTGGAACAAGACTTAGAGATGGTATGTGCTTTTAAGCTCTTGTGGCTTTGGTTTCACAAGTGTTCTATTTATTTACAACCGACAGACGACCAAACACAAACATTCCCATACGCTTTCTAAAACCACCGCACTTTCATATCTTGCTTTCAGAAGAATTAGGTTAACTGACTAAATACGGCATATGATATCAAAACTAACTTCCTAGATTTTTCATACCATGTTGTCTATTTATACCTGTGGTGTGTGCTTGTGTCATGGTCGTGCAGAGGGCTGTTTGGCTCAAAGTAGTGCCAACTTCTGCCAAGGAATGATTCTTGACTGGGATGTGGAACTGGATGCACTTTGAAAATGTCTAAGCGGTCTCTAATATCACCTTTGTTGGTATGCGTCCATCTGCAGCCACACAGGGCTCTTGTCTCTTTGTAAAGGCGTATCTGTGTGTGTGCGCCTGCAGTGGCAAAGCACAGCAGCTAACCCACATCTAATGGATTTCTCTGGACTGAACTGTGCCTCAGAGAAAAAGGCTGCATGTGGGTCAGTCAGTCCCATGAAGCATCAGCGTGGAGCGTTATTCAAGAGGCGACAAGTTTGTGGTCAAACACGGCGCGTTCAGCCGGTCATTCGAGTCACACCTAAAACCTACAATCAACAAAGCAACTATCCACTTCAATCTAGAGCCACAAATCAAGGGACCAAAACAACAAAAACATAAAACATACTGAGGACAGAGGTCTAAAGGGACGAGGTCAAATATTATTATACAAAATATTAAACCTAAGCATCAATCATTTATTTAGGATTGCAGCTACCCGTTTTTTAATGTTAGTCGACTAAAAAAGGGGGTATGACAAATAGGATTTTGTCCCCAAACTGTAATGTAAAAACTATTTAGTGTATAAATCACTGAACTATTTAACTGGAGAGGACTGCAACTCAATGAGGACACTGTTCAAAAAACCTGAACAAGTGAGTCAAATAGTTTACTCTTAAATAAGATTAGGGCCAGAGCACATTTAATGCCATTAGGAAGACAGACATTCTTGTGATTGAAATGATCTGTCAACTAATTGCAAATAAATTTAGTCGAAAAGAACCATTCACAAATTAAAACTAAACAACTACACAGAGTACATCACATTTTGTTTATACAAATTTATAAACGAAAGTCATTTAATTAACATATTGGGGGAAAACAAACCATAATATGCCATTCTTATCTTGTTTTTATGTTCCTGCTGGCTGAGAGAGCTGATACTCTTTCACTGAAAAGGTTGATGAAGAGAAGTGCAAAACTAGTGATAGAATAGAATAGTATCACACCATCATACTAGTTCCTAGCTTTGAGAGCGAGGAACTAGTCACATGGTTTTAATACATGCTTTTGTAGGGATTCAAAGTTAGGTCGTCTAAGTCTAATAAGTGTAACCCTGTACTTTAAAGAACCCAAAGGAGCTGGCTGATCCTTATAATAAACCAAACGTTGTGATAAGACTTCTTAAACAATGTACGAGAATCCCTGGTTTAATAAAGACAATAGCTGCTGATACCTAGAATGTTCTACACAAGGAAAACACGGAAACGTGAAGGACTATGCGGAACACGGGCTTGTCAACGGACCAATCAGCGCTCACGGATGATCGCGTTACTATAGAAACCAGCCAGTTAGAAACTTCTGGATGACATAAATACTTTTTATTTACGTATAGCGGGTAAATAACGCATGTTTCTCATCTACGCTGTGTCAAAGTAAACACCAACCCCCATAGTAGTTTTAATCTTTGACTTGATGTTATAATATATGACAATAAGCTACACTATAACCGACACGGGTTCAAAACAAGCGCAGTTCAAGGTACATTTAGCCAACATTAGGGTAACTGTTCCAACTATAACAAGTGCAACCAGCTTGTGACGTTAGTAGGCTCCGTGGGTCAGATTTGGGGAAACAGGATGACTGACGTGTGTCCCCATAATCACTGCTCTCTGACGTTACTGAACCCAAATAGCTACAGACTCGTCCATAATCTGTGATACACGCGATTAAAAGGTTATTTGTCCATGACCCGAGTCTACAGAGGACAGTGTGGAGCGGCAGACGAGCATCGCACTGTGGGGCTAGCTTCACCGGGGGCGGTACGGGCTGGCGCGGGTTAAATGTTCCCATCTAACGTTACCCAGGACAGGGTGAGTGTATGTATGTATGTGTGTGAGTGGTGCTTACCTGTGGTGCAGCAGTGTGTAGTGTGTCAGCAGTGTGTGGTATGAAGGCCGGATCTCCGCGTGTGTGTGTGTTCTTATTGTTGGAGGTGGTTGTAGCTGGTAGTGCGGATGGCCAGCGTCAACTACGTTCAGCCGCGTTCACGGGACATCGGATTTAATGGTACTCGTATTCATTTAAATAAACAATAACGTGTTCATGTCATGGATCTAAAATAATAACATGTGCTATATTTCAGTTGACTCGATACTAAACTAATAATAATTATTTACAAAAAAATAATCAACACACACTTGAACTAACTTGCAAAAGTGCAGCATAAATGGGTGTGTTGTCTCACCTACCTAAAGCAACGTGTGCCCTTTACGTTTTTTGGTACCTTTCCAACGTTGCTTTCTGTGAAAAAAAAAAAACTGATGCTATTTTAATATGCTGTAGTTCAACACTACGAGACGAGCTCTTGGCCACGGCTTTGTGCGCCATCTGTCGCCCTATATCCTCCATGACAGCATGATAATCGATCATCTTCAACTATCATCACAGGACATGGCCTTCTGTCTGGTTCACGAGGCAACCATGTTAAAAGGAGTTTATAGTTGCTACTTAGAGAACAGGAAGGTGACTCAACTACAGAAAAGTTACATTGTAGTCAGGGCCGACATTGGATGGCGTAAGTTAAGGTGTAAAAAAGGTCAACAAGACATATTGGCAGATGGCTAGACTTTTATAATAAAATGTCATTTCATTCACAACATTGAAGTGTTGACTTGTTTTAAGTAAATGCATTCATTTGAATTGGACATAATCACTGGCAGTGAATCAGTAACGTATTACTCTCAAAACAGGAAATATAACTTAAAAAGATTATAAACAAGTGTTTACCAGCTGAGAATCAAACCCACTGTCCACATCATTAATGCTTTATCAAGAGTAGACATTTCTTATAAACACATAAGTTATTTGCAAACCATGAAGCATTTGACCTGAATGTTATCCTTTATGATCTCGAGATTAACTAGATTCTAGACAATGGAACTCTTCACCCGCATGCAGTGCCCGCAAATGCCCAGCAGGTGGAAGTCCTGTATTAAAGACCGAGACCCATTATTCTACTGGTGGCACCTGAGACTTTTCCCACCGGACTACATTTTCTATAAAGGGTATGACAGAGTTCTGTAGGAAACACGCTTCCCTTTTTGTTGTGTAGTTACATAAACAAGGATTAAAGCATTGATAGCCTCTAAAAGGCCTGCACAGCCTACAGTATAGAGCAGTGTCTCCCAAAGTGGGGTCCGCGGCCCCCTGGTGGGCCGCGAGGGTACTGCAGGGGGGCCGCGGGAGGTCATAAAAAAAAATAATATAATTATTTAATGTTAAATTTATAATGTTTTGTTTGTAATATTAAAATATTTGTGTTCATTATTTGACTTGAATAATCCACTGTAATCATTTTTGTATTACAATGTTTGTAGCAGAGGCTATTTCCCCAAAATAAAATAACCAGAAGAGCCTATTCTTAATGTTGTCTTCTTGTTAATTATTTTGGGGGGCCACGCAGACCCGTCAGATTTTTAAGGGGGCCTCGGTGTTACTGAGTTTGGGAATGGCTGGTATAGAGTATACTGTATACAGTGAAGATGATTCACAATCCTTCATTAACTTTGTCAGTTACAATCCATCACAAGGTAATAGTCTTAAATAAATCTTACAGTAATTGAGATGAATCCCTCATTTCAATGACAAGTCTGGTTTTTAAGACCCAATTACCACTTTTGAGTTCCTTGGCCCAGTGGTTGTGTGGGCTTTGGGCTCCAAAACGAGGAAAGGGCAGCACTTTGCGTTTAAACAAGACGATCGAGAGATGGACCCATTCCAAAGCGGGATGGATCTGCTCCTGGGCTGTGCTGCATCAGAGGGCAGTAAGATTTATGACAATTGCATACAATCTTAATTTGTGCCCAGTCCGATAATGCATTTCAAGGCCAGAATAGTCCTGCTCAGTGTTTCTTAACTGGATGTTTCTTTAATTATATGTCAGAGGCCATAAAACTCCAGAAGAAATTTCCCACAAATTCATGTCTTCGATAATTAGAGTAAATTACAGGCAAGAGAAAAAAGAATAAAATGGAAAAGAACGGGTTTATTCACACATTTTCGTTTGTTGGTAAACCTCTGTTCTAGTGACAGGGACCATGTCCTCACATCAGACTGCTGAGGGAGCAGATTGTACAGATAAGCTATAGGACAGAAAGGACACCCTGTACAAAAAATAATACAAGAGTAAACATATACATATTCACAAATCCATAATTATTTTATGTTCCTCTCAATCAGTTTCTGCAAAGCCACTTATCTCCCCAACATTCCACACATGTAGCATCCGATCTGTTCACACCGTCGATGGGTCACACGCATGGTATGGGACATGACACTAGTGGTGACAAATAGAAAACTGCAAAGCTGTGTGAATACATAATGAACTGAACACTTTCTGCTGATTTAGATTTATATATTGCCTTTAATTATGCTTCCACTGTTTCTTTCTTTGGTGAAAATACTCGGGAGAGCAGCTGCTACTAATAGATGTATTTTTCTTTTACTGCACTATTGCGGTTATTCCAATGTATCTGACATTAAAATAGTTAAAACCAACAGATAAAAAGATTCCACTCTGCTCAATCCTTTCTTCAGTCCACAGGCATTCGCACGAACACACACCAAACAGGGCAGTTCATTGTCCCACACTCCGCAGTCAGACCTAGATTTCCGTTTGTGTCGTCGGCCCTCAGCTCAGCTCGAAGCCAGCAGATGACTCGATTGCGTAAAGTAGCTTGTTCCTCATGAGGTGTTGGTCGGAGAATTCAGGGAGCTTGAGCAGGTTCATGCAGGTACTTGCAGTGGGCAGACGTTCCAGATCAGATCCTCCGTTGTGGATGCAGAAGGCCGGATACAGCTCCTGTGCACACACCACTTTTATTAGCCCATTGCCACTGATTACGGCTCAAAGTTTTAAACATTAAGCAGCTGACGGAAAATAGATTATCGTTATCTTCCGAGCACCATGTTCAAAGCAATTCCAATGAAGCCATAAGTGTGACATTCCACCAGCGGATAAATGTTAAAAGAGAGACATTAGCAGCTAACCTCATATGGAGCCAATATAAATTTAGGAAATCAGTTAGAGCTTGAACGATACTGAGTGGGTGAATGGCCTAAAGTTTGACCCCATGATGAGCGACTGAATGAATGGTCATTTCATGTTGTCTATGGAGGCATTTTTTAAATCAAGTCAGCTGATGATGAGGCCACCTCATCTGCAGGCGGTGACACGGACCCCTTTCATCACACGCCGAGCCAACTGAGACGCTCCTCTACCTGATTTCCTCCTGCTATTTAAAGTTAGCATTTACGGTTGGCGGCCGTGCTTTCCCGATTAAATGGCTCTACTGGGACTCTGCCGTAATGACCCAATTTTTCTGACAATTACCGTATTAAACTATCGTTGCTTATTGAGAAAGTGCCATTACCAACGCCATCATTTAGAAAAAAAGATAGTTTCCATCATTTTTTTGAAATGGCTTCTCCTGACAGAGCTATTCCTTCTCTAATGAATCCTGGGCCGTTTCACGACAGCTAATTAAGCCTTAGCTGGCTCAAACTGAGGGCCGGGTCAGGGGCCACTCCCCCACAAATTACTGCCCTCTCCAGCACAGCGACGAGGTAACGGGATGGGCTGTGCTGGCCAAAGTCAGACTGATTAAATGTGGAGAGGAGCAAACAGCTCTGACACAGAGGAAGTAAACAATATTAGAGGAGATTTGATAAAAATGTGAACCCTGGGAGAGAGAACATTTGCAGGTAGTAAATGATCAAATATTTACAAATTACAAAAAATCTTAAAAACAAGATGCAACGGTTCATAAAAGCAGATGGCCACATAAGAAAAGATAGTAACCCGAGATGGTAAATTTGCATTCCAAAATAAAAAGAAATTGTTTTGAACTATGAGTGATGATACAATACATTTTACAGAGGTACAGTGAGTGCACCAGTCGATCAAAAATATACTGTTTTCAAAGAGTAAAGACAAGTAAAAAGGGAAAAGAGGTGCAGGTGCTCCTCAAAGATTAGTGAAAACACAGTGGAACAGAAAATAGTGGTCCTAGGCCTTCTTTTTAAGACTAAAATGACAGCACTATTCACCGTTTTTTAATCTGCAAGTCAGTCTCATCTCTTTCTACAATACAATACATGTTTTGTATTTTACTAAATGATCTAAAAAAATATCAAAGAATCAGTGAAGCTTTCCCTCCCCTAAGAAGATGGTGAAAAATCAACCGAATTAAGCATCTAAAACTTTTCTTGACATAGTATCGACTCAAAAAGATCCAATATTTTGGCTGAAATTGTTCCAAAGTAAAATTGGCAAGATAGAATGCCTCAAGAAGAGCAAAGGATAAACCAACTCTTTATCTTGTGCAGATTGAACCACATAAAAGGAGAATCTCTTATGAGAGTAAAGGATCACTATAGAGGGGCTAGTTGTTAAAAATATGTCACAAGGGAACAATGTGTAAAGTTGCTAGTTTTCTGAGGGGTCGGGGGAATCTGAGTTCCGGAGGAGACAGTGCAGGTGCTTAAACAATTTTTTTTTTAAACATAATAATTCATTATTAAAACAAATTAATCAGATGGACTGCCCTGCCAAGACAGAACTAAAAATAATACCTTGAATCCAAGCAGAGGGGGTCTGGAGCAGCTCGTTACAAACTTTAGCAGCTTTCGTTTTTCTTCGTCTGTGAAACTCTCCACCACTTCCCAGAAGGTTTGGATGACGGGGTGAGTGGGCGTGTAACCACCTGGGTAGATTCAAATAACAATAAAAAGTCTATCCTTTTCAGCAATCATACAGCAGAGGTTCAATTACTAAATCTAATCTAATTTAATTCCTTAAAATACATCCAGAAAAACATGTATCAAGTGTATGAATGCATGTGGTATAAGAACTGAATAAAAATCTCTAAATAAGAATCTTATGTGTATAGGTTTAAAACCTACCTGAGTAATTGGTGAACGTTTTCAAATCATCGAGACAAATGGGCACATGAGCTCCAGAGATCAGCACCTTTCAGAACACATTTGTAAATAGTTGTTGCTTAGACTTTATGAAGTAGAAAAGCAGTAGAAACACACCTGCATCTCCTGCTGATCAAACATGCGCAGCCATTCCAGGTTGACCACATTGGCGATGCCTTGTCTGAACGCTAAACAGTGAGGTCTGATCTGCTTGTTCAGTCTGTAGTCCGCCACCAGGTGAATGTAGGAAATGCGATTGACTGTAGTCACAGGAATGTCTTTTCCTCCAGTTTTCAGCTCAACAACCTAAAAAGTAGAAAGTCTTAATGGCTTTGAACACCAGGAATATAGTTATATAAAGTTATGTTTCAGCATAGTTAAATGTCTTATAATGGCATCATGGTAAGTAATACAGAGAGCTGTTCCAATCCAGTTTGGCACAACCCTATAATTAAAATAGCACTGGAATTATGTGTTCATTAAGAATAGATGTAATTAGAAACACCTTTAAGCTTTTAGAGGTTAGAAATCACATTTGTTCTATCCAACTCAGGATTGCAGCAGGGTCTGTACATTTCTAATAACAACACTTTTTAATGTTTATTTTCAGACATATATATGAAGGTGAAAAACAGCATTATTCAATCTCTTGGTATGTGAAGTGTAATCTTTCTTTATTTCCTTCTTTCAGGTGATTGTGATTATGTGCTAATATAAGAGAATTACTTCTGTTATCTTGCTTGCTTTTCCTATCTCACAAGGGCAAATGCAGGGCAAACTGCTCCCGGGAGTGTGCCTAATCTCTCACAAATTGTTTTCCCTATCGTGTTTGCGATGCCCTGTTTGTGACCAGAAGGGCTACATTGAAACTCAGCCATTTCAGGTGTTGTTTGAGAAGAGCTAATAAGACGTGTCAAAGCCCTGAGCAAACAGGGCTGTGGGCTGAGTGCAAGTCTAGGACCAGGTGACGCAGAGTGCAAGATGCTCGTCCTCTCGGACCAACGCTAAAGAGCAGACGTGCCTGAGCCGGATTTCAGATCATTCCTCAAGTAACGGCAGGGGAAAGGTCAACAGCAGCTGAGCTTTCTGAGACAGTAGAGACGTGCTCTATCTATTTGCACCAAAACGACACCACCAGAAAGTGATCAATTATTCATGCAAGAAGGTTCAAAGTAAATGGAGGATAATGGGTCAATAATTTTACTAAAAATAGAAAGTAGCACGTTTATTGAGAGGTGGATGTATTTTCCTAATGCTTTACCTGAGCTTCTCCCAAATCATTGTTGACTATTGTAAAGTTGAGGCCAAGCTCCTCTACGTCGCCCTCATAGCTCTTGAGGAAGAGGAGGTTGCGGTACATCTCTGGGTCCAGAGAGGCCAGGTGGTGGATGTCCACATCGGCACTCGTCCCCAGAAGTTTGGACAGAAAGAAACTGGCAAAGGGCAGTTCCACCAGCATGTTCTCATACAGGGCCTGTGTGAAGAAAGACCAGAGTTATGACCACCAAATAATACAAGTAAATCAATTCTACACAAATTAGGTCATACAATTCTTTCCTTTTTGTGTAAAAGTGAGCTGTGGGTCCCTGTACAACCTGCAGTACAGAGTACAGAGTACAAGGTACAGGATACAAGCCGTGCTTCACAGGCTTCTGTTTCCTTCAGCTCAAACTTTATAAATGCCAAATCTCACCTTGACCTTGATGCTATTAAGAGGAATATGCAGACAGGTGACTCATAAAACCCAAAGCTAATGTACTAGAATAGTCAAAAAAGAGCTGGGCGGAGGCATTAAAATATACAGGTCCTTATAAATGATGGCGCTAAAACCCTGACCACATCAGCTAAATGGATTATAAATCTCAGAGATTTCCATAATGCACGCATCTTAAACACACACGCACGCATAAATCAGAGCTATTTTCTAAACACAGGTTAATTGCACAACTTTAAACAATGTCTATTTTTTATGCAAAATAATCCACTTAGTATTTCTCTAGTGGCCCACAGCTCGTTTCAGACCATATGCACGTCATGCCCCTTGAAACCTATCAATAACACTTGTGCCGGGAAAAGGCAGCAATAAGTGTATGAAAAAACTGTAGCCTTATTTTTTCAATGGCACACACTTTATTTATGAGTGTTTATTGCCAGAAATTGTGCCAAAATGACTTGGGCTGGGAGGAATTAATTATTATGGCCTGGGCCTTTTAATATAAGTGAGTGCAGTGGCAACGCAATTAAAGCAGATCGCAGCACCATCAGGTGGAATAAATGCCAACAACATTTCAGGTGCATTCTGTTAGCTGCCAAATAAATTACTTAATTTACAACATTAAGAATCAATAAAATTATAATGCCTTTCAAACACATCTCTATCAATCAGAGGTTCCAACCTCATGCTCCTAAAAGCACCTGTCAACTCCAAGAGACTAGCAAGAAAAATGGTGCAAAAATGTGCTTTTTAATTGAAGGAGGCAACAAAGATCCCTGTAGCTCAGAGTAAGAGCCATAAATGAAGGAAAGGTTGTGGGGTTTGAGCTAATGAGAGATAAATGAGACACTAAAATCAGCTCACAAGGGCTACACAACAGGAGTATACACGCCACACAATGTTTGAGAATCCAGCTTAAAACCATATTTAGCCATCTGCAGACTTCGTGGTGTTGTTTTTAAAAAAAAAGACACATTTCCATGTCTTGCCATTTGTGACTTAAATCTTTCCTGTCAGTAGGGTGGACAAGTGAAGAAGAGGGATGACGACCGGCCTCTATTCTGATGTTCAATCCCATTTCAGTGAGTACCCGAGACAAGCCACTCCTGCCTGTAATACATCACCTCCACAACAATGGCACGCCTCGAACATTAATTAACAATATTAATCTCCTGTGTCCTTTGAGCCGCACTGTGCCCACTGCTGCAGCAATGATGCAATCTCAATCTATATAAACGCTCGCCTTTTATCCAGGCACTAAACAAACATCAATACACACCCGCTAAATGGCCACTCAAACGGCCATTTTTATTGAGAAAAGGGAACTTAAAGAAGGGTTAATTGAAAGTCAAATTCAAATTCATTTCCCCCTGACCTAATTGCTTGAACCATTAAGTGCATGGTATTGAAGGCGCGTGGGCGGAGAGCTTCTGGCTGCCGATGGATCATTTTTCACTGTCAAACACACCAAAAACAGTGTGGAAGGAGGAGTTTCGACACTGAACAATGTGTACAGGATGGCCAGAGAAACAGAGATGAGACTTGGATGTTGCAGACAGTAAAACAGATCAAAATGCTATTACCACATGCTTTGAATCCTTATTTATGCCCTGCCTGTTTGAGCCTGCTGATTTAGGAGCAGCCAAATGCAATCACTACACAAACAAGAGGGAGGAATCATCGGCTAATGGAAGCCTTAATTGAGAGACGACCGTGTGTCATGAGGTAATTCCTCTGTTCCAGGTGATAGCCCGCCTCCCATAAAAAGAGCATCTTGATAAACAATCACTAGCACATACATTAAGGATGATTTAGAAACATTAGCCTCTAATAAATAGTGTCATCAACGGAAGAGCAGGACAGAAACTCGATGGCATCAACAGATTACGCACTACAGCAAATAAGCCTGATGATCAACTCTCTCTTAAATGCAAAGTTGAATGACATGAGACACATTTAAACATACAGATTGTTTATTATGTAGGGATCATACTGGGCTCATATAATAAAGATGTCAAAGTAAATTTTACCTTCCCAAGAATCCTGCCAAGAAAGTAGTAGTGTCGGGTGAAGGAGTCCCCGACCAGCATCTGCGCAGTGGGGCTGGGGTAAAGAAGCCCCTCGTTGGTAGTCTTGAAGAAGCCTTGGTTGGGATTGAAGCCCGACTTGAGCAGCTCATTGAGAAACTCTCGGAAGATTCCTCCACCGTCGATCCCGGCCTCGTCCAGACCGTGAGCATTTAGCAAGTGAACACGGATACGCTTCTTCAAGTCTGGCTCTGCGTACAAGACATTTATCCAAAATATACACCGGTTAAAAACAGTTTCTGTTTAGGGAAGTCAAAAAAACATTTTCGTATTTCTCATGCCAAGTGACATGATTATGTTATGGGGCTGCTTTTCTTCAGCAAGAACTTGATGGGAGGGTGGATGGAGAAAATTACAGGACATTATTAGAATAAAAGCTGCTATAGCTGGGGATTCCACATAGTAATAACATAGTATTAACTTATAACCCACTTTTCAGTTTTTAATAAAACAAATCAAAGTAACAGACACTTCACAGTTATCAGTTACTTTGTTGTCGTTTTTCAGGAAAAAACCAACAGATAAAGCGGAAGAAAATTGATGGATTGTAGGAATTATTAAGGGCAGAACAACACTACCAAAATGACCTGTAAACCCTTTCACAATGTAAATGTTTCATATCTTGGTGTGACCCATAGAATATTCAGATCAAATTCAGTAAGAGGTCATCTCTCAGGATAATTAATGTACTGTGATAAATCAGAGCAGCTATAACTTATAGACATCTAAATGATATAGATCATGTCTTCACTCCAGGTCCTACTACTACTCTTTTTAATCAAATTGCCACACTGAAGTGCCCTTTTAAATCCAAACACAAAAGAGGTGACTTAAAATAATTGACTCCTTTTATGTGCTCCATTAAAATGACCAGAATCACAAATATATTTTTCACCAACAAAAATACCACAAATGAACACAACTAAAGTAACTGAGGTGATTCATAATCATTATGTTACAGTTTAAAAGAACACTGTGACAAGCATTACCGTTCTCCGGAGAGAGTTTATCATAGGCGTCTTCGTAGATGTAGTTGCGTCTGATGGTAACGTTGATGCCATCTGGAAACGGTCCGTCCCCCTGCACATCGCGTTTGTCTGCAAAGATTAACCTTTGGAAGATCTGAAAAACAAATGCATTTAATACAAAGCACGAGTTGAATCACCATCCAATCCAACTTTAGCAATACCTTGACTCTCTCCTCAAAAGGAACCACAAAAGGAAGCTCCGTCAGGATGGCCAGGTGGCGTTCTTCAGACACAGACAGCTGAGGCGGCTCCAAACCCACTGGACCAACACAACAGCAACATTGTTAATTAGATAGTTTTAGGTCTAGATATGGCAGTATATGTCCACTACATTAAAAAGTCTCATCTATGGCAGTACATAGATACCCTGCTATTCTCCCGTCTCCATAAAGATGGAACCCTGATGGGGCAAATGCACATCAGGTTGACTAATTGGGCAGAGTAATTGTGTTAAAAAGGGTGCAAAGTGAGCTTACTGAAGATTTTGCGTCTTATACTTTTTTATGATTATTTTGACATTGGTTTTTATTAAACTAAATTGCATTGAATTAGTATTTCATTTTTACTCCATAGTAATTTTGTTACCATGGAGTACAAACCTGTAGCTATTAGGATTAGCCATTAGGATCCTGTTTGTCTTGGAGAAATTCAGGACTTAACACAACAGCAAAGCAATTTTGCGGTAAGCTCACTTTGCACCCTCTTTAAAGCAATTATTCTGCCCAATTAGTCAACCTGATCTGCATTTTCCCCATCAGGGTTCCATCTTTAAGGAGAAATATGGCAGTGTAGTGGTCAATACAATGCTCATTCATCAGCTCAGAGTCTGTCCATTTAAGGAAATGAGAAAAGGCTAGACAAACACAGAGCAGATGTGGTGAGGTTCATCAGGTACTTTCTCACTAATTGAATTTATCCCATACAGCCTTAAAGTGGCATTAGGTAGATCATACACACATTATTAGGCTCTTGTTGTCACTGCAGTGTAGAATCTGTTAAGAACCGATTCACTCTGGATCATTTAAGAAGCAATAATAACCTTAAATTGGCATAACTTGGACCGCATGCAGAGTGAATTTTGGATATTATATATATATATATATATATTAAGAAGTGCTGTCCCCGTTTGACCGAAAGATCACTCTGGGAAGTTCAGGCTGATGAGAGTACGAGCGTTTGAGTAAGATGTGGCTGGAGTTAATGGTGTCTAAGGCCTGAATATCAAAGAAACAGTGAATATAACCATTTGACGAAAGTAATCTAATCAATATGAAGTCATCACGGATGGATTTTACTTTGTTAATGAGGATATCGTTGTCTCCTCTCGTTCTATTCGTAGATTTGCGTTAAATTTTTTCTGAATGAAATATTTTTTATTGATCGAGAGGTTGCTGCACATTTTTACCGCGGCAGTCTGAGCAGGACGGCCTTTATTCGTTAACAAGGGTTTGCATTTGCTGCGGCAGTCAGAGCAGGGCGCAGGGAAAAGCATTTGTGCCAGGTTGAAAATCCATCTTTTCATAACATTTACAAAAGCAGATATGACGAAAACACAGCCCCTAAGAACCTCACCATCCAGCGTGGACTGTAAGGGCCCAATGCGACCCATGCGGCGCGTTCTCCAGACATTTCTTGCAGAAGGCACGTACAGCTGCGTGACCTGTGCAAGTGAAAGAATGATGTGAGTTAACAAGCTTAGATCTTATGACACTTTTGAAACAATTTTGGTTAAACCTAAGCTTGTTATTCTAGTACGAAAGTAAGTAATGTTTTATTGGTCTGCATTTTACATACCAAGATCATCCAAATTGTTCACAATTATATTTTTCCATTCACGCCACACACGGTGATGACAGAAGCGAGATGCCGAACACACAGAACACATCAAAGCCCCCTATCAACACCATCCATTCACTCATTCATACCAATTGAACATGTTTTAATGGTAGGGGAAACCTGAGCACCCGGAGGAAACATACAGAAAGGCCTTGTGGTGGAATCGAACCCAGGACCTTCTTGCTGTGAAACACAAGCTCTAACCGCTGCGCCACCATGCCTGCCTGGACACTATACATGTCTGTGATTTTGGTTGGGTTATCTGAAGGCCGAAGCATCTCTTGGCGCCGTCGCACATGCTCAGAGCAGTGTCTATGATTCCTCCATGGTATAAAATCGAATGCATGCTGTAAAATCTTTCTTTGTGTCATTTTAACATAATTAAAACACGTCTTCTTCTGATGATCCCAGACTTCCGCATCATTTGCCATTTTCCTCAAAGTATAAAGAGAAACTAGGCCAGCTGCAGAACTTACCCTATCAGCGCGAATGTTTCCCTCTTCAGAAAGCCAGTGGCCCTCTGGACAAAATGGCCGTCTGATATCTCTTGCTTTGATCATCTTCACCAAGTTAGTGATGACCTGTAGTGGACAAACAGTCAGCACAGAATACTGACCTTCATAGAATCAAACTGTTCAATTATCTTTCGGCTCCTTGTTTAAATATCATTAATAGTTCCACACTGATAAAGCTGCAGTGTGTGAAGACAAATTTGAAGCCAAATTCTCTAAAGTATCTTCTAGTGATTTAGTTCTGTCAAATATTGCCTCTATACATTGTATTTTGGCACAGTTTGGAGGGGCAACATCCCTCTGGTGATGTCATCATTTACAACCACAAAGTACACTGATAATAATATGGTCAAACTAGTGTCGTTATGCAATTTTCTGGATCTGGGAATCAGCAATGTTCCATACACTTTGTCCCAAATGCATTTTGAAAGAGAACTATGGTTTCCAGACTTTCAGAAAATAACCTCATTTGTGTCATTGCATGAAAAATTGAAAGAACCTGACGTCTTCCATAACAATTAGTCCATTTCCATATAATACGCAAGGTAGATTGTTTCAATCGAAACGTTCTTACCTAAAGCACATAATTTTCATAGAGTGACCATCAATCTCTGGAAATCACCAGAAGGCAACTATATCTGCAATAATGGCAAGTGCAAAATGATGTAAAAAGCGCGTGGCGATGGGTTTGGAGCCGGCGTAACCCCTGACTCTAGAAATGAATAAGCATTCCTTAATTAGCCCATCGGGTTAAGTGCACGCCTTAATGGGCCTTTCCCAAACTCCTGGGTGACATAGCTCTCCAAACATGGCCAAGAAGAAAGTTCCATTAGCAATATTAATACAAGCTTAGTTGATCATTTTCATTCAATTAACTTCTTTCAATTAAATAGATAGCTTGACAATAGAGGTGATAAAAGATGGGAGGGACGGATGATGACACGGTCCAAACATTAGCGTGTTAAGGGTCAGCAGCGTTAAACTGACTGTAAATCCCAACGTTCAATTTGGAAAATGCATTTTCCCTGCTCCCCAGTTCTTTAATGGGTCATTTTAGCTGACAAGAGGCTTGTGAGCAGATCCTTTATGAAAATTCCCTTGGTGCTCTTTGTGTGTTTGCCACCTTCACAAATGACTGGTGCCAATATTTCAATTATTTTCTCAAAGGCAAAAAACAGTCCGGTCTCAAAATTCCATAGTAAATAGCAATCCCAGAAGTAAATGAGGTTCAAAAGATCATTATATTTTGGTCTTAAACATTGCCTTTTCATTAACACTTGCATGACGCAGCGCTGTGATATGAGCAGATAGTGCTTCTAAATAGAGAGCTGATAAATACAAGTTCTTCTGACCTTAAAAAGCTGCACCCAGCTCTTTTGTTCAGCCTGGATCCTCTGTTGAACTTCTGCATTGGTTTTGACACCAACACTTCGAAAGGCTGCCATGTACTCCTCACGGTGCTCCGTCTTTGTCTCAGGATATGCCAGTTTGATAATTCCCAAACAAGCATCTCTGAGGTAGCGAGACAGTGTCACAAGCTCAGACAGTGTGAAGGGCATCATGGAGGACTGTGTCGGATCTGCTTAGAAACACATACTTTCTATAATTTATATATACGCATACGAATCAGTGAGTAACGGAAAACATATTCAACTACCTTCCAATTCATGCCCAAAAAACTCGCTGTCATGCACTGAGATCAGGGAGTGGCTGAAGAGAGAACTGAAGAGATAGAAAAGGGGAATGATGCGATTCGAGTCTTCGTATGACATAGGAGATCCCCTCGACAGTAGATGTAGTAATGGGATCATGGAGCTGTTTGTGTTCAAAGATTAAAATACATTCATAGTAATAAAAAAATGTTTCAATATGCAAGACATACCCTGTGATCATTTTGGTTGTCATAGAAGTGATCAAGTGCCACAGATGTCTCAGGAAGCGAGCTGTGAAGGCTAAACTATACAGAAGTCTGCATAGCACAATAAAGAAAGACATTTTAACACAATAATAATAATAATAATTAAACACACATGACACAATCAGACAGAAACACAATAAAAGTACTTCCCTCCAATTTGTCTGCAATGTACAAATCGTAAACTCTTCCTTGTTAAACAAGATACACGAGTAAAAAATACATTGAAATGATGGGATTGTAAACCAGCCTGTCCGTCATTTGTATTGTGGGGTCTTTTCTCTCCTTTTATACTTTGTGGGGTCTGAGAAGGGATTAAATGAGCCATTAAGCTTTATTTAGGTGAGGCACCTTCCATTAGTAAACTAGTTGCTGGCAAGGGTACCCAGCCTGGGTCATAAACAGCCCTCTGGCTTCCTGCAGGAGCCCCATTTAACTTAATGGCCAGGGTGCAAGACAATGGAGGACAGAGGAGGAGGGGAGGCCTAGTCCTCAGCCTGACCCTCAGCTCCAGCATGCGTCTACACTCACTCAATTGAATGATAACTCTGAGGTGGCCTCACAAACCTGGAAGTAGAAGCGCTGCACACAATGAAGCTGTGGCACCAAGGTGTGAAGCACCTTTGTTCAGGTATACATCTATTTGTGCACCTTTAAATAACATGCCTTTTCACACACTCGGTCTAGACAATAATGTCGAAAAGCAGAAAGAAAATAGCCCTTGCAGTATTGCATAAAGTGCAGTCGGATAATGGTCAATCATATATGAGAAAGATCATACAAATCAACGTTAATATTTTAACAAGGGTTCAAGTTTTCCTCCGAGCACAAAAGTAATTTTATAATCCTATGCAAATGAGCTCTGGTACTTGTGTGGCAGACAACCAACATTTGCCTTGAAAAATGGTTTGCACTGAGCGCTCACCATCTGTCACTGCTACAAGGCTCAGGAGAGAGGAAAGTGTAGTGCTGTGCGCTCATAACAAGTGATGCGGGTGTTTGATTGAAATGGGAAACAAAGCACTAAATGCCAGCTGACATGCTGATTTACAGCCTGGGAGAACCCAAACCCCCATTTCAATCACCAAATGAACTACTAATAAACAAAGTCAAGTCATCAAAAGGCTTGTGTGTGCGCTTGTGTATGTGCAAAGGCTACTTTTCACTTTGTTGCAATACAAAAGCCATGTTCGCTCTCAAGCATTAGCCAATCATACAAATAATAGCACAGTCTGAAAGGAGTCATGAAAAATTACATAAAAGTAGATTATCCATTTATATCAGATGTGAATAAAATAAAAAAAGTTAAAAACTTGGCAAAAAAGAGGAATTTCAGTATAGTAACAGTATTACAGGTGAAGTTAAATTACATACTTTTAAAATTACATTTTTGATGAGTACAATTTTATAAGACATTTTACATATTTATTAAAAGGCAGCACGCTGAACCACTGGCCAGACTTTTTTGCTTTAGAGCAGTAAATCAAGGGAAGGATGCAATTTGCTCCCCTTAGCCTCTTGTAAAGCTATCCCGTCCACAGCTGCAGTGATTAATCTTTCTCAGTGAGCTAATTATTTTGTACAGATATCCAATAATGATGGAAGACGAAGGGTAGGATTTATGGTAAAAGTGCATGAAAGAGCAACACCGTAAAATTAGCTGGTATCCACAGAGATTAGAATCCATTTGCTAAAAAAGTAATTTGCACATAATTTTTTTTTCTTCTGAACAGCAGTTATTAAGAAGTCATTTTCATTTGGACATAGCAGAAACAAGTAGTTGCAACTAAACAAATGATTACCTAGTGAAGGTTGACTATCCATGAATCACAGTCTGATGACCCCATGTCAGTCATAGCTGCCCCACCCCCTCCGCCACCTCTGACGTCCTGGTTCTAATGTAATCAACCTGAGGAGAGGTAATTGCCTATATCCAAGACTGACAGTTTCCCTGACATCCCCGATTCCTCTGCCGGTTGTAAATGCCACTAGTGCAGGCCACAGATAACTGCCTGCCTGGGTTATTTACATTACTGCTTACAGCATGGACATGCATAGAGATACAGCTCTCCTCCCCATCACTCAGTTGCCATTCACAAACTTGCAAAGTATGTTTTAAATGATATAGTTTGTAAAATTCATTATCATTTCCTTCTCTTGAGATATGCTGTACCTGACTTTGGGCACCATAAGACGATGTTGGACCATCAGTGTATGACAAATGGAGGCCATCATGGTGAAAACTTCCTCACTGGCAGAGTCCCTCCACACCAGGTTGAGCAGAGCATTCGTCTGCTGCTTAGTGTCCAGCTTGTGCACACATTCTTCTGTAATGAGCTGTACAGAGATCCGACTGTCATCCTGATAAAGACAAAACAGAAAACGCATTTATTTATTGGACAGGTATGAGGACAGCTAGGAGTTCAATTTGGTTCCTTCAACAAACACAAACACACAAAGTTAAAATATCTAAGTTCTTTAGGAGCAATAATGTGATTTACCTGTTTGGATGGTAAACGCATGCCAGCATCATCTTCATCTTCAGTGTCACTGTTCAGCTCAGGCCTGTTGATGCTCTCAGACACAGGCAACAAAGGCAGAAGTGACCGCAGAGCTTGTAAGTAAAAGAGAAGACCGTCCTCTGACAGGGAGCCTGTCGGCACACAACCATGAGAACAATGCTTCAAATGAGCTTTCAAAAAGCTTTGAAAACAAAGAAGCACCTACCTAAGCAGTTTTCTCCCGCAGATAGAACAAAGTAGAGAATCCATGGTGCCTGACTGTGAGCAGATGATGAAGAGTCTATAGTTGCCTTAAGAGAGCTAAGAAAGGCCTCAAATGGGAAGGAAACGTGAGGATCTGACAGTGCGGGGATGAAGTAGTGAAAAATCTGTTCTGTGAATGCCGCAGAGATAAACTCCTCCGTAAAGGCCATAAACACAAATTGCCTGGTAAGTGAAAAAAGAAAAAATAGACAAGTTTCACAATATGCTCAAAGAATTCATAGGACTAAATTATATTCTTGTGGTTTTAAGTGACTCAGACGGAGTTCGCTAGGGTAACAAATAGTTCCTTTCCAAACAGAGTTGCTTTGTGTCTCAGTAACACTGATCTGGAGGGTCACAGCAGATAATTGGCTGTTCAAACCAAAGTGTACACAAGTTTTTTACACCCTCACAGTTGTTAAAAGAGGGTCAATCTTGCTGTTTGCTACACAGAATGTCTCAAATGGTAGACAAAAGGTCACGCATTCTGCACTCTAGCCAGTAAGCGACTCAGATGAACTTTAATTGCCTGTTGTAAATTTGTTGTGAAACAATAACTGTTCTGCTGCGTATAAGGAAAGACTAAAAGACGCACCAATCGTTAGGTTAAGTAATGACGTGATCGGAGACTCACAAAATGTGATGGACCAATCACATTTTAGTCTTTAAAAAATAATCAACTATGTGAAGGCCCCTGCTCCAGCTTCTCTGAGTGTTTCAAGCAAATCTGAACATTTCCAAATTACCGTACAGTCCAGTCCCTGTGCACCATACAGTTATGAAATTTACAGTAGGCCAGTGAGAAACATGAATGAATAAAATGAGATAATTGAGAACAAATGTTGTGCAGTTTGTGTAAGTGTACTTGAATCAGAAAACATAATTGTAAGATCTACTAATTCCTTGTCTGGTTGCTGGAAAAGTAGATCTTAGTTTGATAAAACTACCACTGCACCATTCAAACATGAAAAACCATCAAACTGAACCTATTCCTAATATGAAAACTGTACCTTGCGTCTGTTGTGCAAGAGGAGTAGGTAAAGTGCAGAGGTTTTATGATGTGCTCCAAAAGTGTGCTTGCCAGAGGGATCGAGCGAGTGTCACTATACTCCAGACTGCTGGGGAGTCTATGATTCGCAAGAGTGTACAGAGACCTATAGTATCCTGAAAAAATATTAAAAACTATGGAGTTAAAATGCAAGTATTAAGCAAGAATAAATGCAAATGTTCACAAAAACCAAAATGATTAGGCAACACATTATAATTAGAGCTGGAATTTTTTTTTTTTTAGAAAAATCTAATTCATCACATATCTAGATCAGGTTGAAAGGTTCATGTATAATCAGATATACAAGCTCATGAGCTGCGCATCAGTCAAAAGGGAAGGTCCACTTCACAGTTCAATACTTATTTTCTTAGAAATCCTGCAAGTTCTGTGATGAGGGACGGACAAGTACTACTCCACAAGAGATACGGGGACAGAGGTACCTTGCCACTCAATTTTACATGATTAAATTAAAAGAAAAGCAGACGCATTGCATAATGCACTAAATTTCCCAGCCCTAATTATAACCATGCAAACAAATATTTGCATTGGAAAAACTAAATAAAACATTAATAATAAACTACTTGTCTGTTATTGGTAGAACTTACCTTTCTGAACTACATAGTGCAAAATCTGCTCAAGTAATGAGGCTACATAGTTAGCATCTGGAATAACAGGAAGATAAGTCTTGTCTGAAACAAAGATTTCAAGGATTCGGATGGGTATTGCGACATTTAAACCGTCGTCGCCGCAACTTTGGAGAAGTCTGCAAAATATTCACAATGTCAGTAGGTCACACAATGGAAATATTCCAAATAAAACATAATGTTTAGTATTTACTTGCAGCTCAAGGCAAGGACTCTCTTAATTTGAAAAACACAGGTTTGTTTATGTGGGCCCAGCAGCAGTTTTACAAACTGATTGTTGTGTTTTATCAAACTGTGCCCCAGCCATATCTTGACAGTCCGAGAGGAAGAAGAATATTTAGTCATTCAAAATGATGGCAAGAACAAATATAGACATGCTTACCAATCGGTGAGCATCCACACTCTGTCTGTAGAAAAATATTAATCGTCTTGATAAGAGGCAAAGACTTGAAGCGTCTAACACATTCTGTGACCCGGGCGCCTGTGTCTGGCTCACACACTCATCAAAGCAGGCTCTTTGTAAAGCATACTGCAAAGAAGTTTGTTTTGTTGATCAAAATAGTCAAAACCATACAGGGTAGAATAAAAATTTGAATACATACTTGTCGCTTTAGATCTTGGTATCCACGTATAAAAGATTGGATAATAATTGCATTCTTCAACCTTTTTCTTTCATCCTAAATCACAGCATCAACATCACAGATGACAACACCCCTGACACAATTCAAAAGGTACAGTAGAACTTAGAACCTGCCTCTCTCTTCCTTCTTTCTTCTTGAGTGCGATGCAATAGAGATGCTTTCTCCTCCTGAACAATACAAACAGTAGTTAAGCATTACATCCTGATCCTGTACAAATAGTTTCAAATATAGTTTTACAGAATTAGTTCAATAATAAGGCATGATTATGTCACCTTTTTACTTGCTCCTCCCAATGAAACCTTTGGTCTTGTCTTGAAATCTCCCTCGAAGCTAAACATTTTAGAATGTTTCCATTCACCAGCTGTAAAGCTTCCACAATATGCTGGAAGAAAAGTGTGTGAATGAAACCATGGGCAGTCCACATTGGACAGACACAAAACCAAAGGAGTTCGAGGTCAGTTAAAGACTTAAATAGAAATGTCACAGAGCACAATACGTCAATAACTCTGAAGAAGAAGGACAAATCCATATAGACAGTTTCATTTCAATGATCACTAAGCTAGCAGCCATTTAAGTTAGCTAGCTAATGACTCAGCAGCTGTGAGTAAATAGACACAGAAATCCTTGATACAAGCGCCACAAAACACCTGTGAACATTGAGCCTTATTTTAACTGTATTAATGAGTTGTCATGTTCTTGTCAAACCTGTGTGTGTGCCCTGATTTTGTTGACGTTAGCACTGAAGTTAGCACTAGAGCTAAGCACAAAGCTAGCTTCACGAGGTGTTTTCCCGTGTCCTTCGACATCGTTCAACAAGCAATAACGGGCATAACGGTGGAACCTAAACGAATAGTGAAACGTTTACCTTGATCTTTTCAGATAATGACCTTGATTTTAAGAAATAAGACCCAAGCGTATTTTCTTCCTCTCAGTGGAAATGAACACAACACAAGAGAAATGGACTACATCCGCTTCCGGTAGTACTGCGAAGCGGATTGGACAATTCTGACGCCAATCAAATCCATGGTGGTGACGCCCACGCTCCTGTCTCGAGAGCACTCTGCTCTTGCCCATTACACTGTACACAGTTCATTCTCTGGACATAAATGTCTGTGGAATATGACCTCAGAAAAAGAAGCAAGAATGTATCTATGATGGGAAATAAACGGGGTCTTCTAACGAAAGCAAATTAGGCATGCATAAAAGAAATATAGATAATCAATCTCGCACTGGGGCTATATATGTTTGTCTTTTTTCATATATTAATACACTTAAAGTATTAGGCTATTCGATAAGTAAACTATATTGTTAAACCTCTGAGCCACGACCGCGCGCGCACACACACACACACACACACACACACACACACACACACACACACAGCAAATAATAACAATAATAATACTGAATGATTAAAACAATAACAATACAAATACAAATCTTTCTATTCCTATTATTAACACATTATTATTACTGCCATTATTATTGTTGCTATCTGTATGTTTTATATTTGCAGTACCGACTAAAACACATGTGCTTAATTCTTTTGATCAATATTATTCCTATTATTATTAGCCTTATATCACGCGCATCAGTTACCCAAGCATGCTATTCCCTTCGAATTTCTTTTTCATAATTTTTACACATTAACCCAACGTAATCCCCTTATCATCGCAATTTGTCACTTTGATTTGTATTTTAGTTAATTGTAAAAGTAATTACGGAGCAAATGAACAGCTTTCAGGAAAGACCGGGGTTTCAGGGTCTGCTTCCATCTAAAGGCCCTTATTAATTTTCTCTCCCTAAGATGTGATGAAAAGGAGCGATAAATCTCCGTGATCGGCGAAGGCCAATAGTAAATGGCTCCATATTTCACCAGGGCTTTAATAGAAATATTCATCCTGGTCCCTTAATTAAATTAAATCTGTGCGTTTCGCTGGGACAAGACGGTCCAACGCTGTTAAGCTGTTAGGATAATCATCAGGTCCAAGTGGCTAATTACAAAAGAACACTCTCACTGTGGGTCAAGTCGAAAGGTTGTTTATTTATTCTCAGATTATAGGCCATTGGGTCTATTTTCTAACTAATGGTTTAAAACAAGCGAAGGCAAGTTCATGGGTAAATTCTTAAAGTCAGGTCAAATAGGCAGGCTACCCCACACAACACGGATATACGGCATGGCTTTTGCGTTTCGTCCCCCCCTCCACCCCACATCCATGCACCCACAAGGCCACGCCTCGGTGCAGACATAAATCTTTACGTTATCATTCTGTAATTGCTCATGATCATCAAAGTCCATAATTAAATGGTGATCCTTTACTTGAAAACTATAGTGCCGCTGACTTGTTGATTTCCCCCGAGCAAATAAACGTCCGAGACGCGCGCTCCGTTGATGAATTGACAAAAAACTAATCAGCTTTATTGGTAGACAGGTTAAGGGCAACTTGGTGTCAATAATTCTCATTTTGACCTCCGCTTCCATTAACTTTAAGTGGCTTATTAGACCGAAGTCACCAAGGAACATAGGCTGACTTTTTCCCCTTTCGACGACTTGTTGTGATAGTTCCTTTTTATACATATCGTTTTCTCAGATTACAACAAGAAAAAATAAGCTGAAAGTATAGACATGTATTGTGCCTAAACATAATACATTAAGCAGGCCTATTATCTCCATTTGAAAAACCTCCCACAAGGCGATATGACAGAAGGCTTTTATTCAGATTTCCCTCATGGCTTGTTGCGACGTTTTTCTTCAAGATGTTCACTTAAACCCGGGTTCACCCATTAACCTATAACACTATTCCATGTTTAGATATAATTAATTAATGAAAACCTACATCGATTGGTTTCACATGACAATTGTTTTCTGTTTTTATTTTGTTTAGCTTCTTTAACATATATTAACAATATATATTTGTCCGGTGCACATGGGTTTTCATGCACATTTATTCCAATGTTTTCACTGCAAGTGTGAAACTGAATCTGATAAGGACAGTAGGACAGAGTCAAATACATTGTTTAGCCAACCCAAATGTGTGCGTGCCTTTATGCCACATTTCCAAGTCGTGTCAAATCACTAAACACTATTTTTGTGGTGCATTCAGAAATATGTTCAGTTTCCCTCATGCATTTATGAGGTTGCAGAAAACGGGCCGCTCGTGCGCTTCGGCCCGCCCTCTGCTCCGTGGACCAATGAGCGCTCTCTGATAGGCAATAAGTGTCACACAGAGTCCACACCTCATCATAACTTTTGAGAGGTTGGTAAAAGCGCTCACGTCTCCTTCGCCGAAATAGAACCAAACACGGACCAAAAAAGGGATGGAGAAATCTAAAAACTTTCGTATCGACGCATTGCTGGCGGTCGATACACCCAAAGTACAGACTTCCCCTCTTGCGCTTGTAACATCGCTGTCATCCAACTCTTCCATGCAGTCCTCTGTGAGCGTGGCGGCCGCAGAGCTCACCGACTCTTTACGCACGGAAACACCGTCTCCTCCCAGGATTTCTACTTGCGGCTTGATTCCTAAACCAGGCTTCCTCAACAGTCCTCACAGTGTGGTCGGATTACACCCCCAGAGCACCGCGGGCATCCCGGCTCAGGCTCTTTACGGCCACCCTATGTACACATATTCTGCTCTCACCGGACAGCACCCCGCCTTGTCTTACCCGTATCCGCATGGCTCCCATCACCATCATGCCACGGACCCCATCAAACTCTCGGCCAGCACGTTTCAACTGGACCACTGGCTGCGCGTGTCTACAGCCGGCATGATGTTGCCCAAAATGTCAGATTTTAATTGTGAGTATATGCGTCTATATAAGTCCAAATTGCAGTTAGGGTTATAAAATTATATCTATCAAAAATAAATAATGAAAAATAAATACATTCTGAAATAATAGAAATGTTGCTGAAATGTATCCAGCGCATCATTGCCCATAAAAGATGGTAACATAGTGTTGAGATTCTATATTTTAAAGAACATAAAATAGCACCTTTTTGTGTTAGGAATTATCAGAAGGATGTTTTTCTTAGAGGAACTAAAATGGATAGATAATGGACAGTGGGAAAGTGGCAGAGCAGTGTGAAACCCACAGTGCTCATGCTATTTGCTCACCAGATACTGCCTTTTTGTCTCAACCCGTTTTAGCAGATTTGTTCTAGATGAGCCACAGCCTCTCTATTGACATTTAGTCTGAGACAGATGTGGATATACGAATTTCAACATGCTCTTGCCACATGTTTTATATCCAATTGCATGCAAATGACCAAATTTAATGTAGCTTGAATAATACACATAGCCTATCAGGCCTTTACATTTTCCCAGTAACTTTCAATGAATAACATTTGTTTTCCCTCTCCTATTGCAGCCCAGGCACAATCAAATTTGTTGGGTAAATGTAGACGACCGAGAACGGCGTTCACCAGTCAGCAGCTGTTGGAGCTGGAGCATCAGTTCAAACTGAACAAGTACCTGTCACGACCAAAGCGCTTTGAAGTGGCCACGTCCCTCATGCTCACGGAAACTCAGGTATATGCAAAATAATTTTATGGAATTTTGTCCCTCACAAAGTGGTGACTATGGGACTCATAGCGTGTCTTCCTTTGGGCTGTTATTCTTTGTATCTTTATAGTATCCTGCGTACTTTACGCACGCTTTACGCACAACAATGACAGCTATTTAAACATCTATTCCTCCTTTCAGGTTAAAATATGGTTCCAAAATAGGCGGATGAAGTGGAAGAGGAGTAAGAAGGCCAAGGAGCAGGCCCAGGAGGCCGAGAAGCAGAAGGGCACAAAGGGCCAGGAGAAATCAGAAGGACTCGATAAGTCAGAATATAACAGCAAGACAGACTCCAAGAACGGCAGAATAAGAGACTTTACTGACAGCGACGATGAAAATGGCGACAACTTCCTTTACAACTCTTCAGATTGCTCTTCTGATGACGAAAGGAACCGTGCCAGTGACACTAGTCCGTGCCCATGAACCTCACTCTGGGCAGAGGTTCCGATCCAAAGACTTCTGGGATGTGGTGGTTGCATGCTATTCAACCTATTTCACTTACGAATACACACGTTTATGTTATAAAATATATAAATTAAACACATAAACATGGTCTCGAATGCCCACAGTGCGCCAGTGTTGCAGAGGCTACTCTGCATGGATACGCACCATGGCGCGCTCCGTGTACTCACGTTGTGATTTTTCATCACGCTGAGAAAAAAATATTTTTCTATATTGTATTTATAATTTCAAATGCATGCTAAATGTACTGTTTAGCGTCTTTGCTGTGCATAACAATGTGAAAATAAATTGTTTTCTATGTAAAGCGCGCGCTAGTGGGGCGTGACTGATTTATGGCTGGGCTATAGCGGTTGCACTGGATGCGCACACACTCGTGTTTTCCCCCTTGCTCTGACAGCTCAGGTCATGGGAATTACTGTTAATAGCACTGTCGAATCTGTGCAAACGGGTAGTGAGAGCAAACAGCGAGTAGGCAGTCAGACAGTGGAAACATTTCACACCACACAAGCAATGGGCGAGCAGCCTGTGCCTTTGAGCTCGTAACGAACTCGGTGGAGGAGAGAAAAAAACATATTAGAGCATTTACCACTTAACTATGACACACGGCAGTTAAGGAGAGGCTCATTTAACGCAGTTCAAATTTAAAGCCGTTTAGTGTAATATACATAAATATATTTATTTTTTAGTTTTATTTTAACAGTTACAGGCAGAAACAAATCTGAGGAATACTCAAACATAAATGGACTTCAGAGCGTACCAAAAAACCTCTTTTTAACTTTTAAAAATGTAATTAACCAAATAATCCCACAAACTATTTTGTTTACAGGTTGTAAAAACATACTGGCATTTGTAACATGTGGTATGCGTTTGCTCAAGGTGACAGAATAAAAGAATAGCACTTGATCAAGTTCACAGCAGGTAGACCCCTGAGTTTTTGAAGGCACTGCTTCAGATGGTCTGTATCTGTGTACAACATACAGAGTGGTCTGTGATGATCAGGACAGGACACTCTGGCCCAGCTGGCTCATTCTTGACCTCTAACAAATCCACACGAATATGGATCTAATTAATAGACGGTTTTATCAAATGTAACATAATGATGTTGCTATGCTAACCATCCATAATGCAGTGTGCTCAAGCAGTGACAATAGGAGAGAGTCAACGCCTGGGTCCATTCGTCAGGGTGTGTAAACACTGAATGAACCAATAGACATCATGAACTTTATTGTTTAAGTCACGACTGCAGAGGCCAGATGACAAACAGTTTTCTAAAATGAAACTTTGTATGACATTTGTTACAGCTCATGGAAGTGATCTTCAACCTATGGGTCAGGAACAACACCACAATTTAATTGTCAATACGTTAATCACATATGTATTACCATTGTAAAAGTATAATTTAAAAGGTAATAAGAGACAAATGTCAGTTCTATAAAAGTGGGATGATGGTTGGATGGATAATGGTCTGTAGGCATAGTCTTGCAGCTCTCATACCTCTGCAAGGTGAGAACACAGGTTTTACAGTTTGAGCTTGGCCTCTTTGGCCTCCATAGCTCTGGTGGCGACCTGAGCATGCTCTGAAAGCAGTGCTGCTTGCTCAGCTGGTCCCTGGGACTGTGCATTCTTCAATACAAAGTGGCTGATGAAAAGCTTCAAGCCCTCCCGCAGCATTCCTAACTTGGGGACTCCTGAAATCCTGAAGATGAACACACAATGGAGGACATTGATTTCAACTGCACACATATAGCAATGTGGAGTAAAGGAAGACAGTGTTATTTAAAAAGTGGGAACTACTAAAGGTTAGCATCACCTACGCACAAGTGTTTTAAGTGTCAACAACTGTTTGTTTCAGTCATACATTCTGTTACTTACTTTCCAAAAATACAAATCAAGTCCTCAGGATCAGTCTCCTTGAAAAGCTTCGTCAGCATTTGACGCAGAAAACGCACCTTGGGTTTGTCTAGTTCTCCAAATTCAATAACCTATGCAAGACAAACTTTAATAATCAGACTAACTAATCATAATTTGAAAAAAACCAAGACTCTTCAGCTAAATATTGCATACGTACTTTGAGTATAGAAAGAGGTAGACACTTCTTCTGTAGGAAGATGGTAATGAGCTGTACAAGATTGTTAAATGTGCTGCTGGGTAGGTTTTCTAGTTCCCTGAATTTGTCCCATACGTTGAACTGGAATGTCATCTAAATGAGAAAGTGGCAAAAAGGACATATTTGTTAATTGAAACAGAGGACAGTCAACTAATTGATCATCTTATCAGGACATCCACTCCTTAAGATCAAGTTTACATGAGAAAAGCAAACATTCCCACCAGATTTTCTGAGGGTTCTTTGATGAGGACAATGGTCACTGGTTTGGGATATGAGCTGGGGGTCTACATGTTGGCAGAGTAGGAAATATGCTCTGGGCGTCTTTGTTTGCATGCACAGGTTAAGTCAAATAATAAGGAGAGGAGAGAGGTGTGAAAGGCTCCCACACTGCAGCCCATTCCCCGGTCACTCGGGAACACATGTGGGTGGTCTACAAGCATTTTGCTGCCATCATTGTCTTATTATTATTACTATTATTATTATTATTTATTACTTATACTTATTATAAGTCTGAGCATATGCATGTTCACTAAGATAGTATCACTGCTATTGACAAATAGATGCTTCCTAAAATAATTTGCAATACATCTGCCTAGTGCTGTGGACCCAAACAATCTGGTCCATATTCAAATGAAACCACAGTATTATATTATTCTAATTATACATATAGCCTTAGTACCTGAAAGCGGCGGTCATGGTTGCAAAATTTTTCTCCCAGCACAGCGTAGAATGCATTAAATGTTTTCTCTTGCAAACAGCAGTCCATGAGGACATGGACAATTTCTCTTTCCTGTTTGTCCTTCAAACCCATTCTTAACAGAACACATACAAAGATTATTTTACACACAGTCTGACCAGAAGGGAAAACAATTATGGACAAACCTCAGGAGTTTGTCAAATGCATCCAGGTAATCTTCACTGGTCATTAACACACAGAAGATATTTCTCCTGACCTCAGTATTCATCCTCTGTTTCCTGGCCAAGTCCAACACTTTGGCACTGAACTAAAACAGGAATATGGTATTAATGTGAGTGAACAACAATTCAACTAGAGCGACAAATAAAAACAGACAAACAACAGCCTACTTGTCCAACAGTGGTCTCTTTTGCTGCTGTGGTCCCATCTTTGGAGATCATAGGAGCTCCGCTCCAAGACGAGCCAACAATCCACCAGCGGCCGACCTGCTCTGCTCTGAGGAGGCCGTCCAGAGACACACGCAGCTTCATGTCACTGCCACTTGTACTTCGGCTGGTCTGCAAACAAAATGTCAGGGTTAAAAAATAATCATATATACTCTGACAAGAAATAGGGATGAAATTAGTGGTTCCCTGGCGCCCCCTTGTGGAGTGGAAATACAGAACACCAAGTATACTGCATTCTAAGTGCATATCATTTCACTACACAGTATCAACCTGTCATGAGGAGGAAATGGGATTAAACCAACAGATAAACTAGTAAACACATAATATGTGTTCTTTTCAAGTTTGGAAGATCAGTTTACTTGTTTGGCCTGACCTGGCCATAATACTTTAATACCTACCAGAGTCTTTTGCAACTTCCTGAGTCGCTCCACAGGCTCCGGGTCATAGCCAGGAATTTTTCTCATGTCATTGTTTTTTAAGGCCATCATAGTTTCCAACATGAAACGCACCTGGAAACATATAGTTAATGCATTAATCAAATGTCTTGATTAATTTAGCTGTAAAGAATGAATATTATGATTTCTACATATACATATTAATGCACTACATGAATCCAGATTAACATCAGTATGTTCTTTGTGAAAAAGAAGGGAATTAATATTTATATAAAATAGTTTGGTAAAAGACATGGGGAAATGTACTTCAGAGTTTGTTTCGTACAGAATGTGGAATAAAGTAAAACGCAAAAGAACCACACTAACTTCTTGAGTCATTATTGTACCAAGGTTGAAGTTTAATAAAGTTATATTTGCATTTTAGAACTCAGTAAGACATGACTTTTCTTACCCTTGTTTGATCCTTAAACTGTGCCCCCACATCAGTCGCCTTACGTTGGGCCTCAGAAATGAGATCTTTCAAAGCAAGCGCATCATCTTTTCTCAATGCAAAGCCAACGTTTCTCAAAAGAAACAACACGAGCTCAATGTCTTTCTCAGTGAAATTATCAACAAAGAGTTTGAGGATGTCGACGATCAGGAGAGAGTGCACCACCTGGAAGTTATACAGATGAGCAATGATGGCAATCAGGTTGTCACACTCCTTTCCTTCAGAAGGGCTTTTATAAATCTCATCAAAGTTTCTGACAACGATTTCAAGAAAATGTGCCCCAACCTGAAACACACCATAAATAAATTAGTACAACACACTTACAAAAGACAGTGAAGTGTGACCAGTATTCACATTTATTTCATTGTTAGTTCATAAAAATCAGTGTTAGATATTTGAGAGCCACATGCCACTTTTCTGATGATGGTAGGGTCACCTGAGAAGGAAGATCCATCGGTTGAATCAATTCCAGTGTGGAATATTCAAGGCAAAGAAATAACATATAGACAAGCCTGCAATCCTTATGGTTTTAATTGGCCGCTCTGACCCATGGCTCCTTCAGGTTAATTACAAACTAAATTAATAATAATAATAATAATAATGATAATACAGCAACAGTAGCTCAGTTGGTAGAGCATTGGCCTTTGGGCCTGAAGGTTGTGGGTTCGAGCCCACCGTAAGACCTACTTCACGACTCCCACTGATGACTGCTGTCGTTGTGTCCTTGGGCAAGACACTTAACCCTACTTTGCCCAAAGCCCCCACTGAAAGATCTCAGCTACTGTGGACTCACCACCTGCAGGAGGATCAGTGAGGGGCTGGTGCTCTGTGTACTGGGTGCAGCTCTGACTGCCACCCCCCCGACCCAGAAATGGATTAAGGGGAAGAAAATGGATGGATGGATGGATAATACATCAAACTTGTATGCGCTTTTTTGAACACTCAGACACTTTACATGGGGAATAAAACATTACAGAAAAACTTTAATTAAAAAATATGGGGTTTGAGTACTAGTAGAAACTAGTAGTTTCTAATGGGCAGTGGGAGTGAGTTCTAGAGGGTTGGGGTGGCAATGGCAAAGGCTCTGTACCCCAAGGTCCAGCGGTTAGTACGGGGGATGGAAGTGACGCGGTTCTAGGCGGGTCAAAATGATAACATACATAAAACATTGTATGCTGTGTTCTATGAGACATATTAACCACTGCATCTTACCTCCAGGCCAACAGCATGATGCAAGACACTCAGAAGCAGGACATGCTCCATCAACAGCCGGTCTGGCATTAGAGAGGGAGTAACGCACGCTGCTAATAACACTTCTGTCAATGTATCATTCATATCTTTTCGGCTGCAATTCATGTACATCTCCTCTAGTTGACCGCTGATGGATGCCATGTTAGGCTCACTCAACCTAAACAACATGTAAAGTTCCATCAATGTTTTAAATTAATTTTCATCAAAACAGTATTTGATTTTTCTGACTTTTTGGAGGGATAAAAAATGCACAAACCTGTTGAGAAGTCCTTTTACATTCCTCTTTAATTTTTCTAGTTCAGCTTTACGTTTATCATCCCCCATGTTTCGAAGATGAGGCGGTAAATATTTGCTTGTTGATGTCGTCTTCATGTTGATAAAGAAATGTGTATAAAACCAAAACTTTTGGTTAGATTAGACAAACTTAATATGTACAAAATTAAGATTGTGGACCATGCACCTGAGTGTTTTCTTCCATCGCCTGATCATCAGTATTTTCCTTCTCATTCTCTGGTTCTGATGCCATTAACTCATCTTCCTCGTCTTCCTCTTCTCCATTATTTTCATCCACTTCAGCATTTGATTCTTCACTGTTGTGGTCCTCATCCAGGCTTCCAATTTCATCATTCATTGATTCAGAATGCTCTTCGTCACTACTCATTTGCTGTTCATCCTCTGATCCTCCAGATTCATTTTCCTCCAGTTTTGAGAAGTTGTCCTTAGCCATGTCCAAGTCATCTTCGCTGTCATACATAGCAGCACCAGAAGAACCTGAATCCAGCACACCCAGAATATAATCAAGTCCATCAGCCACAAAAGACTGGGGGAGAGATTTCTTGTTTTTTCTTTTGTTTAGTCCGAGTGATCGCTCAAGCTTTTTAATTTCTTTGTCCTCTTGTTCGTTTGCTTCTATTAGCGCCTGCTTTCTTGTTTCCTGGAGTTTAGACGTCTTCTTGACTTTCTTAGTGGAAGTTGATTTGGAACTTTCTTGTTTGCGAACAGAAACTTTGCTTGATGAGGTGTCACACAAATCCTTGTTCACCACGTCACTTTCCTTCTTCGAAGATTTTTTCCCGTGAACTGGCGTTTTGGTAACAGTTGGAGCGACTTCTTTTTTACCTTCGTAATGTCTTTTCATTTGAGCCTTTTTTAGTTTTCGCTTTTCTTTACGTAACTCCTTCCTACTCTTCTTTTTTACAAACTTTAGATCTCTGTTGTCCTCCACATCCTCAGCAGAACCTGTGCTTTTAACAAATTCATCCAAAGCTAGTTTGTACTTCTGTAACACTGCGTTATTCTTTTGCTTTTTGCCCGGTTGCTTCCCTTTAACTTTCATTGCTGCTATGTTATTTTACCAATTACTTAACTGGTAGATAAATTATTGTATTGTTACCAACTTTACGATAGAAGAGGCAAATACTCCTTTTGCGGTAAAATCCTCCACATGTTGTCCAAAGCCGCGACTGTTGTTTTGACCGTAAACACGTGACTATTCTCTTCCGGGTAGCTTTGACGCGTAATGATGACGTGGTTTATTTTGGGGCGTACTTTGGCTCAGAGCGGGTTTCACAGGTCTTTGCCGAAGGAGGAAAATAATGCACTTCTTTATGCAAATCTAATAACTTATCATGTAGTCGCCATTCGGAACTTGGTAGGTGCAATATGAAGCATGGAAGAAGACGATGTTTCCATCAGAGAGCAGAATTTCCACAGCCAAGTTCGCGAGTACATTGTAAGTAACAGAGCGAGCGACTTAGCTAGTATGCTAACCGCGTCCTCTCATAATGCATTGTGACGCCAAACGGTTTTAGCGCTTAGTACAATTACACTGTCGGTATTTATCGCAGTGGCAGCCGAGGCGTTATTGTGTGTCATATATTCCTGATTTTATACCATCAAATATATAGGCTAGCTTCTCTAATAAATAACTGCACTTAATATTTTATTTGTGAGGAGAACAATGTAATCTTTATTATATTTATATAACCATAGTTAGCCTAGTTGATGGTGTTTACTTTTATTTAGTGTTTAAAATTATTGACTAGACTTTGATTGCATTACATTGTGTAGACAACCAGTCTACACAGCATACGTTGCATGTGTTTGGCCGTTTTATCTAATTATATTGAGTTACAGAAACGTGATTTTCGATGTAGATAGATGTCCCAGTTTTACCCAGTACATACTGTCTCCTCAAGATGTCCCTTGTATCCAATATCCACTATTTATCAGAATAAGATCCTTTCCTACACATGATACTAAGATGATAGTGTGCCACTATATCCCCAGGTCATGCTGAGCACTGACGTGACAATTTCACAGAACAGAAATATATATTATATATTTTTTATTCTCAGCTTATTACAAGCAGTTAGCTTTTAACAAGTGCATTTTAACATTTACACATGTACTGTTTGGATGTTGTTGTATAATGCAGCTATGCTTTTAAAATCATGCACAATGAAAATTAAGAAATAATTGATGTTCATATAACATTTACATTATGGGAATTGACTTTATTTCATTCTCTCTTAAAACACTATTCCTATATGTTATTACGTTGGAAGGAGAATGTTCTGTGCATTTGCTGAGTCAAGCCAAGGGTTTACAGATAATCATCTTTTGAGTCTCTCTACAGTACTATCTCTCATGCTGTTGTAGTCTGGTGTCTGCTCCTGTTTATCAACTCTTTGCAGCTGATTCTATGTTATTTTAAGATGGTGTTAAACCATGAGACCCATAGAGTCACTCTAAGAAATAGTTGCTTTTAATATTCAACTGTATTGATACGATTTGCTTACTCATATGTAATTTATATCCTACTAACTGTGTCGGTCATCTACTAAAATGCTGGTTCACGTCGAGTTGTGTCGTATTGATGAGGTGCTGAAGGCAGCGCTTCTAACTGTCCTCGTCACTGTCATAGTAGAGGAGGGAATGTGGAATGTGATCATCCTGTAAGACCATCCACCCTGTTTTGAGGCCACAGTTACCTAATAGATTCCATGTGGTGGTCAATTTGAGTGATACAAAAATAACTTCTTTATAACTAAGTGTAACCATAGTCTTACAGTTGCAAATCAAGATTAATAATTAATCAAGCAGATTTAAACACAAATTTCAATAGCTTCTTCTGTGTGCATTTTCGGTGTACTTTTAATGTGAAGCCCTGTGAACTTGATATTGTAGAAATTGTGCCAAAGAAAATATATTATGATTGATTGTAGTTTAATTGAAAAAACAGTAGATTTTTCCTTATGCATGTATTCAAACTCTGCTGGCCTTAAACGTTATGCTGTACTACTGATAATACGCAGACTTATTGTCTTGATTTGTATTGTGTTTTTCAGATATGCTTCCTCCTGTTCGCAGTTCTCTACATTGTCTCATACTTCATCATAACACAGTACAAGAAAAAGACTGGTATGTTTTTTAATAATTTTTCTGATCATTATTTTTTGCACATACAGTAGTTTGAATATCACGGTGCAGTGAGAATGAGAGGATCAAAACGTCTTTTTAGACCACCTCTCATAAGACGATGACTGTAAACGACAAAAACAAACAAACATTACGTTAAATGTCAAAAGTACTTTCTACTTTTGTACATGTCTCTTAAATGGAACCAATATGGCTTAGGACGCTTAAGATATCCACTGCTTTGTATATAAGGTCAGGCTTGCTTAAGCTAATCCAAGCCCCACCTTTTCCTGGACAAACTGCTTAAACAAGCTCTCAATCAGTCACTCCATATGCCTTTTTATATTTCCATGTTTGGACACATTTATGTTTGCTGGACAGCTTAGGGAAGCAATAAATGAAATAGTTATTTCTGTTTACTTCTTTGGAAATCATTGTTCAGGTAGCTCTTGTACTTGTACAATTACCATCGCATCATCACAGAATGTTATTTGGGTTGTTGGATTAAAATGCATTTAATTTAACACATTTTCATTTCATTCTGCAGTCACAATAGAGTTTTGAGTCATACATAAATCTTTAAAGGAGTCTGTATCGTAAGACTTAATTCATAACTAATAGATGTATTTTTAAGAACTTTGACTTATATTTTTTGCAGATGACCATGAGGATGAAGATGCCATTGTCAACAGAATATCGTAAGTATCTTTGAATTCCTTTACTTTAATCCTTCCAGTGTGATATAACACTTTTCATAACCCCAAAAAATACTCTGATAATAATCGAACTGCAGGAAATTTCATGTACCACCAGAAGGAGCTCAAGTGCCACCAGTAGTACTTGCACCATGATTTGAGAAACAGTGACTTAGAAGATGAACTTAAATCCAATGTTTGTAGAATAAGATTGTAGTTATTGTTTTTCATATCCACATGATTCTAACATGTGCCATTGTGTGTGTTCGCAGGTTGTACTTGTGCACCTTCACCCTGGCTATGTCTGGTGGTGCGGTCTTCCTTCTTCCTTTCTCCATCATCAGTAATGAGATTCTCCTCTCATTCCCCAAAAACTACTACATTCAGTGGCTCAACGGCTCCCTCATCCATGGTTAGTTCAAATCAATGTGTCTAAAAGATAATTATGCTCTTAATAAACAAATATTCAGCCAGCATCTTTTTGTTATGGGGTAGAATTATTATTATTGTAAATTTGCGTGTTTCCTGTGTGCTCCGGCCTTGTATTTGTGCTGCAACATTGAAATTTCCCTACTGTGGGACAAATATAGGCTTGTATCTTAATTAATATGGTTGCCACATACTATTGAATGGACTGTTCCCAATATTGAGTCATTTTTTGGGGGGGATTAAAGTTAGTAGACTACTCGATGAATAATAATAATACATGTCTCTATTACTTCAAAATATGGAACAGTGCTATTTTACAGCTTAAATCACAATTTCTTTGAGTTTCTTTTGGTTTGCGTTGCTTTAATGTTATATGTAATTGAGATTTCTGAGTAAAGTATTTGTTAGAAAAGCTGCTATTCTATTTGCTAACCACCAGAGGCCCTCAGAGTCCATGACATAGTATTTCTAGCAGCCAGTGAGTGCATAACCTATCATACAAATGACTTCAGATTTTTTGTTATGTGATTTAGGCATTTACACAAAATTTTTTTAATTGGATTACATGTGTCTATTTGGTTGACTTTGTAGGACTGTGGAACCTGGTGTCGCTTTTCTCCAACCTTTGTCTCTTTGTCTTGATGCCCTTTGCTTATTTCTTCTTGGAGTCTGAGGGGTTTGCTGGATCTAAAAAGGTATGTATATATACATTTAAAAATATTTGTGACCACAGTTATTTTGTAGGCCTCGCTCAACAACAACATATTTAGAAACACACAACACAAATCTTGCAATTGTCTTTTTTGAGTATGTTACAACACTGTTTCTCATCCAAACTATACCTGGAGTTTTAGTTTCAGCTCGATCCACATGAATATGGGGAATTTGTGGCACAAACAAACATTATCATGTCCCACTGCTCTTTTGTATAAATGCTAACTTTCTTCTGTATAGCAAATACTATAATACATACATTTGGACTTATACTTTTATGTAATGGTGGCTGAGTGGTTTGATTCTCTGTCAGAACATGGCCTTTCTGAGTAGAGTTTGCATGTTTTCCCCGTTCCTCTGTATAGGTTTCCTCTACCACTGAATCATATAGCCCCTCTCCCCTCTGGGGCTTAGACCCCCTGAACCATCCTAGAGTAATCCCTTTAAAAAATAAAATTATTATACTTCTAAAGGTAAGTACAGTCCTTGCTGGAATATGAGTTGCTACTTATTTCAAGTATTGTATTTTTATTTTGCGAGAGCTCTTCTTGGGGTGCAGGAACAGGTTTGGACACAACTCTCTCAGCTATAGATCTCCAGAGCTGATGACGTTGCCCACACTCCTGCTTCTCAGTGTGTTTATGTGAACAGCAGAGGAAAACACGAGGAAGTGCAGGGAATACACAGACTTGTTTTCATGTGATTAGGGCTGTTGGCAGAACAGAGTTTGTGGCCTTATTATTTAAGTTTTAGTAGAGATGTCAAATTGATTAAAGCACCTTGTCATGAAATAATATTGTTTCTAGCTAAAACAGTCATCCATCAACTTTACATTAATATTGCATTACAACATGAAAACTTGTGGGTTAGGGTTAGTGCGGCCTATATGCGGACAAAATTCACTTTATTTTACAATCTAGCTGGTGCGGTTTATGTACAGGTGCGTTTAATAGTCCAGTACTGTATTTAAAACTGCTTTGGAGCAGATTGTGTCAGTCCTGTTCAAATAAACGGTGTTGGCAACACCAATCTCAACCTGCAGTCGCCATCTTGGATATTTGCACAAACCAAATTCCGCGTTCACAATTGAATGTGTGATTGGACCAACCTTTTATCAAACAGAGAACAATCTGTCAAATCCCAGACCCTTCTATTGGAGCACATTTATATTTCTTGTGTAACTGTGTGTGCATCTAAAAAAAAGTCTTGATTACTAATTATTTCTGGTTGTGAAATATGGGGCTTGTGGAAGTGCTGCAATGTTGTATGGCTATTGTCCTTTCTTGTAAAAATCTATCATTTAATTGAGTTATTTTCATGTATTTAAATGACTTATGAAGTATGGCCTTAAGAATATCTCAATTAAAGATATAGAGCCATTTGATTTTCACAAACACCCATGTTTTATGCCTTTGGCAATATTATTGATATAAATAAGTGGTTAATAAATGGTTCTATTTTCATAATACTGAAAAGAATGTTTTGGAAATGTCCTGACCCATAATAAAAAAGATTTGTATGTGTCTTGTTAGCAAATTGGAGACCCTGCGCAAATGCTTTCCCATTGAAACACATTGTAAAGTGCTAATATCAAAGTGCTGGGCATAAGGCTGATGGCCTCAAGACAGCAGCGGCAGGTGCCGGGCCACTGCCCTCTGCCTGACTCACACTACTAACCGTAACTGCCACCGCACAAAGCTCATTAACCATGAAAGTCCGACCCTGGTCTTCGCCCTGCGCCACATCCTGACAAGCCTTTTCAATAAGGCCATAGCCTGCAAACGCTTCAACACCGCAGCATCGGCCCCACTGATTTAAGGCCTGATTCCTTGTCACCCTCCTCCCCGCCCCTCACTGAAAATAAAACTTCAAAAGCACAAGCTAATAATCGAGTTGTAAGGCTCAGTGAACTTCCTTGTTTAATTGATTACCCAACAAAAAGCAAGCTTGGGGCTCGTGTTCCCAAAGTCCATAAAGTTGCAGCGACATGACAGCACAATAGAGTCCCGCAGAACGGACGGGGCAAGATTTGCCTTTAATACGCCTTTATCCTGTGTCACAGTTTGAAACCTCTCTGGTTTATGTCCCTCTTGGCAAAGGCACATAAAAATTAGCCTGTACTGTAGAGTTTAGTCACTTCTTTTCTTCTGCTGCCTGCTAATTTTTTTCGCTTAGATTTCTTCAATGGGCAGACCCCAACGTGCAGGAGACAGGGAATGGGCCTCCTTTCCGTTCTATTTAGGCTGCTACTGATCTTTCATAAATTTCGAGGAGGCACTGGTCAATGTTTTAATGCACTTGCAACCATTATACGCATATTGAGAAAGGACTGGTGGTGTTGCTTCCCTCAACACAACTGTAGTGCCTGTTGCGTCCTCGTGAATCTGTCAGTTGGAAGTTTATAAAGAGCAGAGTGGTTGTGTGTGACGTGAGGCCTTGCTGTAAGAGAAGTATTAGAGTACGTTGGTATAAGATTTTATGTGGTATTTGTACCTGCTGGCTAAGTGTTTTCGCAGAGTGAGGTGCTTTTGACTGCGGAAATGAAGTGAATGATGAATCTGACTGGTAATGTTATAAGTCAGCTCTCTCATGTGGCTGTGTTTACGTTTGACGATGTACTAAAGACATCACCAGAATAAAGATGGAGAATAACGTTTTTTTTTATGTTAACAGCTTTTCAGAGGAACTGTCAACTTGCATGATTAATAGTGAAAGAAATTGTCCAAATTGTGGATGGATCTGAGTGACTTGAGGTCCCAATGTCAAATGTTATTATCCGGCTTTATTTGCTGCAGTAAAAGTCTGCTATTTTACTGCTTCCAACTTTTTTTCTTTAGGTGAGAGTGTTTGAAATGAGTGAATGTATCTGCATTACATTAAACAACACAAACTTTGCAGCCTGAAGTTTATTAACACACCAGCAACTTATTACAGAGCAGCAAATGTATTATTATCATGACTTAATTATTATTATTCGTAAATTAATCCAATTAAATTATAAGTAATATTTTATATTGGTTCATAGAAGAGAGTTAAAATGTGTTTGATCCTAAAACGAGCTGAAACGGCTCTGACCCCTTGAGTGACCCAGCAAAGGGCCAACAGGTTTCATCTGGTAGTTAAAGAAACTCCTCATCAATCTCGTCCTAAGACCAAACCCGCCGATGATGAGAAGTGTGTTTATTGTGGAAGGAGGAGAAGGGGGAAACGTCTCGCCCAGCAAACCGTGTGGTGTTACTAAGATACTCCTCTTTGTTGCTGCCTCACAATAGAGGCCTGGATATTTATTTCAAATCTCCTGCACATGCAGACATTTTTCCCAGGCCTTCTTTTGGGGAAGGCCGGCCGAAGAATATAAAGTGGTGTTTACATACCTTCCTTTAAGGTCACAATGTCTCCCTAAAGCTGCCTGCTACAATGTCCGTTACCATGGAAACATATTAGCTGAAGCTAGGAATTTTAAAGAACAAGCAAATTGCCTGGAATTTTTTCCCCATTCCCCGTGACTCAGTTTTTTCTGATGTGTATTTATGGTACACAGTGTTTGGTCACATGGGGCATTCCACAAAATCTGAAGTTTTTCATTTTACAAAGAGTGAAACAAATAAACATTATTAAAAGAAGGCAAAACAAGTTCCCATAACAAACTTTAGATAATTCACATTTAACCCTATTTTCGGTAAAGTTTTAAGATGAGTAAGGATCCAAAGTATTTATAATTATTGTCTCACAGATTTAGTTTGGAGAATAAAGAAGTGGAAGGAAAGGCCCTTTAGTTTTGGCCTCTTGACTCATTTACTCCATACTACAATAGAAATTCCAGGCAGACTTTAAAATGTGATTCTTCATGAGTACATAGTAAATACTAGAAATGCTTCTGTTGAGTTTTGACAATAGTCCTTTCACAACTGATGCAAATTAAAATAATCAAATGTAGGGACTTGTAATGAAGTGACTTGTGTTTTCCGTTTACAGACTTTTTCTAGATTTTTTTGCAGTATTTCTTTTTCATTTTCCATTCAGTAGGTGACAAAAGTAAAACAAAATAAAATGCAGAGGGCCATTGGAAATACTAAGTATTTGGTATTTCCAAGTTGTGTATATATATTTTATTCTATTCTATCTGGTTAGTTCAGTATAGGGTTAACTCTATGCTGTCAGTTGTAGTTTATTATGCACTAAATGTATTAATGCAATGTAGATACGATTATGATATTTAGATTTTACATTACACATGTTACTAGAATGCTCTCAACACTTCCTAAAACCTTTTTGCACCTTTTCCTCTGTGTTCACGCCGTGGGTAAGGTTCTGCTGAATGTCATTTATGATGTCAGTCTAAAGTTTTATCAATTTATGAAAGAATTTGAATATTGCTGAAAGCATGTATAAAATCACTATTTGCAAAACTTAGGGAAAGGTATGATATTTATATTTTTAATGGAATTAATTGGCAAGATACTAATCTTTGTGGATCAACAAGCTTGCATCGACATCTTATTTAATTTCCCAGAATTTCCCAAAGCTTGCTTCATATATTTTGAGAAGAGAAATCTTGTTGAGGGACAGGCCAGAAGACACAGTTTGTGATTATAACCTAGATGTTTTTTTTGGGATATGAATGACATTTAATCTTGTTTTTTTACATTTTGTGTATTAATCGATATCTTTATTTAAATGTATACAACAGTTCCATATGATTATTATTTTTTTTTTATATATATACACACACACACACAAGCAAACAAATGTAAATGAATGAACTGCTGTATTCTTTGGACTTGATTTATGTTCACTAAACAAACTGCATTGAGCTGTGGCCTCTGTAGAATTACAACAGGGATTGAATGTTATTTCTTTCATCTGGTGAATCACTCATAGAGAAGTACAGTTGAACCTGGTCCTACACGGCGCCATGTTGTAGATCATGCCCCTGCTCTTCTGTTTTTAAGACTTTTGAAGTACGTTCTGCAGCTTTATGGCCAGTGTCCATCTCTGCTTTGTGTCTCTGACACGGTCACTGTGCTGTGACCACTGTTGAGGCCTACACCCATAAAGCCCCGGGCATTTGGTATGCCCCAGCCCCTGCCTTCTCCCACATGCCCCTAACGTGATCAGAAAGAGGGCTGGTGACACTATGACATGACTAACATGACACTTTTACTTATTGTCTTCAGTACTTGTTTAGTTTAATCCTGCAAAGCTGTTCCAATGTGATATAAACAAACTAGCAAACATGTTGTTATCGTTATGTAGCTCTACTTGAATGCTGTTTGCATATTGTATTTCGTCTACAGGATTGTTCAGGTTGATGGTGATGGTGGATTTCATGATTTTGTTTCTGTCTTACATTTGTGTTCTGACAATATCCTTCGAACGTGACAATGGTCCTCAAAATGATACAGACACTGATACCCATGAATCTAAGCTGGTATTGCTGCTACACACTTTTCTTGGAAATCTGCATTATGCACTTGCAGCGGCTAACTAGCCTCTTTCTCGATGTCACTGTGAGGATCGGGGGATGCTGAATATTTCAGAGCTGCTAAATTTAGAACCAGTTACACATTTAGAATGGCAAGAATAGAAAGTTTCTCCAGGGCTCTGATGCCTCGCCTTTCTCTTTCTCAGTGACAGATCCCCTTGATCAATGATGATGACATAGTTACATGTAGCCAAATTTAGACCTCACTGTATCACTTAAAATAGCAGAAACCTGCACCTGCTTACCTTTCGCATCACAAACATGCCGTTGCTGAGACATGTAAGAACAATTGATACATTCTAATAATGCCTCACTGGACTCGCCAAGAGAAAACGCATTGCTTTTGCCCTAAATGATCTGAATGCGTAATGATTTCAGTCTTATAAATGATTGAGAGAACCGTCTGAAGGGAATATACCTTTGGCCTGGCATGGACAGTGTTTTAAGGTGGACTGGTGCGCTTGAATGGACAAATGTTCTATGGGCCCTTTCGCGGCTCTGCGGCTCCGAATGCGTCCTTAAGAGAATGCGTGTGCGACGTGTTTTCAGTCTCTAAAAGCATTCCTTTCTCACCTCCTTTCTCAAATGTTTTGGGGGGTAAACAAACATCAGGTACATTAGTCGACCACTACTCTGCACAAAAAAACGTGCAAAGTTTTCAAATGATGGTAATAATTTATTTTGCCTTTGATGAGCGTTACCTGTAGATTTTCTGTAGTACCCATCTTGACCACACTGGGGCAATCCAGTCACTGTTCATGATCTTGCTGTGATGCTAGAAAATTCTTGGTAGAAAAGAATGAGGAGGAAAGGTGCCTGTAATATAAGTATGTAATATTATTGATTTATAATACGGCATTTTTCAGTTCCGTTTTTTGAAAAATTGTTGTGAAACTTTAACTTCGCTGGCAACACAAAATGCTTGTCTGCATCACTATAACTGTGGAATCTGACCTGCATGTTTTGGACTTTGGACCTCTGTTGTATCTCTATTACTACTAAACATTATTATCTCAAGAACTGAACGTATTTGTTCTGACCCAAACTGCTACTAGTATCGATATGTTAAGCACCAGCATCATAAATATCTCAAGGGATGTCGTCTATGTTCTTATGCACATTGGTACACATTGTATAAAAACCAAAAACGTTTTCTTATGTTCTATCTGGAAGAACTCCTGATCCTGTTTGTGAATTCGCTGCTACCTCTGTCTTAATTTCTTTTATCAACACCTATGGACATTGGTCATCTGCCCCTTATGGACCGAAACCAATGTGTTTTCTGTTTTATTTGTTGTGTTTGAACCGTTTGATTCTCTGATCTGTGTTGGCAAATTCAACGGTTGTGTAAAGTCCTCTGAGATAACTCCTGTTGTGATTTAGGGCTATACAAGTATACATTGAATTGATTTGAATTGAATTTCTCAACATAACCTACAGAGATAAAATAGGGGGTTTATACAGAGTGCTTCTGGTTATACTGTATACCCTTGTCTTACAGCTTACAGGGTCATTTATATTGTCTGACCTGTTACATGTTGTGGGTACCACGCAGGTATTATTCTTGCTGTGAACAAATTGCTCATGTGCAGCCAATCTTTGCAAACCCTCTGTGCTTGTTAGCGCGCGCCGCATAGGCTACCTGACATGTATAGAGCCCGTCCATCCATCTTCCAGTGCTAGACGTTTTGGCTCTGCGGTCGGGGGGGAGTAGAAAACTGTGAACAAGTGAAGGAAGACTTTATTAACCACTCAGCAGTTTGTGACCCGGAAAACCCAAATTACCCCAAACCCCTGAAGTCTGCCGAGCCCTGGACACGGCCGTGCCAAAAGAGCTGCTAATCAGGCCCAGATGGGAGGTCTGCTCTTGATCGCAGACAGTAGCTGACCCAGGCAGCCTTCAAGCACCCCCTCCTCCCCCCACGCACACACTTTTTTATTTCAGCAGTGCTCCTAACACAGCCCATTGGAGCTGTTTTATGGACCGTCATTTGCTATAAGTATTGTCCATGAAAGAGCTTATCGTACGCTCGCTGTGAGTGGTCAGGATATTTCCAGGGCACTATGAGCAGAGGCCCCCCCGACCTTTTTGCCTTGATCACTGCCCCAGTACCCCCAACTGGTGTTTAATTTCTATATTATTATAAAACTAAATGCTTTACTAATTGCTTTTTCTTGATTTAACTTCAAAAGTTACTTTTCAGTAACTTACTTCAAAAGTAATTCTATTAGGTATGTGACCAACAATTGTTTTGATTATTGATTAATTTAGCGCTTCTTATCTCCATTAATAAAAGGTTTCCGGTAGATGAAATTGCATAATTTTGAATAACTCAAGTGAAGCTGTTTGAGAATGTTCTAATAGATTACGTTTACAAACTAAACTGTTTTTATCATTTGGGAATTTTCAATTACTGTTCTGTTTAAGTCTTAACATCACAGCTCTGCAGTTCAACAGTTAGCAGTTAAAGAATAATTTGTGAAATAATTGACAATTATTGAAGAAATTCAAAGTTTACAGCCCTATCTTCTACCTTTTCCTTTAAGTCTTTTAAATGTATATAAGAGGATTGTCTCGAATTTTAGGAAAGAACCGCTCTTTCCACTTTTTGAAAAAATGCACATGCACAACGCTCTCCCTGCTCCCGAGAGGGAACGGCGCTGAAACGTGTGCGAGAGACCAGCACGAGCCCAGTTCTCCTCGTCCACGCTCTGTTCACAAGTCACTGTTGGCATCGCTCGCACAAACTCACTTGCCAAGAAAATGTGCACTTTTTCCACAATATCAGACAATCCAGATGTAGATAACTTTCACTTGAAGTGATTTGAAATGGATTTCTCCAAATAGAATCAAAACATTACCTGATGAGTAGAAACTTCGCTACTGAAGCATCAGTAGGACCAACCTGGGCTTTCAGCGCATGCCATTGTGTGAAAGAATGTTCCAAAAACACTCTGGTCTGTGTCTGTTTCCTCTGGGTGCTCTGGGTTTCTTTTTTAAACACACTTTGTGACTCTCAGTCACTACTCGTTGAGGAATTGACAATGTTGTAAAGTCTTCCGAGACAACAGATCAGAGAATCAAACTGTTTCGAACACAGGAAATGCAGAAATAACAAACACATAGGAGCCATTGGTCCACAGGGGGCGGATGAACATGTAGATCTTAGTTAACATGATTTTCAAAGATCTATATTAAGGATTTTAGTGGTAAATAATGCCTGAGCGAATAGTGAAATCTCACTGTGATTGTTGGAGAATATGCACTTAAGTCAATAAGTAAATGCTTTTTGTTCTTTGCTTCAGGGCATAAAGGCACGCATTCTGGAGACTTTTGTCATGCTCTTCCTGCTGGCTCTGCTTATACTGGGCATTGTGTGGGTGGCATCAGCTCTCATTGACAATGATGCAGCGAGTATGGAGTCTTTATATGGTATGTATATGTATATTGTATTGTGTTGACCTTTGTTTGCTCTTTTAAATAAACAACAAAAATCTATAATCATCCTTTTTTTTCTTCTTTTTTAGATCTTTGGGAATTCTACCTACCATACCTTTATTCCTGCATATCATTAATGGGAGGACTGCTTTTACTGTGTAAGTATATTCCAATCATACAGTTTCAGAAAATAATGAAAGTAAAAATTGAGCCCTTATGGTCACAGCTGATTAGCCTTAACCAATGTTTGTGTATATATTTTATATTCTCAAATTACAAATTATTTGCTTTCTATATATTTGCATACAGTGTGCACTCCAGTGGGACTGTCCCGGATGTTCACTGTCATGGGACAGCTGCTTGTGAAGCCAACAGTAAGTTGATTTTATAAATATTGTCAATTTTAAAGTACAGCTATATCCGGTCAGAGCCTCCAGCCACATCTGCTCTCTCCTTTGGACATAAGTATAAACTATTTAATTTTCCTACTTTTTAGATCCTGGAGGACCTAGATGAGCAGATTTACTGCATTCATTTGCAAGAAGAATCTCTCCAGAGAAGATTAAATGGTAACTGTGTAACTCTTTAATTTGTTGCTGTCAAAGATAATGTCATTAGTATTATAAACATAGACAAATCTAAAACATAGTCATTCCCACTTTGCACTTTTACAAGTTTGAGTCTATAAGTATGAACCATAGCACTGAAGATGCTGCCCTGTTTCCACTTAAAACACTCTCCTATTGAAGCGATTTTGGGGTCATAAGGAATCTGATTGGTCCGTTGTTAAATGGTAAATGGTCACATTTATTTAGCGCTTTTCTACCTTTTCTATCAATTAACCAATCAACCACCCAACATGCCCAATCAGTCTCCCACATTTTCACAATATTATTTTAATTGTTATAGAGGTACAAGTTGGTATGCTTTTTGATTTTTGTCTTTTAACAGAACTAACACCTCTAGGTTTACTTTTGAATGCGCTGGAAAACGGCTGCAAGTCCTAAGTCGCTCTGAAACAGTTTTATTGCTTTGTTCTACCTGAGATGTTGCTGCAGTACAGTGTTGATGGTTTTACACTGGTCTAGACCAGAGGGGAGAGGATTCATGGTCCGAACCAAGCAAAAATCCACTAGAGGAATGCTAACTTTTTGAAAAATGCTAATGAAGCATTTAGCATTTTAGTTTGGACTAGAGCAGAGAAAATGGTCTGAACCAAGCGGCTACTCCACCCTGTGAGCCGTCCTGCTCCACCCAAAGGCTACTCCACCTCTGCTGCTATGACCTATTTTTTACTTTTTAGAATGATCAATATTATTTTTTACTTTTGCTGCTACTGGACACCTGAATTTCTCCTACGGGGATTAATAAAGTATATCTATCTATCTGTCCTTAAATATCTTGTTAGAATACCTAAAATATCTGTACAGCAGGAAGAATGTTGGCCAAGAAACTTACTTTATTATCTACTCAAGCATGTGTACAGATGCAGTAAGTGTCTTTTCAAAACCAGGGAGGTAAGGGAGATCTCTTCCTGATAAGGCTGATGTTGTGAGATGCTGTTTCGGCCACCTCCATACACTGCCACTTAAGCGTTCGGTTCCATAGAGCTAATTGCATACTGCATTACTCTGAACTAAAAGTAGAACATTCTAATCTGTTCCTTATCATCTACAAGACTGTTTGAAGTCTCAAAAGGCACAAATATCTGTGGTTTACTCCATTTGTGCACCATTTCCAAGCTGTAGTTCATTTGGACCTGTTGAAGAGACAGGAATGGGGGCTAAAAGAAGATGGTGATCACCGGAAGCTTTGGCTTATCAGCTCTTTATGTTTTATACACATACTATATGCACATGCGCATGTCAGTGTTAATGCATTCACATGGGTGAGGTGCTCTTTTGATCTGCTCTGTCGGGACAGTTCACAGAATGAAAATTTTTGTCCACTTTGACAACGAGTCCCCAATTAGATACATCTGTGGTGGTTCCTTTTATATATCATTTTAGTGGACACTCTTGGTATTAGATGGATGAAAAGTTGGATCCTTATGGCATGATTAAAAATGAGTTGCTGTTTACTATGAAACTTCTTGTATGGTTTCCTCTACCTATTTGTCTCCATGTTTTTCCAAGAATGTTTCATAGCATTGTATCAAAGCTCCACTTTAAATATATTAAATGATGTTTGTTTTTCTTCAATGAAAATATTGATGTGATTTTTGTGTGTGTGTGATCACAGCTGCTTGTAACCATGGAGATTTAGCTGATCGGTACTGCTTTCAAAAAGACCAACATTTGCGTTTTTAACATAAACCTTGTTCTTTTGCAAATGTAAAGAGAAAACCATGTTTGATCTGTAGTTGAGATGATGAGAGGTGTGTTGGTGCAGTTGATTGTCGGCCAGTGGCCTGTCCAGATGCTATGCGGCACGCAGATGACCTTGCTTGTGGCTCTGTTGTCTCAGCAGGGTGTTTAGCATATTTGAGGCTGACGTAATTTTTTGACTGTGGTGAAGGTTGGAGAGGATATGTTAAATTACCCTAGGCTTTCCTGGCTGCCAAATGCCTCACTCAGCATCTCTGCCTCGCTCTTACTCTCTCTTACTGGACGCTGCCAGCAGTGGAAGAGACTATGACAAAACTGTCTGGTCTGGACCGGAGTTTAGTCCTTTAAGACACTCATACTAATTATTTATATTTAATTTAATTACTTTGAGTATCTTGTCTTTATTGGATATTAGGTCTTATTTATTGTTAATCATAAGCCTGAATAGGATAACAGAGAGCATCTGATAGATGCTACATCACATACTGCGAGTAACATTTCCCGTTTAGTGACTGCTTTGCTCATGGTTCTAAACTCCCCCTGCTTAGATCTGGGGCAGGTGTCTGCAGGGCTGCAGAAAAGAGTGTACCATAACTCTCCTACCTCCTAAAGTCCTCCAGACGGGGTGTGTCATAATGACAGAGCAGCAACATTTTGATCAAAGTGATTGGCCTTTCAATCCTGTAACAAAGATGAAAGAATGTAATTTTATTGCATGCTAGTAACGCTGTAACACTGAGCTAATTGGGCTTGATCCGTCAATCCCCTCAGGTGCTGCGAATGGATCCCTTTTTCTCCTTCCTCTGAGCCTCGAGTACGTCAAACTGGGTGCTTCACCGAGTAAAATAGATAAATTGGTCTTAAACGGGCTGGAGAATCCCTTGCTTTTCTCTCAGGGCCACTCAACCAGTCGTGACATGCACTAGGCGGCTTCTTTGGTTGTACTTGTTGATCACTTTATGTTATGTTCATTTACTACTTAAGTTTATTACTTGTTTTGTATAATTGCCTAATAAAGACATGTCAGAAGTCCAACAGTGTCCTCATGAATGTGCCTCTTATGCAACTGTACCTAACCCCAACCACTTTGGTGAATCACTGTAAAATGCAACCAAAAAAAGGAAACTGATAATGCTTTTCTGTCTTTTTCTCTTTTTTTACTTTTACTTTATAAACAGGTACTTTCGTCCGTCCCACCTACCCTAAAACTGGAGTCACCCACCAGCTCAACAATGAACTGAATAATATTAGGAATCAAAGGAATAAATTGGGTATGTTTTTAATGTCATTATAGAGGATCCTAAACAAAGTCATCAGAACTCTTAAGAACTTTTACATGCTGCTAACAGACGGCCACTTTCTTTCCATGTTTAACTTGGAACCGGACCAGAACTTCATGATAATTTTCCATCCATTTTAGGATATTGTAAATGAGACCTCAGTCTTTTGGGGAGCTGAGAGGGTGGGGGGCACAAAGGCACTTAGGATATTGGACAAGATGCAAACTTTATATTGTAGCTGGCCTTTTAGTGATGTCATTAATTTAAAGGGATGGTGCTTATAAAGTGCATTTGGCAAACTTCTTGGGCAGGAAGCAGGGTGGACTTTTAGGATAAAGAGCATGCACAGGTCTAGAAATGTTGAAGGGAAGTCAATATGGCAGGGCTTGTAGGGCAAACCAATGTTAGAAGGACTGTGTAAAGAAAGACCCAGTAGTACAATGTGGAGGTCTTTTTATCATCATTTCTCCAGCCTCCTATAAAGTTCAGGGGGGATTTTAAAAGTGTAGACATTACTTTTCTAACTCTTCATAGCGAGGACCTTTTGACCCTCGTATCTTCAAGTCAGAACCTTCATATGGTCCCTAAAACAAGTTTAATTTTTAAAACTTTCAGGCTGTTGCCCAAAACTGTCTTTTTTGTGGTCAACGCTGTTAATTATCTTATAAAGCAGCTGAAAAAGTCTTTAGTTTTGCAGTAATGTGGTGCACCTGTCCTCTGTGAAGAATGTTGTGTTTTTAATCTAATGAAGTCTTTTTATCAGAGAGAAGAAAGAAGGCCTCAGGTTGGGAGAAGAACCTGTTGTATCCAATGGTCATGCTCATTCTGCTCAGTGGAACAGTGAGTTTAATATTCTATTTGCTTAAAAAAGTGCAATCAAATGTATTGTTGGCTTAATATAAATCAAAATTTTCTGTTAGGTTTGTAGAACAGAAAGTGATTACGGAACAGCTTTAATTGAAATTTTACTGCTTTGATTATTTGGTCAATTGTTATAATTTAAATTAATTATTCAGATGTAATGATCACTAGCTGCTGCCTTCATAGGGAACAGAAGTGTACTTAGGATGTGAACTTAGTAAAATTGGCAGCAATTATATATGAAAAACATTGTAACAATATTTGTCTTCTCTGTAGACGATCTCTGTTCTGCTGGTGGTATTGAATATTCTCTATCTTCTCGTGGATGAGACTGCAATGCCCAAAGGGTCCACAGTAAGTCACTGGTCTAATACGTGCACATCATCAACATGGCCGTCTCACTCCGGCTTCAAGACATATTTACATTTTCTGATGTTCAAAGACTGGACAGATATGAATCTGACTTTAACCTTGTGCCAGTAGTTTTGTTTTTAACTTTTTGAAAGTCAAGTTACACTCAAATGCACATTCTGTGGTGTATCTGTCTTAGTCCAGTTGACAAAGCTGCTATTCGTCCATGTAGCAAGGACATAAGCCAGTCGGCTAACTATGTAAGGAATTGTGCTGGAGATTTAATCTTCTTACATCTTATCTTATCTCGCCGGTGACAGGGGTACGTGCATGCGCTTGCATGTGTGTATGTGTTCAAATTTCAGATTCGTCAGACAGGGCAACATAATGTATCATATTTCCCCTTTATTTTCATCTTTATGGGAAACTGACAGGCAAAGCCACTGACATTCCAATTATTTTATTGAGGAGGGATGTTTTCTTTGGCTTGCACATAGTTGAAAATCCCCCAAATTACACTTGTCATGCTGAATGTGTGTGCCCCCATACAAAGTTTTTATCCTTTGTTGGGCTGGATATTTGCCGCACCCCGCTACATGGAATCTAATGAAGTCTGCAGGGGTTCTTTATGATCAATATAGTCCTGTGCACTTGTGTTAACTCTATACTTTAGCCCTCTAGCACAGAAACTCCCTAACAGGTAACTGCATCATATCTCACAACCAGAGAGGGCAGTAGTAGTATTGAATCTAGAGAGACTACAGGAGCTGAGCCAGCTGCCGTCAGACTGTGGGAAAGTCAATTCAGGCCCGATCCACTGATTGTTGTGGGAGGGAAGCACAAAGAAGTGGCCAGTCCATGTTTGTCTTCCTCCTGCCTCGGCATCTCTCTTTGGTCTCCAGCCTTTTGACCAATCACTTTCACAAATGAAGCTTGGGGAACTTTGTTGAGTTGAATTGAGTTGTGTGGAAAACATGCAGCAGTTGGAAATGGTTTATGCTTTTGAACGATTTAGCGTGTGTTGTCATTTTAAGCAATTATTAATCGAGTCAATCCACCAGAGATATTTGAAACTATCTATTCTATGCTCATTAGTTTAAGTTTATGCATCAGACCCAAACGGATGTGAAATGACAGTGAAATACCCTACAATTGTTTAATAAGATCAAAACCTTTTATATTTTCAACCTGCTCTATTTGCAATTAGTTTTCCGCTTGTAATTAGTATGTAGCCAGTATTCAGACTTTGCTCCAAAATTGCATTCAAAATATTGATTTGAAATATGGCACACATAATGTGGATGGCTGGCCTAATGTTGGCTGCCAGGACAGTGCTACAGGAGGCTACCATCAATAAATAATAACAACTCAATCTTCCACATTTCGTCCCCTGCGTCTTTGATAATTGTTTCATGTATTCATTCATTTGAGAAGAAATTTGCATTGAAACATTGATAATATTTTTGCCATACAGTATACACATACAGTAGATAAATACATACATAAGCATCAGCTACATGTAACAGTTCCATCATGTATCAATATATTTACAATTCTATTTAAAACTATATTTACATGATACATGACTTAATTATATGAATATATTTAATACTATTCATTCAAATGTCAATTCTCCCTCTTCACTTTTTACAGGATCGAGGAATTGGCAACACCTCTCTGTCTACGTTTGGTGTGGCTCAAGCCGTGTTGGAGATCATTCTTATGTTGTATCCTTGGACTTTCAAAGTTGCTGATTCAACTAAACCAACAACAGATCAGAGACTTAAACTGTTCGATCACAGGAAATGCAATAATAACAAACAGAAAGAAGCCATTGGTCCATAGGGAGCAGGATGACCACTGTCTATAAATGTTAATAAATGTGCAAAAATATTCTTTATTAGTAATCAATAATCTATTTAGTGATAAATGAATAGTTAACTGCTCTTCATACAGGGTTCAACACATGTGCAGGTGAGACTCAGAAAATTGGAATATGGGTCAAAGGTTTATTTGTTTCTGTAATTCAACTTATAATATGAAACCAATACATGAGACCACACATTTTTTTCATCAAATTGTACGTTGAATTACAGAAGTAAATACACTTTTGAACGGTATTCTAACTTTCCGAGTTTTACCTGTATGTGATTTTCAAACCCAATCAGAGCAGAAACTACTTAACAAATAATTTGGGAACTAAAGGTCTTGTTTTTAATTGCACACATTCTAGGATGTCCAGAACAACTAATCAATTAATTGAAAGAATAATCAGTCAAAAAAAACGAATATCGAACTCATCATTAGTGACAGCCCTAGATGCACATATGCTTTTAAAGGTGTTCGGTTCTTGACTCGTGCAACAGCTACTTGATGGTGTCTTCCGTCGTCGGCTTCTACAGTCTGCGAGTCTTTCAGGGACTCACTCCGAGAAAGGATGACACAACCATGACAACGGTAAAGATTGGGGGCACATGTACAAAGTGGTTGATCCATTTTGTTGTCTTTTCTTATCTTTTGTCTGCGTACTGTCACCTACCCTGAAGCCCGGTAATGTTCTTCTCTGGGATCCTGATTAGCTTAAGAAAAAGCTAGCCAATATTTGTCAGTGGGTTGTGCCAAGTGCAGATTTCCTTTACTGAACATCTGAAGGGATGCAGGCACTTGGGAGGAGGAGGATGTGAGTTGTGTTGGCCCACAGTGGCACCTATTCACTTGGTAATGAGTCTGGTAGTGGTGCGGCTTTTTAACTAGCCATGACGTGCCAGTGAAAGGACTTGAAAGCACAATGGAATGAACCTGGTAATTAGCAACATTAGATTTGCCACTTTTACAATGTGCGTAACTAATTTAGCAGAAAGTGAAAACATGTCTCCTCAATTAATGTGGACATTAAAAAAAGACATTAGTGCGGTGGATACAATGTGTATATGTTTTATGTTTTTAGATTATTGGTTGCTGCGTGTCCATCTTGGTCCTGAGTTCAGCATTGCCAGTCATGTCCAGAACATTAGGTAAGTGCCTGTTGGTCACTTGAATTGTTTTTGTTATTAACATACACTACTGTCATTAACACTACTTGCCTAAAGTTATAGATAATTAGCTTTTGGGAGAAATGTATTCAAGGGTGACTGTTTAGTACAGAGGTATGGTAGTCCACTCTTCTTGAAGGTGGCTGAGACTTCCAAACATCAACGCAGTACCTCAGCTGGCCCATAGGGGTGTTTACGATATAAGATAAGATAGACTTTATTGATCTCACACAGGAGAAATCTGTAGAAAGTGAAAGGCACTCAGTTTGAGGTAAACCAGTCTCCAACAGCCGTTCAGTAATGATGCAGCCTCAATGAGCTGGGTTGTTCATGTATATTAGATTAGATTCCATTTTATTGTCAGAACAATGCAACGAAATGCAGTTTAGCATCTAACCAGTTGTGCAATTGCTGCTATTGCATCGTATCATTCAAGTGTAGAGCTGTTCAGTATTGACCAGACACACCTGCACACACTGTCACACACCATCAGCACCAAAGGCTCGTCTCGTGACGGCAATGTCTGGTGCATAACACTTACAGACATAACTTTTGCTCAGTATAAGACATTCACCAGAGAACAGCCCTGAGGCACACTCCCCTCTGTCCAGCGTCAATGCTCCCTCAACAATGCAATACTAGAATGCTGTACTTGGTGGTGTGGTCAGGTACCCCTGGCAGGTAATCTGTAAATAGTTTGATTACTTTATCATTTAATAATTTAGGATGTGAAATAATATCTTAAATACAAAATAGATGATGAAACAAGTAAAAGGACTGAGACGGGAGCTTTTGGAGAAAAGGCAAGGAGTTACATGTTTGTGGCAGCGGTTCCTGATATTAGCATGGATGGATCTAAAAACGTGTTTAATTTTTATATATGATGGAAATGCAATGCACAGCTGTTGAAATACTGATGGACTGAATACGGTTTTGAGAAAACCGACAAGTGTAGAGCAAGCGCAGTGAGTCACTGAGGGTTTTGCAAAATACCAACAGGTTCTGCTTTGTGAGAGTGAATAGATGAACAAAGATGAATGCGTGGGACACGACAAAGGAAAGCTCCCGCAGCACAAGAACGACACGACAAATGTGACAAACGTTACCTGTTACATATTTTATTAAACTACAAACGGTGTATAACGAATATGTGTAGCTTATAATAAAGAGGTTAAATCAAGCCTCATACCTTTACTAAAATAGTTATTGGTTTAATAATGGTATTATTATTAATCATCATAAGACATTCTCCATTTAATAAAAGTGTTTTAAATATGTTTTATTTATTTAGATCCAGCATATGTAGCAATGTCTGCAGCAGTCTAAAAGGCAGAAATAAAGTGAAATCTTTTTACAAATTTTTTGGTTCATTGATAAATTTTCATGTGTATATAAATAAAGATTACTTACTTACGTATATATTGATTTTTTGTTGTTGTTTCTTCTTGATTGTTCTTATTCAGGAGAGTGTCCACGTGTGTGTACATTGTATTGTGTGTAATTTTAGGCATCACCAGATTTGACCTTCTGGGAGACTTCGGAAGATTCAATTGGCTGGGCAACTTCTACATTGTTTTGTCGTACAACATGCTGTTTGCAGTTATGACAACTTTATGCCTAGTGAGAAAATTCACATCTGCAATAAGAGAGGAGCTCCTGAAAGCACTAGGTACATTTTATGACTCTAGAATAATGCTATAAAATGTGAAATGCCCATTCTGATAAGAGAAATTGGGGTTGGACTGAGTCTCGTAGTGTGGCATTGAATGGAGGAAGTGCATTAATACCTCTGTCTCAGGGGCTCTGTAATGACATTTCTTTCCTTATCTTTGTCTGTCCAGGTCTGGATAAATTACAACTGTCAAACAGCCCCACAGACCCTGAATCTGGTAAGCTCTCTGCAAATGGCCATCAGAAAACTCTGTGAAAAGAACACAAGATCAGCGTGCACACACACCTTCGCACAGCCAAAGGGAGATTTCAACAGAACCGCCTGTCTGCTGAAAGGTAAAGGGATTGGAAAGAACTTAATAAACCCAGGCAGTGTCTGATGGATGCTGCAAATGGAGGCTGAGAGTAATTTAGCTTCATGACATTCCATCGCCTGCGTCTTGGATGGAGCTGGGACAGAGCCAGGAGGAGTGAAAAAGACTGGCAACACTGCAATAACCTTGACATTGACCTCAATGGGATCGGTGTCTTAAAACACCATTTTCTGGCTTCTCAAATAATCCGGTCCTGCTCAACTCCCGTTTGGGTCTTCTTCTGCTCAATGACTGGGCAGGTGAAATAATGCACTTTGTGTGATGCAGAAATTCCCCCATCTTTCCATTCAGCACTGGCAATTTATTAGTGTGGGCTTTTCATGGATGTCATGAACTCAAATCAAGAACAGTATATCCAAATTCAAAGTTATATTGGCCTATTCCTATAACATAAAACGTCTAAAGCTTCATTGTACTGGTTTATACGGCTTTAGCCAAGGGTGTTTGTAACTTAGTCTGTGTTTATAATATAAAAGTTGAGAGATGTCAATGGGCAACCGTTATAAGAGCTTTTGACCGTTAAGAATTGTGAAGTACCAATATGCAGCTGGTTACCAATACATTTGCACATCCTCATATACTTTTATTCACAGGGCTGATCTAAAATGTTTTTTAAAAATCTGTTTTATAAATGTTGTATTTATTTACATGTACATATATTCTTTTCATATCTCTTTTGATCATCTGGATGTAAAAAGAAAGTAGGGATTTTAATTAGGTACTTTCTGATTGCTAAAACTTGTTTTAGAGCATCTCAATGCAGCATTTTCAGAAAAGGGGTATTGCGTGCTTGATGCAGAGACTAGTTAACTCAGGCCCTGTGTATTTGTTGTATAGCTCTATAAATATGAACTGTGATGTTATAAGTGTCTAGAACCACCTTGAATGCCTTAAACCGTCTACTGAATCTCTATAGTGGGCTCAATGTTAAGGTTGATGAAGGCTGTTGTTCTTGTATCTTGTATCTGATGCGTCTGTGTTGTCGTGGGACAGTTCCAGTGTGAGCCCCTTGTATGCCAAGTCTAAAGGTACAATGTTATGAATTGAATATACCACAATAAATAACTACTCTTTTGTCTTATTGTGGCCTTTTTCAGATTGGTGCAGAGTGAATAAATGTGTGGGTTAAAGGGATAATAAAAACAGGAAAAAACATGACAAGAAAGAAACAGCAGTTTCTTTATTGGTGTAATACATATTTTATGTTGACATTACATAAAACAAATGATGACAGTGGAAACATTAGTTTTCATGTTACAGCTATTTATGCATTAGAAAGTGAAAACACAGATTGGTCATTTATAATCTGTAAATTTAAGGGATTCTAGTTTTTATGAAGGATAATTAATACATCAAATGACCAAAAGAAAAGTCCCCAGACAGAAGGTCAAACTCAAACCTTTTTGTTTTGGTCAGGACATTATTAACCTACTTTTGCACACTTGATTTGCCTCTGGGGCATAATCAATGTTCTATGTTTTGTTGCAGAATTCCAAAGAAAACTCAGTCAGAATTGTGAACAAATTAAAATTCTGTAGCGTTTATGGTATGATTATTCGTGTAACCCTTGCACATGTGTGTGAATGTACAGTGTTTGTTTCTTAACTTTTCTGTATATAAATTGTACCTGTCTTTTTATGGTGTGTGTTTGCAAATAAATAAATGCAACCATTCATATCTTCAGCTTTGAGGACCATTTTTCCATTCAAAAGATAGAAAATTATGTTTTGGAATTGTCTCCCCCTCATTTTTCCTCTTTATGAGACTCCATAATAGTCAATACAGGACAGTTCACTTTATAATTTGGATCGTAAAAATATTTATCTCCTCACTATACGTAGATGGAGAGTAGCTTCTTGTGATAGGCAGACCTGCAGAGTGGACAGGATGGATGGCTGTCTTCTGTGAAAGTCTCAAAGGACTCGAGGCAAAGCTGGTGATAAACATGAGAACAGGACAGCAGCACGCAGGGTCTTCCCTGGACAAACCTGACTGCATCAGTTTCAGTCGAGCTGGGAGTATGCAGCGCAGTTAAACAGATGGGGCAATCCCATACCCCTCGCTGAGTCACCTGTCACAACAAGTCATTCTTCACCACAATGAAATAGTCACTACAGTAAGCTTCCATCCATACATTAATTTTCTTCTGCTTCATCCGATGCCTGGTCACGGGCGCAGCAGTTTAAGCAGAGACGCCCAGAGCTCCCTATCCACAAAGCTCATCCAGGGGGGACCCCAAAGCGTTCCCGGGCCAGCTGAGAGACATAAGTCCCAACAGCTTTCCCGGGGTCTCCTCCCGGTGGAATGTGCCCGAGCCACCTAAACTGGTTCTGCTCAACGTGGAGAAGCAGCGGCTCTACTCCGAGCTCCTCCCGTGTGACTGAGCTCCTCACCCTATTTCTAAAGGAGCGCCCAGCCACTCTGCGGAGGAAGCTCATTTTTGACCACTTGTATCCGCGATCTCGTCCCTTCGGTCATTACCCAAAGCTCATGACCATAGCTACTATTTTTGTAGACATATATATTATGTATAATATAAATATGTTAGGCCAACTCTAGAATAAATCACTTCCAAAAGTGGAGACAATATTAATATCACGAGACAGGTGCTAAAGCATTTAAATTAAAAATGTATTTATAATAGAGCAACAATATGATGTGATTGGTCCTCTTTTTACCTGAGTATGTATTCGGTTCCAATCGTCCTCTTGAGGCTCAAACTTGCCCCTCCTCTCCAGCTCCTCAAACACTTGTCTGCTTGATGACAGGGAGTGGTCAATGTCCCTCAAAAAAGCCTCTGTGTCGGTGTGACAGTATTGGACAAAGCTGTCATTCAATTCCTGCAACTAATTGGAAAAACAGTTCAGACACACAAAAGAGACATGTTTCATTCATTCACAATGGTGTGCTGGTTCAGTGAGGCTTGTGTGTGGAAGTACAGACTGGGGAAAGGGTGCTGCAGTTTTAAAGTTCACTGCAAATATACACCTGGAACTGCTACAAACAATTTTAACTTCAATAGTAAAAACATATAGCCTCTTGTTCCAGAATAGAGTTAAACAATTAAATGTATTTTACGTGTAAACAAATGTAATATTTACAACAAAGCAAGAACATATGATGAATTACATATATTCTGTCACTCCTTTTATTCTCTAGCAACAGAGGACCCTCCCAGAAGTTGTCGCTTTTCCCATATACTGCACCTGTTGCTAGGCAACAATCTACGCCTGACAATAAAAATGAATGTTTATGTAAGAAAACGACCTAATAGTTACCGAATGGAACGATAATGTACTCCTTATAGTTTTCAACATTGTTGATACTAAAATAATTTTAAAATATGTATTATTCTATTTGCAGTTTGTGTAAGGATGATCTGACGTGAGCTGGAGACCCCACAACAGGAGCTCTGCCGTGTACAGTACAAAGCATCTGACACACATATACAAAGTCTTTCTAAAGTCACAATGACATCAAAATGGCTTTATGACTCTGCTTTTATCACTAATTAAACAACAGTTAGCCATTTGGATAGCAGGTTTTATGGGGCCGACGGACTCTTTGACAGTTGAGGCAAACAGCACAACCTCCAGTGAACTTTGCCTTACTCCACAGCGAGTGTGAATATGGGAAAAACACACAAGCAACACTTTGGTGGCGGGCAGGGCTGGACTGGCCATCGGGCGTACCGGGCAATGCCCGAAGGGCCGATGCCCATATTTGGGCCGGTCTGTTTGCCTCATACAAAAAACATGTTTGTGAAAAGTGTAAATCCGTTGAAAAATGTTTGAGGGGAGCGCGCGTGTCCGCGGGGCACCTGCTGTATGTACTCGAACAGGATTCCACCACCTCAGCGGCCGCAGTGTTCCCGCATCCAGCGGCTCTGAGCTGGACGCAGGAACCGCTCAGTGGGAGCCGCTCACAACACAACACGGTGAGCGCGTAGCCGCAACGTGACCATATACCCAAGACCATAAACGTGCACAGGACCATGCATGTCTTTTCGTAATTTGTGCACCCAATAAATACACCGCTGCAGAAAACAGTCCGCGTCTTCCCTCCTCTCGAAATTAAAGCTCGGGTACCTACATTTTCCATTGCATTAAAAGTTCATGTTTGAGCTCAAAAGTAAAATGGTGTGAACAAATTAAACAGATTTAGAGCCAGCCAATGGCTGACAATATGCATTTCAGAATGTTTTACCAATTCTCCTCCCTGTAACAAACAATATTGTCTTTGCCCACCTCCCTCACTCTGAGACATGTTTATTACTCTGTTTAGTCTATAGACTATTGTACTGTATTTTATTGTTGAAACTGGAGAGATCCTGATCCTCACAGTATTTGCTTCCACATACTGTATAAACCAGGGGTCGGCAACCTTTAGTGCCCCTAAAGTGGCTCCTGGAGCCTTTTCAAAAATGTCTGAAAATGGAGTGTGAGGGCTATATTTTATTTCTAGTTTCAATGTGGTTTCTGTAGGAGGAAAAACATTCTTAACGTTTTTCAATGCTGCAAAAACTTGTATGGGTAATATTCAATTTTAACTGTGTGTGCGCATGGATCCCAAAGATAAAGAGAGTCGATAAGACTGGACTAAGAATGAGAATGAACATTTGCTTTCAGTCAATGAGGAAGGACTGCTTCATGTTTGTGATGTAATAAAAAGTTTTGTTGCAACAGGAGGAACAATGAAGCTTTAAACACTGTTCACTGAAACATTCATTCATCATAAAGTCAGAGCACCTATTTTCAGACTTCAAAAACCTTCGCAAAGACGGTGAAAGAAAAGGCCATTAAGGACATTCAGCTCCAGCAAACTTCAGCCTGTGATGGATATGAACAGACAGTGATGCAGGTGAACTCAGAGCCAAAAGCAGATTTATTTACTGTATTTGTACAATTGCAAGAAGGTTAAACTTAAAGCAGAGTTGTCACGTGGTGCGTCATTCTCTCCAGGACACGCTGCAATGAAAATACACATTTGATAATCATGAATGGTTTTTATGTGTTTAGCCTTTACTTTGTCATTTAGATATTAGTCTAATATAGCTAATATAGCTAATGTAGCTAAGGTAGCTAATGTAGCTAATACAGCTTCAGCCCCTGTTACCTTCATATGAGTCTTATACAACGCTGTTTTTTTTTTTGTCAAATAGGGCTCCTTGAACCTTTTGAGTTGCCTGGGCCGCTAAAAAGGAAAAAATGCCCGGGCCGTTTTTTTGTCCCAGTCCAGCCCTGGTGGCGGGAACCACAGACACATGGAGCACCTGAGCCACTGTAGTCAATAGGCATCAACTTATAGTTCTAGTCTCTAGTTTTTTACACAATTTCCATCCTAGTAGTAACCTGCCTGTTTGTCTTACAGCCCGCTTAGCAAATAATTCTTCCCTTTGAAAAACCAAGTCAATCAATTCTGTCAGCACTGGCCTGCACAGCTCATAGCTCTTGGAGTTCATGCTCTGCGTGACAAAAGATATGAGACAATCTCCTGACCACCCACGAGCATTGATTCACTCCTTATGAAGGTGAAGCAGCGAAAAGATGGGGAAGTACACCCTTATGTACTTTACATACATACTTTACAAACTTTTATCAGAACACACCAATCATTACAAGTCTTGAGCCCACATTATAATGACAACAGTTATAGACTGCCATAACCAATGTATTATGATACTTGGTGATTAAACTTTCTGCTGTTATCTTTTTTTTTTCAATGGTTTTCTACATATTGTAGACTCTCAAATGGAAGTGTCTCACTAGGGGGCAATGTTCCCTTTCCCCAGTGTCAACAGGTGAACTCAACACAACCTGTGTGCATGATGATATGATATGTTTACAGCATATTAAACTTGTTCAAGTCATCAATAACATGGATTCAGATGTGGCGTGAATCCTGGAATGTGCTGAGCACAAGTGATTCACAAAGCATCAAAGACACTATCAGAGGCGTACAGCAGTGAATATTGGATGTAATTTGATGTATATTCTAAGGGTTAGTGAGGACCTGACTAAACAACCAGCACAAGTTTATTACATTGGGCTCCAAACTCACCTTTCCTACAAAAAATCTATGTCGGAGAAGTTTGTCTTTTGGACATATGGATTTCTTGACATTTGTGTACCAGTTTCTAATAGTATGTCCTCGCCACCAGGCTTGTATCCTAAACACACACATAGTCAACATACATGTTTTTGTCGTCCAAGCTGCATGCATATTGTGGCCTTTCTGCAAGTTCCTGGTGTCCTTGATAAATGTGATAATCAGTTTTTTTACCTGGTGGCACACTGGTGTCGAAAAAGGTTTGCTGCATCATGGATCACCCGTGTCTCATAGCTCTGTTTTCTGCACACGGGGCAACACTTTTGCCTTGAAAACTTTTCAAACGTCTGGACACAAGCTCTGTGGAAGATGTGCGAACAAGACAGCAAGACCTGAAGACACAGAGGTAATTAATATGTACAACACTTACTTAGCCCGGGCCAAATAGATGCCGTTTTGCTGATTGTTATTTGAAATACACATTCGGTAAATGTCAAGAGGAAACGTCTACATTTGCCAATGGGATAAAGCAAACTGCCCCCCACTGGGACCTAGACTATAGTCTCGTGTATCTTTGTGATGCTTTTATCATTTCAAATGAGACTGCAACAGCGGTGGAGCTTGGCACACAAACCAGTTTACTCAAATCTCCGGGGGAGACAGAAAATATTGATTTCCCATTGTTTTTGGCCTGGCCAACACACTCCATCAGTTGTGAAAAGGCACCCTACAGTTTACATTTCTAAGAGCTGGATATTATGCAGAGGGAAACTGCACTTCTTTGAGTTTACTGTTGGGTAAGATATCAGCCGGTAGATAAAGAAACTGAATTAGAAAAGCAACACACATTATATGGTAGCATTATTATAATGTGTAGATGTAATTATGAAATCAGCTAAGAATCGAGGTGTTACCTTGGTGAATACATGCTTCAATTGTTTTTCTTCAATTGAGTCAAACTAATATTTACATGTGCATCTATGGTAACACTGGGTTGAAAGGCTCGCCTATTCTGTGGCAGCATTCTTAAGAAGATTGGCATCTTAAACAGGGGGGTTGCAAAGGTGTGAAAGACTGAATGACCCTCACTATAACCCACTGATTGCTACATCGTCGTGTCACAGTTCAGTTCCGTGGTAGTATGGGCAAATTTGTACAGTTGTCTACACAGATTAGAATGTACAGGAACTGCAGGGGGCCAGCGAGGAGGCTTTGTCTGTATTTGTGTCTCAAATAGAATCAGACTCCACGATGGTCAGAGAACACAACTAGAGGTGGGGAAAAATACATCAATATATTATAATTATTATCATATAACATAGCATTGCAATATTCAGACAATAATGTGCAGATTCATAACAATTTAGATAAAACATGCTTTTCAATGTTGAGATTTGAGATCTTTAACTGCAATTTAGTTACATTTATTATTTTTATTATCAATATGGTATTTTTTTAATCATTTCTGTTAAATTTAGACACCAACGTCAATTACAAGTATTAAAATGTCACATTGTTTGATCTAAAAAACGTCTGTGTGCTCATGGCAGGTTTTTCAACTGTATAATGCTGCACTTTACAATGTCTGCCTTACAAAGGACCTCTTCTGAGGAATGGTATATCTCTTTTTAAATCCAATGAGAATGTAACACTTCATTTTTGCAATCAAACAATGCACAATGCCATTCTTGAAACATTTCAATCAGGAGTTTTTCGCCCACCCCCAAGGAACCCAAATGGCTGTTCCAGTAGGTGTACACAAATGTTTAAGAAGGTGAGAGTTAACACAACACGCACCTGTGGCTTGAGATGAAATGCTTCTTTACATATTGCACAGGGTTGAGCTGATTCTCCCTGCTGTACAGATCGAACTTTAACAAGTGACCACTGTTCCTCAGTCAGCTTTTCAACTGGGTCAACCACTAAACCCATTCTCTCAGCTGAAATAAAGTATTTGAATAAGTAAACAAATAAAACTGAATACATGATCATCCATCACGGTAGCTTACCCAATGTCCATGGAGTAAGAGTATCGTCAATAACATATTCTATTTCTTTGCCCAAGCCAATCAAATGATGATTCTTTATCTTTGTGGACGGATTTCTACTGCCTTTCCGGCAAGGGCCAGCGCCAGACTGAAGCATCCTTTTGGTGATGTGGTCTTGAAGCGCAGCTGAAGTCAGTGCCAGCATGTTGATCTGTAAATTAGTCACATAAACACGAGCTATGATAGTTACTGGGTGTTTGGTGTTGACACTGTTTTCAGCGTTATTTTGGGTTATGACAACAACATCTTACAGCAACATACTTAACAAACACATACAAACAACATAAATACAACACTAACGCTAAACAAGTACAAGTAGCTTTACTAAAAAACAAACAAACAAACAAACCTGTCGAGCTGCCATATTTGTTGGAGAAGTAACTTAGCAACAGGCCCCGCCCCCTGTCTGTGATCTGGGATGTCATTGGTTCACAATGAAGCGGTATCCTTCACCGAAAATCCCAACAATCAGCTTCAAATGTACTCCTACAAAATGCCTTAGTTGTGAAAGGTAAGTATATAATTATATCATTTGAATTGTAGCCTTAGCTAGCTTGTTCGTTAGCTAGCGTTAGCAAAAGTTTCTTTCTTCTCTGCCGCATACTCATTAAAGCTAGCTAGTTGCTAACTTTGGATCTCAAGCTAACGTACATTTCCTAAATTATATTATTGTATGTCACACCTGGTAAAAAAAAAAAATATACACGATAGTAAATTGTTAGTTAAAATATGATCGTGCGTAAGTCAAGAGCCATTATTGGTCTTTTTAGATAAGCATTCGCTTATCCTGCATTAATGTCAAGGTCATTAACTGATCACAAGCCTTCCAAGAAACAAGAAATGCCTAATTAGGAACACAAATCCACAAAACAAACGTGAAAAGTACTTGCAAAATGTCAATTGCCGGAAATAAACCGAACAGTCATCATTGCTTTATTTGCGTATTCATAATTTGATAAGAAAGTGTCAACATTTTGTCACATGTTATAAGCCGGTAGGCTTGGACGGGTCTACTTTGGATATCTTGTAAGCCACAAGCAATTATCAGAGGTTTGTGAACTGAAGTGTTCATTATGATAAATTGACTAATATGTCAATAATTCAATACAATTTCAATTCAATGTGTTTTTGTCACATCAGCAGTCATCGTGGAGGACGTTACAGATATGGTAAACCAATAACAGATAAAAAAATTAAACCATTAAAACACAACAAGTAAAGGCATAAATAAAATAAAATACAGTCAGTGGTCGACATTGCACCTCATTGGTCCAGTAAATTTACCGGTTGTAGTATTCAAATGTATGTATTGTAATGAAGGTGTGATGTCTTATCATCTAATGATTATTTTATTTCTAGACACTTGAGGGTGAGAGGTTGGAACATGACCAAAGGAGGTCTGTATGTCTTGGTGAGTCACCAAGCTGTCGTCAGAGGACCACTGAACAAAGCTAATCTGCTCATACCTGTAGCGTGAGCTCAACAATCCCTCCCAGGTCAGGCGCACTTGGAAAAGCATACACACAAACATGCTCCAAACCAGTCCCTTTTCTAAACTTCAGGAAAAGTTGACTATATTTCTCTTGCAGAGTCCAGGGGTGTGTAACGTTTAAAATGCTTTGCACCTTTGATTGACTTGATGTGCTCAGTTGGAATTGATGAAACCGTATTGCAAATGGTGAAGCCTGCCAATCCTAAGACTCGTCTAAGAAAACAAAGTGAAGACCCAGCTCTGCAAGGAGGAAACCCCTGAGCTTCTCAAGAGGCTGCCACATTCTTGAGATTAGAACAAGAAAAACGCAGACCACTGCAGGTAATACCCTAGACAAAGGCACAGAACAATTTATTAGTTAAGAATTCAGTCTCACCACTCTATCAAAGGCTGCATGTCCACAGTGTCAGACTCTGGGCTTTGGTTTGTTTTCATAAGTAAATAATCATGCTTAAAAGATACGGTAAAGATGGGGCTCAAGTCCCCACATAAAGCCCTCTTTCTTCCAACTGTCATCACAGAGGTTTCAGAGTACGCTTTAATTTTCAGCATGGGCACTGTTTGTCCTTTTTCTGTGAATACCATTTTAAAGAGCTTTTTATTTAACTTTCTGTGGTATGCCTGAGTAGAGTAGCTCAACCTCGTGGCTGAAAGGCTGATGACTTTACATTTTTTGCAGGTGCTAGTTAACAAATTAATTAATAATTGATATTTAATCACCTTTATGCCTTCTGGTTTTTCCTTGCAGTAAAAAGCCCACTGCCATAAAAATGTTTGAAAGCTCTAAGACATAATCAATTATTTGATGGTCATAAACAGCTTGGTGATCATAAATCATCCCAAGGTTGCAATGTGTTGTTGTCAAATGAGTAACTGCAGTGTTGTATAGATGAGAAAGAGCAACCCGTAATGGTTAATTATGTCATCTGCTGAGATGACCAGGAGACTAATCACTTTGACGGGAGACAATGGAGAGAGACACAAATCTAATTATTGTATGACCTGACCCATAATGCTTCTATAACATGACTTTAATCACTGCATCGTGGATAGGAGTCCCCTGTGGCTGTGGGAGTGAAGGGCCAGAAGAGGAGCAGGTCTTGCTGATATCTCCTGCGTCATTGCTGAGTAAGTAAGTTCTAACGATACACATGCTGGTGCTGGTTGGTTGTGTTTCAAAGAGATGAAGCTCCTAATGATTAGACATGTCTTTTGTAAATGAAATACAAATCACCCTAGGCTTTTGGTTTTACTTCATTTACTAAGTGCTACATTACCTCATACTTTGGACCTAACAATGGATTTCCAATAAATCTTATAGTAGTTGAAATGATGGAGCGCCTCACATATCACAAAATGTGCCAGTGCTTATTAGCACTTGAGAAGTTATTGATCGGCCATTTTGATTAATGATGTTGGTGGGCTACGGTGGCATTCAAATGCCCACTGTGGCCCTGCTGGCAGTGACCAGGCTCATCTGAATTACCTCAGCCTTGTGCTTATGCCAGCCATGCTGTAGGAATCATCACTGCAGCATCCCCTAACCAGAACTACCCCTGCCTCTGTCTCCTGGTCCTGACTCCTGCATTGACAGCTTGTTTCTGTTGGACAATTAGCTTTCTCTGTCTTTTTTGCATTTACATGATATTAATGCCAGAGTCAGTATCTGAATTATTTTTACAGACATGATTTTGAAGTACAGATATGCGTTAGAGACGACATGATCTTTAAACCTACATATAATTGAAGAATTTCAATGAAAAACATTTCAATACAAAAACAAAGGGATTCTCATGTGATTCTCTGATTATGTTGCAATTATGTTGATGAAATGCATTACCAGCAATTCCTGGCCTGGCTCAAGTGGCCATCCTTCTCTGTAATGGACAATAATTGCGCAAAATCCATCACTATGTCTCGAAATAGACCCCAATAATGACCATAAATTGCATCTTGTAAAGGCATGAGCGCAAAAACCCTACCTCACCTGCTGTGCCTAAGAGCCATTGTAATGTGCCTCTGTAGCCTCCATGACTTCATGCTGATCACAGTGCACAGTATTATCAGAGGATAGCATCTCATGTTTACTTAAAATATGATGCAAATTGAAAAGGATATTTTTTTCATATTGAACCGCACACAGTAACTCACAGACACATTTATCAAGGTACCAAAAGTACACTAAAGATAATTTAATAATTTAATATTTTTTACGGGAGCACCTGAATTAAATGAACAGGGCTTCAGACTTCCTTCAAAACTCCACTATAAATCATCAGCAGTAGCTATTTAATCTGATTGAACGCCTATGCAAAGAGCCTGAAGTTTGCCTCTGCTGTGGGGAATGTGTTTGTGGTGAGTCTCATAAATGCCAAGTTCTTTGGGCAATAAGAATAAATATCACAACCTCTCTCTAGAATTACCACATAATTGGGGACTTTCCGTGTCTGCACAGGACCCTAGTCTCCTCCCTCTAACCTACATCCTCACCTATACCACATATATACAATCTAGTGAGGTGACAAAGGAAAAGAGCGAGGTGGCAAAGCCATATTTATCTCAACATCACAAAACATGATTAGTTAACTGTATGGAAATATAGTACAATAGCACGGTGGCTGAGTGGACAGCACTCTCGCCTCTCAGCAAGAAGGTCCTGGGTTTGAATCCCGGTCGGAACAGGGCCTTTCTGAGTGGAGTTTGCATGTTCTCCCTGTCTCTGTGTAGGTTTCCTCCGGGTGCTCCGGATTCCCCTACCACTAAAACATGCTCACTAGGTAAAATAGTCCAACATAACATATATACAACACATATACAACACATAATATATATTTTTATATATATATATTAGTTATCTTGCTTGTAGTTGTAGGATAAGTTAGCAGTGATTTGAGGATTAAAATATCAGGATATAGCTGCATTCCACTTCCTGCCCTGCTTACATCTCAGCTCTCAAGCGGGGCTGGGCCTGGTTAGAACTGCGACGAGAGACCCCTGGGAACACCAGGTGCCACAGTGTGGCGTCTGCCAGCTGACTATGTTGTAATTTTTTGATGAAAACAAAGTGGTGATTTGCATGTGCCAAAGCTGCAGCCACATGTTTGTATTTCCATCCTCTGTCTTATTGAAGTCGTAGCTCCCTGTTTACACCTTTTATGGCGCAGAGGGAAAGACTAATAACATAACCTTTTACCTTAGACTTGTTTACTTTTCATAAAGTTTCCATGAAAAGCCTGCAGCGAGGAACAGTTGTTATGTAATGTAAACTTTCAAACTCTAACTTTTAATTACTTTTCCTATTGTACTCAACTTTGAAAGTAGCGCAACAAACAATAATAGATCCCGACCCACTGGTCCCACTGGCTGCTCTACCCATGGTCCCACAGGCTTCTCTACCCATGGTCCTAGAGGGGGCTCTACCCACTGGTCCCACAGGATTCTCTACCCATGGTCCTACAGGGAGCTCTACCCACTGGTCCCACAGGGAGCTCTACCCATGGTCCTACAGGGAGCTCTACCCATGGTCCTACAGGGAGCTCTACCCATGGTCCTACAGGGAGCTCTACCCATGGTCCTACAGGGAGCTCTACCCATGGTCCTACAGGGAGCTCTACCCATGGTCCTACAGGGAGCTCTACCCACTGGTCCCACAAGGAGCTCTACCCACTGGTCCCACAGGGAGCTCTACCCATGGTCCTACAGGGAGCTCTACCCACTGGTCCCACAAGGAGCTCTACCCACTGGTCCCACAGGGAGCTCTACCCATGGTCCTACAGGGAGCTCTACCCATGGTCCTACAGGGAGCTCTACCCATGGTCCTACAGGGAGCTCTACCCACTGGTCCCACAAGGAGCTCTACCCACTGGTCCCACAGGGAGCTCTACCCACTGGTCCCACAAGGAGCTCTACCCACTGGTCCCACAGGGAGCTCTACCCATGGTCCTACAGGGAGCTCTACCCATGGTCCTACAGGGAGCTCTACCCACTGGTCCCACAAGGAGCTCTACCCACTGGTCCCACAGGGAGCTCTACCCATGGTCCTACAGGGAGCTCTACCCACTGGTCCCACAGGCTTCTCTACCCATGGTCCCACAGGGAGCTCTACCCACTGGTCCTGTGGCTTAGGAATGGAACTGTGCCTCTTGGTAGAGGTCTGTGTTCCACAATTGCTTCCCTTGTTTCTTTGGAATTTTTTTTTCATGTTTTAATAACATTATATTATGTCTTGAGGGTTCTACATGAAGAAAATGCTCAAAATTATTGATGCAAATATTTAATGATAATGATGCTTTGGGGTCGGGTTACTGCAATTAAGATTTTGAATTCAATTATATTTTTAGTCTACTAGTCATGGTTTGTTCATTTATCAATTACGATGATCAATATCCGTTCAATAATGTCATTGATCTGGTTGCACTACATTAGAGTATACTTAGTACAAAGAAAACGCTGTTAAGTATATTTATTTGTGCACCGCATCCTTCTCACCTTTGTCACTTATTTTGGAGGTTCAGATCTTTGCAGCTGGGCTGTAACATTAGATCAATGCCGGTGAAGTGGACCACAATGTGTTTACATTCTTACATGATGTTCCACTCAGCACGTCGCCTCTGACACCACAATTTATTAGAGAGATAAAGTGTGAAGGGACTCCTGAAATTCAAACATTTATGCTACTTCACTTGACCTTTTGATAGGGTCAGTAGAGCCGTGTCAGTTTGTTTTCCCTAACGCTTGTCACATGGTTGTGTAAAAAAAAGACAGTTGGATGTGGAACCTAACACAAGATACAAGTGAAGCCTTATGTCATGCCTCACCAATCCTTTGAACTGTCACTCAAAAAACCCCGAAAGAGTAGGATGGAAGATTCTAAGATCTAAGATGGAAGTTTTGTTGAAAGTTAATCTGTTTTTATACATAGAATTCTTACAACAGTTAGTTTTGTCTTTCCTTTCATTTTATTTTATTATGATGTGAACTTATTTTTAATTTTAGTTGGTTTGTTTGGAATATTTATTATGAATTCAATCCAATTTTTAGGGGGTTGCTTACATTTCTGGTGGAGCACTATACCCTATAATACACATGTTATGAGTGTGTGGCGTAGGATGCAATGTAAATTGCACCACAAATAATATACAAATAAAGTGACCTCGGAAAATCTTTACAGACTTATTACTGAACTGTCAGATCTGATGATCTGGTCAAGTCTGGATTTGACAGCCAAGTTCTGACTTGTTTGTGTCCACTAAGGTGCTAGATCAGGTGTTAGTATGTGTTTTTTATTATCATAAAACACATTCAAAATAAAGCCCACAATCCATGTCTAATTTAAAACCAAAACATATGCCGGTTACAGTATATGCGTTGTTAAGTAATGTTTTGAGGGTGGTTTCTACGTGCAAACTCGACACACTCACAATTTAGCCCTTCTTAAGACTTCAAAAGGATGCAGTAGATAAAACAAAATGAACTGCACACATCAAGCCTCTATTGGCCTTTAAAGCCTAATTATACCTGTTGCAGTGCTGAGAGACACATCACACAACCTAGTGATTAATAAACAAATCCCCCAAAGTGTCTGACAAGTCCCTGCTCATCTCACTCCATATCAAAGTGTATCAAAGGACAATTAAGCTTTAGCCAGCACTTAACCCCTCTCTCTCTCGCGTGTCAAACTGGCAGCTATGTTGCCCCCTGCACCTGCTTGAGAGCACGCCCCAGACGTCCCGATTGGAGCTTTTATCTGTCATTGACTTGACCAGGATCACTTAACTGCAGCTGCTTTGTACCTGCCGACGCAGTAGGTGTTGTGATGGCTTGGATTTTGTAAACAGACAAACCTTTTGAGATGAGGTTACAGACTGAGGCTCTCTGAGAATAGGACTGGTACATATTCAACTCCTGTTCAATTATTTCATGAATCAAATAAATAACTGAATAACTCAAAAATAACTGTTCTCTAGTAAAAACCATGCCAAAACAATAGAGTGTAATTCAACTTAATTTTTTGTCAGTAGTAGGATGAATCTTTATGATCGCTTCATGGCATGAACCTATCTGGGACACCCCCTCCATGGGGATGCTCATGAGAGCAATGGGGTGAGAAGGTGGGATTGAGAACCCAGAGACAAACTGTGAAATGGGAAAGGCTAAAACAAATACCTTCTGGGTAATGGAGGAGTGGATGAGGAGTTTAGTTGAGGTGGAGAGGAGGAGTAGGAGGTGATCTGGTCCTAAACTGCAGATACTTTATTCAACATTGATAATCATAATTTAGAACCTGATGTTGTCCTAATTTGTATCTCCAATATGCTCGGTTTATATCTATTCAGATATAGGCATTAAAAGAAGGTATGCCTGGTATGAAAAGTTTGAAAGTTTGAAATACTTTGTTTACATGTTTAATAGTTCTGTAGTGTACCTGCAGCTTTGAAATAAATAAATAAACAAACAAACTATATGGGTATCCAAACTATCACACCAAGGAGGCAGGAGAATAAGTTCTGTTCTGAATCGCACAAATAAACAACTAATGACATGCCTGGTCTACAATACTCATGGATAATTATCCTTTACTATATAGATCAGCTCCAACATTTTGAGTTTTTCAGACAAACCCTGGCAGAGGTAACCGAAAGACCAAACAGGCAGTTGACCTTTGGTGGGCTATAACAACTATTGTTATAGCCCACCAGTATTTAATAATTGAATAATTGATAACTGCTCTATAAACAGATTACAACATATTATATGAGATGTGATTTCAAGACTCAAATAGAACAGGATTGTCATAAAAAAGAATGAAACATTTACAGTGCCTTGCGAAAGTATTCGGCCCCCTTGAACCTTTCAACATTTCGCCATATTTCAGGCTTCAAACATATAGCTATAAAATTTTAATTTTTTGTCATGAATCAACAACAAGTGGGACACAATCGTGAAGTGGAACGAAATTTATTGGATAATTTAAACTTTTTTAACAAATAAAAAACTGAAAAGTGGGGCGTGCAATATTATTAGGCCCCTTTACTTTCAGTGCAGCAAACTCAGTCCAGAAGTTCAGTGAGGATCTTTGAATGATCCAATGTTGTCCTAAATGACTGATGATGATAAATAGAATGCACCTGTGTGTAATCAAGTCTCCGTATAAATGCACCTGCTCTTTGATAGTCTCAGGGTTCTGTTTAAAGCGCAGAGAGAACCATGAAGACAAAGGAACACACCAGGCAGGTCCGAGATACTGTTGTGGAGAAGTTTAAAGCCGGATTTGGATACAAAAAGATTTCCCAAGATTTAAACATCTCAAGGAGCACTGTGCAAGCAATTATATTGAAATGGAAGGAGTCTCAGACCACTGCAAATCTACCAAGACCCAGCCGTCCCTCCAAACTTTCATCTCAAACAAGGAGAAGACTGATCAGAGATGCAGCCAAGAGGCTGTCAAACATGGTGGTGGCAGCATCATGGTTTGGGCCTGCTTTTCTTCAGCAGGGACAGGGAAGATGGCTAAAATTGATGGGGAGATGGATGGAGCCAAACACAGGACCATTCTGGAAGAAAACCTGTTGGAGTCTGCAAAAGACCTGAGACTGGGACGGAGATTTATCTTCCAACAGGACAATGATCCAAAACATAAAGCCAAATCTACAATGGAATGGTTCACAAATAGACGTATCCAGGTGTTAGAATGGCCAAGTCAAAGTCCAGACCTGAATCCAATCGAGAATCTGTGGAAAGAGCTGAAGACTGCTGTTCACAAACGCTCTCCATCCAACCTCACTGAGCTCGAGCTGTTTTGCAAGAAAGATTGGGCAAGAATTCCAGTCTCTCGATGTGCAAAACTGATAGAGACATACCCCAAGCGACTTGCAGCTGTAATTGCAGCAAAAGGTGGCGCTACAAATTATTAGCACAAGGGGGCCGAATAATATTGCACGCCCCACTTTTCAGTTTTTTATTTGTAAAAAAAGTTTAAATTATCCAATACATTTTGTTCCACTTCACGATTGTGTCCCACTTGTTGTTGATTCTTGACAAAAAAAAATGTTTTTATATCTTTATGTTTGAAGCCTAAAATGTGGCGAAATGTTGAAAGGTTCACTGTATAAACCTCTCATTTTAATTCTGAACTAATCGAATAATTAAAATAATAAGCACTAAATTAATCAATGATCAAAATTCTGTACTTGTTTGTTACTTACAGCAATACCTGGTATTTCTGAGTTTAAAACAATAAACAACTAACAAATAATGAATAAATAAATTATTGACTTTTGTTACTACCTTGGATTTGAGATGACCAGTGACCAGTGATGATTATTGGCATTGGCATGAGGAGTTTTTTACTGATTAAGAGATAGTCGCCCTAACATAGCGGCTAAATGAGGCCATTAGCAACTGTTTATAGTTTTGTCAAACTCTAGGTATGTCTTAAGCCTCTAGTCACTGCTTTCAATACACGTCCCTTGTTGTAAGCTGCTTTAGCCAACCAAATGTGATTTAGTCCTAATCATTTCACTTGAACAACATGGCATTGTTGCAAGTGTTTTTCCACTGGCAATCTGGATTGATTTGCATAAAGGTATTATAGATAGAAAGTTTAACCTTTTGTTGGCAAGCCATGATGAGTATCTCAACTTTGTTTACAAGAGCACAGACAAGCTGGTGCTGTTCTGTGGTTTCATTTCATACATATCATCATTGTTAGTCAAACTATTCTTGCAACTTGAATCTCAATGTTATTTACTGCATCAAGTATGTAAATATTAATATTAATATTATGTATTAACCATATGCTATGTTTTTGAGAATTGGTGAGCATTTAATTACCATCCACTTATAATTAAAACTTCACATGTGGACTTGGGCAATATTGCATTGAAAGTAATTACTGCTGCTGTCATTGCGCATTGCATTTGAACCTGCAGTTATTAGGTGTCACTTGATGGCAGCTGTCATAACTACATTTCCCATTAGTGCTGCTTGTGTGTTGTAGTGCGGGGACTGCTGAAAGATCAGGGCCAAATAACAAGGCTGACAGAGACACTGTATATTGCTGTATATAAATGATCATGCCTTACCATTGATTTAACTAATGATGAGTGCTTTGAGTGCAACAATAG